GCATAAACAAAAATCTGAACTGAAGGTGCAGAGGGACTGCCATTCTACAGATAAGATCTATTGCCGTAATAGCCCTTGATTATCATGACCAAAGGAAAAAAACACCAAATATACAGACACATTTCTGTTTATTTACACAGGAAGGGAGGGAAGCAAATCATTTACAAAGAGGAAGACATACAGGGAATAAGGTTGCAGTATATGTCACGGTTTCTCAAGAGTTTATAAAACAAGATTTTGTTAAGGCTTGCTTTTGATTGCCGTTGGTCATCTTTTGACATTTTACAATGTGCTAAAATCACATATTATAAATAGAGATGGTGGGGTGGGGGAGAAAGTGGATATTAAAAGGGTTGTGTGTAGGTAGATTTTGGAGCTGTGTATGTGTATATATAAATCCTACAATCACTTACAGAACAGAAGTTTTTCATAATGTATATGGAGTTATATTATGTTAAACCTCACATTATGCTTGTTTCCCAGGTGTTTTTGAAGATGTGAATATACCAATTTTGAAAAATTTAATGCCAATAGTAGGTTGTTTGCATGGAAGGAGCAGTTTGCCTAAGAGCTGGTTTTGCCCCTAGTTTTCATAAAAGCCATTGAAGACTGGTTGCATTTAGATCATACAATTCTACATGTATGGTGAAAATACTGTGGAAGCTTTGATAAAGAGATGAAAACAAAGAAATAAAGCTGTGCTGAAAACTAAGGGGGGGGAATAAAGTTTGCATGAAAATTATTAATTATAACTCTTCATAATTCGTACACATTTAAATGGACATAATAATTACCTATATTAAACTTGTACAATGTTGCTCTTACTTTGAATGTTCAGGTATTGTTTGGAGTATGTTTGAATTGCATTGTAAGCTTCATAAGCTTCACAGGTTGAGAGCAAGTTAGCATAAAAACAAGTGGATGTGAAGTGGATTTTCATCATTTGGGGGTCAACATACCATGGTAAGGAATGGATTAGAAATTTTCACATAGTAATCAATAGAAATCGTCAGTTCATTATGCAAATGCTTGCCTAACACACAATTTCCTGAGAATGCATTGTGTTTGGATAGCAAGACCTGTGTGTATTAGCCTCAACCACCCATCAGCTTTGCCCATTGGCCATGCTGGCTGGGGCTGATGGTAGTTGACATCCAACAACTTTTGGAGGGCATATGTGAATTCTGTGGCCAGTTAACAGTGGCAGGCAAACTCCTCTGGCTTGCCGCATCATTGAATTGGTCCCCCCTTGAATTTTCTTAGAGAATTCATGGGGGATTTCTTGCCTTCTTGAGGTTTTCCCTTTTCCTGAAAAAGAAGCCTCAGATAGCTTGTCTCCAGCATTCACCTAATCCTGTTTATCCATGCAACTTTATTGTACTTTCAGTGAGGGGAAAGATTTTAGCTCAGTGACAGACCAAATTCTTTGCATGCAGAAAATCAATCCATGGTATCTCCAGGTAGATTCCCTGAAACCCTGAAGAGCTGTTGCCAATCAGTTTAGACAATAATGAGGTAGATGGACCAATCATCTGATAAAGGAACTTGTGAAGAAATTGATCAGCCCGGAAGTTTTAGTTTTCTCTGCCTAGACTGGTCCAGTTCATTGAATTTGGAGGCATAGGAAAGTAAAACTCCTATGCAGCATAGCAAGAAATTATATTCCTGAATAATATTCTCAGGAACATGTAAGCCTTAAGGATGAGACTTACAAGACTACCTACATCTGCACCAACCCTCCACCCCCACTGGTATCTCCCCTTATATACAAGGGTATCTAAGCTGATGTGGTGGTTGTGCTGGAGGAACAGACAAGTAAGATGGACTGGTGGCAAACTCAAAATGAGCTGGGCCTCAAGGTGGGAGCATTGGTGTGTGTGAGAGAGAGTCCCCACATGTGAAAATTTTGAACATTATTACCAATCACAGCTTTAAGAAGATGCCCACAAAGATAGTTATCTATGCACAGGAATGTTTCAGAGTTGCATTGAACTGACAGCTTCAAACACAATATAGCTTACACAGTTTTCAAAGTATAAGATTGTTTCTATCTGTTGTAAAAATTGCGAACAGAGTTTATAATTTAAATACAGCATGGGAAAAATGCCTCAGGAACCAAGAAGAACATGTTATTTGAAACTGACACCATTATTTAGGGTAGATACCATCACCAAGACAAATTGTTGCTTGCAGTTCTCAGCAGGCATTTTAACATCACATTTCCTGGTGGATTCTTATGGCTAGTCAGAAAGCAGAGTTGAGAAGCAAAGGAACTGCCTACTCAGGAATAGCAGTGATGCAGATATTGGATGTGCTAATGCTCAGGTACATTATAAGGCTTGGGCTGGACCCGTCTACAACCCTTGGTAACCCCAGTTCCTAATAGATGGACATCCTCAGGCCTGGGTCTCTATCTTGCCTCAGGACTCTCCTCACATCACAGCCTCTTCTCAGCTGCATCCCCTATTCTCAGCCATGTCCTCACCAACTCACCTTTGCACCTTCCTTGAGTGTTTTCGTCTAACTGGAATGTGTCCTTGAACTCCAGCAATGCCTCTTGCTTGCCTGGACTGAGGCTAGTAAGATGTGTATAGAAAGTAGCCAACAGTAGAAAGGGAAAAATTGTATTTGTTGCTCAATCCACTTTCGTCTGTGACCCCTGCTCTCCACTGGCCTGTGGCTTCTCAGAAGGTTACCCAGAAGGGAATGCTGCTCTTGGGGGGGGGGGAGGTTCCCCATTCCTGTTTTAAAGAAACTGTCCACTTTCCTCCTCATATATACTTGGTACGATGTAGGTGTGATGGTTCTCATCGGCTTCGTGTGTGTGTGTGTGTGTGTGTGTGTGTGTGTGCGTGCTTGTGCCAGTGAAGGGAAGGTTGTATGTGGCTGTTGTGCCTTCATAGAAGCATAGAACTGTAGAGTTGAAAGGGACCCCGAGGACCAGCTAGTCCAACCCCCTGGATTGCAGGAATCACAGCTAAAGCAGCCCTTACAGATGGCCATCCAACTTCTGCTTGAAAATATCCACCACCTTCTGAGGGAGCCTATTCCACTACCAAATAGCTCTCATCCTCAGAAAGTTCTTCCTAATGTTTAGTTGGAATCTCCTTTCTGGTAATTTGGTTTCTTAGTTTTCTCTGTTCCAGGCCAAATATACCCAGCTCCCTCAACTGTTCCTAATAATGCTTGGTTTCCAGACCCTTGATCATCTTGGTTGCCCTCTTCTGCACATGTTCCAGGTTGTCAATATCCTTCTTTAACTGTGGTGCCCAAAACTGGACGTGGTATTCCAGGTGTGGTCTGACCAAGGCAAAATAGAGTGGGACTATTTATTCACTTGGGACACGGGTGGCGCTGTGGGTTAAACCACAGAGCCTAGGACTTGCCGATCAGAAGTTCGGCAGTTCGAAACCCCGCGATGGGGTGAGCTCCCGTTGCTCAGTCCCTGCTCCTGCCAACCTAGCAGTTCAAAAGCACGTCAAAGTACAAGTAGATAAATAGGTACCGCTCCGACGGGAAGCTAAATGGCGTTTCCGTGCACTGTTCTGGTTCGCCAGAAGCGGCTTAGTCATGCTGGCCCCATGACCCGGAAGCTGTATGCCGGCTCCCTCGGCCAATAAAGCGAGATGAGCGCCGCAACCCCAGAGTCGGCCACGACCGGACCTAATGGTCAGGGGTACCTTTCCCTTTACCTATTCCTTCACTTGGTTTTGAACACTATACTACTGTTGATGTAGCTTAGAGTTGCATTAGCTTTTTTTAACCTTGTGGTCTACAAAGACCCCATATGCTTTTCCACTTGCACTGCTGTCGAGCCAAGTGCCCCTCATCCTATATCTGTGCATCTGATTTTTCTTGCCTAAGTGTAGAACCTTATATTTGTCCCCAGCTACAAATCTATCCAATAGTAACATTGTTTAACCCACCTATTACCAGCTTCGCTGCAATTATAGGGGACTTTGACCAAAGTTTTACTGAAATCAAGACATGATACATCCACAGCATTCTGCTGATCCACTAAGCTTGTAACTCTATCAAAAAAGAAATACGGTAAGATTAGTCTGGCATGACTTGTTTTTGAGAAGCCCATGCTGGCTCTAAGTAACCACAGCATCCTTTTTAAGGCATTGTTCCCAATCAACAGAAAGCTGAACTTACTTGTCTCCACTGAATGCTGAGGTGAAGCAGCACCCATGAGGGAATGGAAGTTTGAGTATTCCACCCTTAAAACCCACAATAATTGAAAATATACAGAGGAGGCACTGCCTTTGCTCCTCCCCAATCAGACAATTTAGTTTGTCTTGTGGAACTAAATTGAGCCATAACAAATTTGCTCTCATGTGCACACCCCAATCCATCTGTTGCAGTTCAATTTCTTATCTAAGCTAGTATGTGATAAAGAGACAGCTTTTTGAGAACTGGATGTTAAAGACATAGAAAATGCATATTGTGATTTAACAGTGTAGTCTGTTATTATATAATATGCTTCTATACTCCTTATTTTGTTTACCCTCACACCAACCTTGTGAGGCAGGCAGGCCATTGTTTGCCTTTTTTTTTCAGAGACTGACAATGAAAACTGATAGGTGAATTACACAAGTATCTTTAGGGATGAACAATTATTCGATTGACACCAGATATCCGAGGTCAAAATGCAAATCCATAGTTGAGATTCCTGCATGGGGGGTGGAGTAGATGACCCTCAGAGTCCCTTCTAACTCTACAATTCTATAATTCTATGTTTGGGATTGAACCTGTGATATTTAGCAACTCAAGTATGTGCTCTGTAGCCCAGTGAATGCAGGTTATTTATCAGGGTGATCAAGGCCACCTTTTCCAAATCCCAACTGGAAGGCCAAATGAAAGATATCCAGACAATTAAAATTGATAATTCAATTTAAAATTGATAATTCAATTCAACACAATGATTTCATAGAGTCATAGAGTTGGAAGGGACCATGAGGGCCATCTAGTCCAACCCCTGCAATGCAGGAATGTTTCGCCCAACATGGGACTTGAACCCATGACCCTAAGATTAAGAGGCTCATGCTCTACTGACTGAGCTATTCAGGGGTTGATGCATTAATAAAATCCTTACCTGACTAGCTTTCACTAGCCAACAAGGATGGAGCAGTAGACACTAAAGAGTTGTGTGTGTATGTGTTTGTGTGCCAAGTACTTTGTTCATATCATCGGCTGAAACTCATCCAATGAGGCTGTGGATGCTCCTCTTATACCTTCTGTCCCCAAAGTGTAGCCTGGTCAGTGTGCTGAGGATGGAGGGGAAGAGCTGTGGCTCAGTCGAAGAGCATCTGCTTTGCACACAGACGGTCCCAGGTTCAATTCCTGGCATCTCCAGGGAGGACTGAGAGACCATCCTGTCCGATACCTTGAATAGCGAGTCAGTGTAAATGATTCTGAGCAAGATAGATGAATGGTCTGACTCAGTTATAAGGCAGATTCCTATGTTCCCTAGCTTTATGTATAAATATAAAAACCCACACAGAATACACTTATTCTGTGCATTGGGCATTCTCCTGATGTCTTGGGGAAATGCTTGAGGGAGGGAAAGGGGAAAATGTATAACAGAATAATGTTGCAGACAATTTAGGCAGACAGCCCTGCTGTCACTAGTCCATTGTAAGCTGTAGGAAGGGCCCTTCCAAGAAAGCCACCTCCAAGAGGGGGATGGTCTGCCATTCAGAGTGGATTCTTGCTGCTTTGCTATTTAGCATGCTTAAAACAGTTGGCAACTTGTACTAGCTAATGGCACACACTGCTCCTTTTCATAGCAGCGCTGAAATGAAACCAGCAGCGATTCCTTCCAGTTCATCCCATGGAATCTTGCCCTGACCAGCACAGTTCCTGGAGCAAAACATACATCTTCCAGCTTCCCTGCTGCCCTTGGCAATTCTGACTCCAGCAGTATTTGGCTTTAGTGTTCCAGCATATTCAAAAGCTCAAGAGGAATTTAGCAGGCGAGGTATTTAACATCAGTGCTTCCATATTTTTTTTGTGCGCGCTGAGAATGCCGACGAGTACATAGAGATTTCAACAAATCACAGCCACACTATTAAGAATTTTCATTTGCTCCTCGAGTGTTAGAAACAGCAGGTTTAATTCAGTTAAGGCAAAATGCAATTAGAGGAAAGGATTGCCAGACCCTTCGGAGAAATGAATGGATGAACCCTTCAGTTGCTTTAGCTTCCAACTCTGGCAAACATTTCCCCTTTGGACATGTGTGGAATGAAAAGGGTCCAAGAAAACAAAACACACACACAAGTAAAAATGATAAATGGTGCCAGGACAAAAAAATATTTCTGCAAAGTGGTTTAGTGCAAGGCCCAGCTATTATTGTGCAGCCCTGGCAGTTTCAGCAAGGTCAGCTCACATCACCTCGGGGACATGTAGGTGATAGGCTTGCCTCCAGTCCCTGCTTTGAAACGGTCGTCTTTCAACTCAAGGGGCCGAGGTTGAATTAGTCAGAATGCATTAGGATCATAAGAAAATAGCCTTTCTAACAATCCAATTATTATGGAAGATCCTTTGAAGTCACTGTGATCTGGAATATTAGGGCCAAACTTGACATGAAGATAAATGAGTCACTTGCAACCACACCAGTGAAAAAATAATAAAAACAGCAGGTGAGGGAAGTTTTTTATTGAGAAAACAGTAAGAAGGGAAAGGGTTAAACTTCCCCTCCACACACATTGTGAACTTCATCAAAATCAGTTGCTGCCCATGACTGCTGCATGTGTGTGTGTGTGTTTATTTGTGTGTTTAGGATTGTTTTCGCTAGTATAGTTAGGCTCTAAATTAACAAGTTACATGTCGGTGTTGCACCTTTGCCTCATCTGTAATGCTTATACGTACAGAGGAAAGAGGAGCCATGTTGCTTAGGTGAAGATGTTTTCTTCCTGTACTAGCATGGCCTGTGGCAATATTGGCTTGGACCATATGGAAGTAACCTCCATGGTTTCCCATATCTGCCTAACTTTGAATGGTAAATGATTCCAACAATAACACACAGGCTGAAACAACTTAGGCAAAGGAAAATCGGGGGGGGGGGGGGACATATTTAGAGATCCACCTCAGCCCATCTCCTTCTCTCAGAGGCAGAGGAAGAAGGGGGATAATTGCAATAGGACTGAGAAAAGGAAGTAGGTTAGACTGGAAGAGGGCATGGTGGCTTATTCTTCCACTTAGGCCCTTACTGAATGCAAGTGAAGCCAAAGATACAAGGTAGGAGCCCACAAATTTTGGGAAGGGAAAGTGGAAGCTCAGGGAAAGAAGGACTGGAGGGGAGAAGGGTGCAGTTCAGGAGTGCCAAAAGACCAAAAGAGAGAATTGCTGGTGTGTGCAAGCGGTTATAGACTTGAGGGGTTTGCAAAAGAAGGAGGAGAGTCTGTGGATGGGACTTCCCAGCCTAAACTAAAAGAAACACCTTTGTCTTGGAGAGATGCGTAGGTGAGTCTACAAAGGAGTTCTCTTCTATTTAGGGTGTTGGGTTCAGAATTGTATGCAGTGCAAAGGGGTTGTGTGTACACCTTTTTGAATGTGGGTCTTTGACCTTAATAGATGCTAATACATTCATGGTCCTGTTCTAGCTTCACTATGATTCCTATATGGTTTCTTCAACCTCTGGAAAAATACAACAGAGGTGCTGTGTGGCAATAAGATTGGAACTGAGGAAAGAGAAGGGGGGAATTCAACACATTCCAGAGTTCCCAAGCCTGCTGAATCAAAGGTGGAAAGGTCTAAAAGAGAGAAGCCCATGTATTCTTGCAATGCCTTCTGCCCCTGTTGATCAATGCTAGATTCAATCACATTCCCAAGTAGACTTCTTGCCACAAGTTGCCGCAATAACACACAAAGTAGCAAGGAAATGTGCTTCCTTGGCAACACCTGGCAGACTACACCGCGACTGATGCAGCAAAGAAATAGTTATGCTTAAAGAGAAACCCTGATCCAGACCTTGCGATTCTGTTTCAGCTCTCCTTCTCTCCCCCATTCCTGTTGGTCTCTTGTTAGAAACTTAGGACATTCGTATATATTTAAAGAAGATTGATTAAATGAGCAAATTAAGTTAATTAGGATATGCAGAAGATATTAAAAATAAATGTAAGGAACTGCAGAAACAAATGTTAAAATGATTGTGAAATTAGTGAAATGTATAAACCTGAAAAGTATAAATAATTTTTTTTAAAAAAGAAAAGGAAAAAGAAACTTAGGACATTCTTTGCCTGCTCAGGAGCACCTCTTCCTCCTATAACTACCGCTTCAATACCTTTCAGAAATCTAGCAAGCAGGAAGGGGGCATAGCTTGTGTGTGGGGTTGCAATACAATTTCCATTTGTGGACTCAGCTGGCTGCAGTATCCTTTTGATTCTTCTTCTGTTGCCTGGACTATTGCAGATCAGCGCGCGCGCGCGCGCGCACACACACACACACACACACACACACGAGGGAATCACTGAACCATCCCTATCAGCAAAAATCCTGCACAAGCATTTTCACCAGAGAAATGGGAATTAAATCCCTACTCCCCTTGTGTCTCCCTGGAATCGTCTCAGGGTGTGGGGTTCAGGAGAAACCCCAGAACAGCGCATAGGGAGAGGAGAGTGGGGACCATTCCATCTGGCAAGCTGCAATGCTTGAACATATCTGAAGAGCTCAGCATAGAATTCTACCCCCTGTGTCATGCATTGAATGTGTGGAATGGTCACGTTCAAGCCCTGGCAAAACCTCCATATACGGTACATATTTTCTGTTAAAGGCTGTTCCACATATGCCTCTGCCAGCTCAACTGAAGTGAAACAGAACTGGAGGATCAAAGCTGTGGTTTTCTAATGGACTGAGTTTAGCAAGATGAGCAAGCACATAAAGCAAGAAACTCATATATGACTTATCCATCCTGTCCTATGTCTACATTATATTTCGATAATCTGAGAGCCAGCTTTAGCCTGAGGAAAACTAGCTCCCCTTCTAGTTTTCATTTTTGCACTGTTTGGCACATTTATAGTTGTAAACAAGATAAACATATGGTTACATTTCTCATATGTGGTTTGTGGTTCATCAGATCAAGCCGGGAGAAAATCATTTTCGAAAAACAACAACAACCGAACAAAACTTGTGCTTTCCATTATAACCCTCTATTTGCAGGGGTTTATTACTCATCTGCAGGAGATGGGAGAAGATGGGGGAAGGCTTGAGGCTGAAACTCTGTAGACAAAGTCTCAGGCTAGGGGCAAACATTCTGTATGATATTTCAAACACATGGATAGCGTTGTCATAATCAAACAGTATCGTAAATCGTAATAGAACCCACTTAGATTGAAATTCCTTGTCACACTGACATATTACTGCAAGAGTGTAATATAGTGGGAAAGTAATAGCTTGATCCTCTGTCATGAATGGGGAATTGGTAGGTTTAAACTTCCTCCCTATGTTTTAAAGTTGGGCACAGGCCTGTCTAGGAAACAAGGATTAATCTGAGACTTGACTTATCAGAGCTTAGCCTTGGAACCTTTTCCTAGTGAAAGAGTTCAGTCTGCAGCTTCTGAAACCAACAGAGCTCTGGGACACTGCTTGTCCACACTTCTGCTTGTCCCATGCCTAGAAAGCTTGGGTCCAAGAGGTTTTCCACTCATCACATGCTTTCTAGGCATGGTCTGAGAGGTTTTGCCTTTGCCTCCCGCTGCTTTCCCCCAAGAATCCCATTCTTTAGGGCTAAATCGGAGCAAACATCAGTCTGGAGAAAACCCAATTGACGTTTGCTCTGATTCAGTGGTAAACAGCAGGTTTCCTTGAGGGAAAGCTGTGGGGAAAGTGAAGTATGGATGGCCCTAGAGTGTGTGCAGATGGCTCTCAGCTATTCTGAAACATTAGACAATATAAAAATTGATTGCGATACATCAAACACACTAGTACTGCCACAGTTTACTCTGGAAATAGGTAAGGAAAATGGTTTATTTTACTTAAGTTCTGGATGTTTGGAACATGATCCAATCTCCAAATTGTTTCCAGAGCAGATCAGACCCTGAAATCTGCAGCAGCTGTTTCAGGGAGACATTCCTGCCACTTTGCCCCCACCCCAAATTTTCTCAAAATAAGCAAAGTAGAGGAGAGAATGGCTTTTGGGAACTGCTGCTGTAGGGCTGAAGTCCCCCCAAAACTGCGTGCAGCTGATGGACTTACGTCATTTTTTGTGTTTCTGTGTTCTGCATAGAAGTACATTGGGAATATGGGTAGAGAATTGATCCCTTTTGCACACATTCGAGTGTGTTTATGAGTGGAATGGGGGAGCTGCTGCAAATACATGCATTCAAGCGAGCATGGATGCATGCAAAGAGGCACAATGCGTCAGTGTGTCTTGCTGTTAACCAGAAAGTTGGTGGTTTGAGCCAAACCAGGGATGGCAGTGGGCAGGATTCCTGCACTGCAGGGAGTTGGACTAAATGACCGTTGGGGTCCCTTCCAACTCTACAATTCTATATGTTGCCTCAAAGTGGGTAGGGGTGTGTGTGTGTGTGTGTGTGTGTGCAGAATCCCTGCCCTCAGTGTCCCTACACATGCTGGCTCCACAACTGGGGACCCTGGAAGCATAGGAGGGTCACTGATAAAGCCAGCATTCACTGGGATGTTTGCGTGCTTGCCCCTACCTCACTTTAAGCTTACATCCATTTTCCAGAATGCCTCCATAAGGCTTTGGGCTTTTTACTAACTTGGGGGTGGGGGAGAAGAAATCACCAGAGTTTGGGATTGTTGAGTGAACCAGCAGAGCTGCTGTTGTCGCATGCTGATCATGCGCTTTGTTGGTGCATATGGAAAAGAGACTGAATTGCCTTCTCATGCTCATTTCATGTCTGTTAGCTATTGGTTTTTGGTATATTGTCCGCAACCAATTTGAAGTCCATATCATGATATCAGTTGCATAATTTTTGACCTGGCAATATATCGTGAATCATGATGTGTGTGCAAAAAACAATGACGCAGGGGAAAACATGAAGCCAGCCAATGCATCTGCCTAACTCCATCCTTATTTCAGACATTGTGATATATCGGTATATTGCGATGTTTAGCTGGTGATATATCATGGTGTTGAAAACCAGATATTACCCAGCCCTAGTTCGTTACCATTTCTTAACTGTCTTCTCTTTTTGAAATTTCTTGCAGGAGCAGGAATATCTCAGTAAAGATGGGCAAACCTGTCCATTTTTGTTTCTTTCTGTTTTCCAATCCTTAATCCAGTTCTCCACATTCCCACATATATTGTCTTTTAAAAAAGAAAAGTCCTCATGGAAATTTAGCAACATCTTAGTACAAATCTGCTGAAACACATTTTTTTGCAGATCTGTTCCCTCTAATATAAGGCATTTTATTTTCACGAATATATGCATTTTTATGCACATTTTATTCCAATAGATGCCTGTTTGTACACATTGTGTGCCTGCAAAATTCAAAGAAAAGCAAAGATAAGAAACCTGGATGTGTTTTAGTTTGTGTACTATTTTGGAAAGTGCACATTAGGTAGGTTCTCTTTACATGCAAACTGAACCCAATGTCTCCCTCGTCCCTGTAGCTTGACGAACCTTATTGCTGCTCCATAGCAGTGAACACAGGTGTCCCCTCAGAAAGGACTGTCATGACGGGGCTCATCCATACTTCTGCGTTTCCCACACTTTCTAGGCACAGGTCTGAGAGGTTTATCATTTGCCCTGCCATTCCCCCTGGGCAAACTCACTGTTTACCACTGAATTGCTAACTAACGCTAATTAGGTTTTCTGTGAATTGCAGTTTGTTCCAATTCAGCAGTAAACAGTGGGTTTTCCCAGGAAAGCAGACACATGCCTAGAAAGCATGGGGCAAGCAGAAGGAAACATGGGGCAAGCAGAAGTGTGAATGAGCCCTTAGCTAGGTTCAGTTATGCACCCACACATCTCTTACTGAGCATGTCTACACACACAGACACAGACACTCTATTCTACTGGGGGGGAGGAGAAATCCCTCTCACCCCTTCATAACTAGCTTAAAAATAATCATTCACCACCATTTAATAATCTTTTCATATCTATCCCCCACCCCCTCCAAATTTTATGCTGCAGGCTGCTGTTTTGTTATAAATGCATGTTTCCACAGCTTTCTATGATACTGTATCATTGTGAGGTAAAATGTCAATATGGGTAATGACACATCACAGTGAAAACACAATTTAATATTCAAAGGATTTGTGTAATTGTAAATTAGGCAGTGCCACCCGATATCATAACGTATTTCATGAGAAAAAGATGCTAAATTTACTTGACCTACTTTCATCTACATGTTTAGGAAACAGGGTATGATAAGTAAACAAAGTAGTTGAGCCTCATATACGAAATGATTATTGTTTGAATTTATGATTCATGCCTTGAGCAAAATTTTGTTTGTGGCCTCATTTGCAACCCTAATTTACAACTTTTCTAGGGATAGGCTGTGTACTTGGGAGGCTATATATTAGACATGCTTTGTACTGGAACTGTTTTCTAGCTTTGGGTGTAGTATATTCTGTGTTTCTGTTAGCTATAAAAATTCTTGGCATAACATTTATTGTAGTAAATATGGAAATTCTTTTTAAAAATTGCATTCCCCTTAGGAATGTCCTATTGTATTTACATCAGCGTGCTTATTATGGCTAAATCTAACTGGTATTTAAAGGGATTGTTAATCCTATAAAAATCTGTGCACGAATGCAAGAAAAATAACCATTTCAGTATCTCCAGAAGTACCTGACGCATGGATACTTAGTAAAAATCACTTTTTACATCATGAACTATCTGTATTTTAGGCTGTAGATGGCAATAGTAAACTATTATATATACATTAAAATCAAAGGATGTACTAGATACCTTTGGCTGATCCCTGCTTTAGAAAACTAGACAAAATAATAAATCTGGAAAGACAAACACATGCAGAACATAGCACTTACACTTTTTAATACACGATATAGACTTATCCCTTGCATTTAAAACACTTCTCTTAGAACCACAAATTCATGTTGTCTCCCAATCACTTGTACTTCATTACGTGCTGATCGTGTGCAATCCCTGCCATGCACTAAATTGTATTAGTGTCTTCTGTTACACAACTGGAAATGGTTCTATGCATGGTTCAATGATTGAGGAATAAAAGATAGGTATAGCACATGTTTGGTGCATGCTGAAGGGGATTCACCATGGACTGGAACTTTCCCATGATCAACAGGCACTGAAATGCTCGCAAAAATCAGACTTAAGAACAGAAGTGATGTGCCAAATGTATTACAGGGTGTTGCACAGTAATAAAATAATATGAACTTCGGTCAGAAGTTTGTAGCATCTAATTAAAGTTTGAGTCCCATGTTGGGTGAAAGGTTCCTGTATTGCAGGGGGGTTGGACTAGATGACCCCTGTGGTCCCTGAAAACTCTACAAGTCTGCCTGCCAACTGAAATATTTCACAGCTGAGAATAGGGATCATATCCTGGACCCCTGCTATCACACGTAGAAAGCTGCCTCATACCAGGTGAGGCTATTTATCCATCTGGCTAAGTGTTGCCGCCACATTCTCAGGCAGAGGACTTTCTACCTGTTATTCTTTTGAGTGGCTTACCAGGCAGTGGCATTGCGTAGGGGAAGGGCACAAAGGTGGTTGCCCCGGCTGCAAAATTATTAGGGGTGCAAAATATCAACACCTGTACTGCCTCAAGCTGTGTTCTTCTGTCATTGGGCTCCACTGAAAATGGCTTCTCCATGAGAACCAGGAAGTGACCTCCCCAGACATCAGAAGAACTCTTCTTATTTCTGTGGCTGCGATCTCCTGGGTGACACCAATGCTGTTGGGCAGTTGAATGCGCATGTGTACTCCGTCCATTCTCCTCTCTCCCCATGTCCCCTCCATGCAGCCCTGGGCACTGGCAACCCACTGGCATCTCAGAATAGAGTGATACCTGGAAAGAAGCACCATTGAACTCAGTGGGACATGTATAGCATTCCTCTGTACATTTCTGTAGAGATTAGGTTGGGGGCTGAAATTTGGGAAATGGCAAATCTAGTGATCTGCATTAATAACATTTTAATAAGGGTAATGACAGCATTAGGAGAAAGATATAGTAGGGGAGATGGGCCAGAAAACAGGGACCAGTCCCTGGTAAGTAAGAATGTTGTGAAAGTTTTATCATCTAACTGCAGCCCCATACTCAGGACCATCCCACAGTTGTTCAACTTTTAACCATCTGTAACCCCTCTTTATTCCTGCCAACCTAGCAGTTCGAAAGCACGTCAAAGTGCAAGTAGATAAATAGGTACCGCTCTGGCGGGAAGGTAAACGGCGTTTCCGTGCGCTGCTCTGGTTCGCCAGAAGTGGCTTAGTCATGCTGGCCACACGACCCGGAAGCTGTCTGCGGTCAAACGCCGGCTCCCTTGGCCTATAGAGCGAGATGAGCACACAACCCCAGAGTCGGTCATGACTGGACCTAATGGTCAGGGGTCCCTTTACCTTTACCTTAACCCCCCTTTATATTGGGACATGGGTGGTGCTGTGGTCTAAACCACTGAACCTAGGGCTTCCCAATCAAAAGGTCGGTGGTTCGAATCCCCGCGACAGGGTGAGCTCCATTGCTCAGTCGCAGCTCCTGCCAACCTAGCAGTTCGAAAGCACGTCAAAGTGCAAGTAGATAAATAGGTACCGCTCTGGTGGGAAGTTAAACAGCGTTTCCGTGTGCTGCTCTGGTTTCGCCACATGACCCAGAAAAACTGTCTGCGGACAAACGTCAGCTCCTTCGACCAGTAAAGCGAGATGAGCACTGCAACACCAGAGTCATTCACGACTAGACTTAGCTGTCAGGGGTCCTTTACCTTTTTAACCCCCCTTTAATTAATTTAATTAATTAGCATGGAATATAAGGTCATGATTTGGTGCATAGTGTGCATATAGCCGACAGAAAGAACTGAAAGGACCTGAGATATTAAAAGGGCTAGCAAGTTGATAAACAATGCATGTTGTCTACGATCCAAATGAGAGGCCCTTCTTTGTATTCCATTGGCCTCAAAATGGCCAAGAGATGACTGCCCACAAACCCATTGGCACTAGTCACAACCAGCAAGTGCATCTGGTCTATGAAATAACCACTGCGGATATGCAAAAGATGATACGGTGATACTGTTACAAGGATGTTGCCCTTTCCTCTCCAACTCGCCACTAGGTAACAGATATTTAGAATGGCCTCTATGGGAAGAAGTGGGTCATTTTACAGCAAGACCAAGGATGTTATATTTGGAACTCAACCTGTCCCAAGAGCCCAGAGTAAACTACAATGCAAGTCAGAGTAAATTACAATACAATGCTGCCTATCTTGGTATTATTTTTTAAAAAATAAATAAATAAAATGGCTATAAATTCAGTTAGCATTGTGTTTGCACTGAAAGCAAAATGCCAGAATTATTTACAAAGAAAAGCATTTGCATTTTTTAACAAATACATTTCTTGAAAGGGCGAATATGAGGAAACAGCAACATAACAATCAAAAGCATTAGATATAATCGCTGCCATTTCCTTTTAACAAAAGGAAATTGTGGCATTACCTTCAAAATGACAAGTATAACAGCTCAAGGTCAAAATATAAAATCCTGACTTTAGCAGAGAGCATAGTTGGCATCATACATGAAAGGCAGTTGCTGGTTCTGTGCCTTGGTCATGCAAGGAACTGGAAACTGGCAGAGGGACTGAGCTCTGATGGTTAATTTGCATCTCCAATATGGAACTTGCTGCAAACCGCATCTGTAGGTGTGAGGGTGAGTCTTAATGTTGTGTCAGCCACATGGGAACTGGCTAAAATAGATTCAGTGTAATGGCGACCAGCCACGCTCAATACATGTAAGCCTAGCCATGTGCACCTTCTGTAGTGAAGTGAATAAAACTTTGCATGGTATAGAGAAAGTGATCAGACAGAAGTTTTTCTCTGTGTCTCATAATACTAGAATCGGAGTCTTCCAATGAAGCTGAAGATTCAAGGCCAGGCAAAAGGAAGCTATAATCTTGATAGCTACAGACCCTCCAAGTGCCCCTATTTCCCAAGGATGTCCCTGATTAAGAGAAGCCGTCCCAGTTTCTGATTTGATCTTGGAATGTCCCACTTTTCCTTAGGATGTCCCTATTTTCATTGGAGAAATGTTGGAGGGTATGGAGTTATTTGGTCCCTGAGCCATCTGAAGGCAATCCTGTATAGGGAAGGTTTTTTTAAAAAAATGTTTAATGTTTTATTATGTTTTTATATATGTTGGAAGCTGCCCAGGGTGGCTGGGGCAACCTAGTCAGATGTGTGGGGTATAAATAGTAAAATTATCACTATGGATGGGACGTCCCTATTTTCATCAGGCAAATGTTGGAGGGTATGTGGCCATATTGCCTCCAGTATCACGACACATTGTGCCTCTCCAAGAATTAGTTGCTGGGCATTGTGCTGTTGCACTCAAGCTCTGGTTGTGGACTTTGCAGAAGCATCTGGTTGGCTACTGAGATAGGATGCTGGATGAACATAAGAGGCTCGTTATCTGTCCTGCACCTGTTACATATGTATTGATTTATAATACCTGGAGAGGGCTATTGCTGAGAGAGATGCTGAGCAGGAGGAAGAGCATCTCATTCCTAGTTCATTAGATGCCGCAAAACCTCAAAGACATGACATGCCCAATCCTGATGTAAGAACAATTTTGAAACGTGGTCTGGTGAAGAGGAAAGAGCTCCTCAGTACGGCTCTGTCGGTGACTGGGCAGAGGAGGAATGGTGGAGACCACCTCCCCAGCCTGACCCTTCCAGAGAAGAAGAAGACAGTTCAGAATTACAACAGGGGGTTGAGGGACATCACAGCTCAGAGGAAGATGAGGAAGTTGGGAAAAGGAGGAGGAGGCAAAGCCTGAGCAGCGGCTGACATATTATCATTAGAAAGCATTTCAGACCCACCATCTCCCAGAACCTGGCAAGCCTTAAAAATAGGAGAGCAAAGGGCTCAGAAGCAAAGGGCCCTCAGCGCCAACTGTAGAAGGGATGACACATGAGAAGGGGAGGGGAGATTTTCTTGGAGCAACACCATTACTCCAAGTGGCTGCATTCTAAGCCTCTCTCTGTGAATATTGAATAAAAAGCATTGGTAAGAACTTTCCTTGTCTTATCCTTCCTGGCAACCTGCAGTGGGGGTTGGATCCTCTGATGCCTGACAGGTTCAGTCCCAAGAAGAAGAAGAGGAGGAGGAGTTTGGATTTGATATCCTGCTTTATCACTACCCTAAGGAGTCTCAAAGTGGCTAACAATCTCTTTTCCCTTCCTCCCCCACAACAAACACTCTGTGAGGTGAGTGAGGCTGAGAGACTTCAGAGAAGTGTGACTAGCCCAAGGTCACCCAGCAGCTGCATGTGGAGGAGCGGGGAAGCGAACCCAGTTCACCAGATTACGAGTCCATCGCTCTTAACCACTACACCACACTGGCTCTCTAGACTCTCTAGACTCTGGCCAGGTAGATAATATACCCTTCCCATGTATTCTACCTTCCTTGGGGCTTTGTGCTGGTTTCAGAACACTTTTCTTGCACCCTTATGTGGAAATGCAAGCAAATGGACTCAGTGACTGTTCCAATGGATAACGTTGCAAATGGTCGCCCAGATATTATCTTGTGTCATTTCATCCATGAAGGATGGACAATAGAGTGACTAATAACCTTGCCCGGTGCTCTGCTTTTCAGATGTATGAAACACTCACACGTGAAGTTAATAGTCTAGTCTGGGGGAAGCCTAGAGATAGGAGTGCATTAAAATAATACAGTTATGGAAGAGGTTGCTTAAGTGTGAGAATTCCTGTGCTTGGATCCTCTTCTCTTCTGACTAGGCTGTTCCTTCTGCCCCTACCCAGCTACAATTGTGACATTTTTCTTCTGAAAGGTTTTCCCTGCTGGACAAATGAGTCTGTGTGTTGGGTATCCAATTTGTATTTTTTTAAAAAAAACACATCAGCTGTTTTTATTGTACCTCTCCTTGAGACGCATGTGTGGAAGGCGAGAAATAAACACATACAAACCCATGCAGCTTTGTCTACTCTTTCATTAAGGCAGAAATGGCTTCAAAGCTGGGACTGGGCAGGACAATTCTCTTGTCGTCTCTTTTTTGAAATGCCTACTACAAACACATGGCGGGAGGCTGTGTGTGAAGCTGCCCTGGGGGAGTGGCACATTGAATGCCCCATGATCCATGGCTTCCACGGAGAATGCACTCAACGGTGAGCCCCAGTTGGAGACAGGGCAGGTGAAATGTGGAAATTCCAGATTTATTGAGCTTTAGCTGTAGGTAGAGGCTCAGGCTGCCAATCTTGCCCTCCCTTCCTTAGGCAGTACAGTCCCAATGTCCCACGAGCTATTAGAGCAATAGCTATGTTCCTTCTCAGAAAGTTTACCTTGCCCATCAGTGCCTAGTTTCTCTCTGGTGACATTCACTATAGGATCCAAGAGAGGAGGGGTTCCCTGCAGCCTCTGTTCCCCTCTTTTCTTCTCCAGCAGCCCAGTTTCCTTCCTTCCCCTGCTTACTGCCTTTTGGCTATTTAAGTTCTTGATGCCTTAGTGGTAGAATCTGCTCCCTGCCTTCCCTTCCTCTTTGCTGGCCTGACTGGGTTGCAGCAGCACTGGCTCCTGCCCAGGCAGATTGGGGCTTTCTGAAAGGAGGATCTCCACATGGGAAGAAAGGTTTGCTCCCTCTTCTACATGCAGTAACATCCACTTTCCCAGCCACAATCATCTGAAGCACAAAAGTTTGTGTATCTTAAATCATCTTCATGAGACTAGGCATCTTATGCACCAATGCCAATTATGTTCTCTGGGGAGAGAAGAGGGAGGGAAAGAAAGGGAGAGATTGCATCAGTGATGGGGGCAATTTTCTATAGAAAGAATCTGCTTAATTGGACAAAAAGATCGATGCGTGATCTGGAATCATACAGCTCATAATTTCTATGGACTGCTATTTCATGATCCTAATTAAATTATAGATGAAAGTCAAAGACACAAGACCAAAACAGGCACTTCTCTTGGTTCACCTGATGAATTAACTGTTTACAAGCAAGCACCTGTACTGTATCTGTGAAGTCAATGCCGTTCTGTGCTTTTGTGTGTCAATGAAGGATGCACGACCGAAATATACATCGCTGTCCTTGCAGCATTTTCCCTACAGGTGGCAGCATTGTAAGGTTTTGCAGTTTGAAAACTAATGATTTTCCTCTGCTTTCCAAGCCTCTCCTTCCTGCTTCCCCCCAATTGCTACATCATCAGGTCTTAGTTAACATCATTACATGTCTGTCAGGTAACATAAAATGTATTAAAATATCATAACACTCGTGCTCACTTCAAATTAGTTTCTGTTCTCTTTAGCTTGCTTCTGATTATATTTTTGATAATCTGATATGTTTGCTATTCTGACCTGTGTGATTCTGGCATTAAGGAGTTCTTTCTGGCCTCGGTGTTAATCCGGTGGAAACCAGGGCTCTTCACAAAGACGACAAGGTGTGGTATCAAATTTACACTTTGGGGGTCATGCAGTTCCTTTCAGAACAGTGCAGCCAGAAGCTTGCTTTCAGAAAGCAAGCATGAGTACACGCCGCAGAATTAATCTCATTTACTAAGCATGTACTGTATGCACAATCTGAATTAATTATAATTTTTGCTTAAAGCAGGTCAGGGCACATTGCTTCCACGTGCTGCTTAGTCCAGATTTTGCTGTGGACAGTCATTTCTGCATCTAGCTGTGGTTTGGCTCCTTGTGCCTTTTCCTATAGCAGAAATGGTGTCAACAGAGAGTGGGTTTGTTCGTGTCAGTATATCGAAGGCGATGTCCCAAGAGTAGCCACTGGGACAAGACTGCTGGCAACATTTAATTTTAGGGTTATGGGTTCGACCCTCACATTGGGCAAAAGATTCCTGTATTGCAAGGAGTTGAGCTAGATGACCCTTGTCCTTTCCAACTCTACAGTTCTATGATTCTATGAATTTAATCACCAGATCATCAGATGAGGCCTTACTCCAGATACCATCTTTGTCCATAGCAGGGGTGTGGAAGCAATGAATCTCCAGACATTGCTGGACTACAGCTCCCATCATTCCTGAACATTTTGATTGGGGCTGATGGGAGCTGCAGTCCAATAATATATTGATGGCCAAGAATTCTCCAGCCAGGGCTGGCCCAACTGTTAGCCAGAGTGAGGCAGCTGCTTCAGGCGGCTGGTTTTGAGTGTCTCAAAAGGGCAGCAAACTGTTGGTTATTATTGTTGTTGTATTTTACTGTTCGGACGTGGGTGGTGCTGTGGTGTAAACCACTGAGCCTTGGGCTTGCTGATCGGAAAGTCGGCGGTTCGATTCCCCGTGACGGGGTGAGCTCCCATTGTTCAGTCCCAGCTCCTGCCAACCTAGCAGTTTGAAAGCATGTCAAAGTGCAAGTAGATAAATAGATACCGCTCCAGCGGGAAGGTAAACGGTGTTTCGTGTGCTGCTCTGGTTTTGCCAGAAGCGGCTTAGTCATGCTGGCCACATGACCCGGAAAAACTGTCTGTGGACAAACATTGGCTCCCTCAGCCAGTAAAATGAGATGAGCGCTGCAACCCCAGAGTCGTTCATGACTGGACTTAACTGTCAGGGGTCCTTTACCTTTACCTTTATTTTACTGTTATGGTGGAGATTTTGTGCCTTAGGTTTCAGAAAAACTTGACTGGCCATTTTATGCTTGACTTGCCCCACCCCTGATCTGAAGTTATATTTCATACCCTCCAACATTTGTCTGATGAAAATAGGGATGTTCAAAGGAAAAGCGAGACATTCTGGAATCAAATCAGGAAGCAGGATGCCTTCTGTAAATCTGGGACTGTGCCTGTAAAATGGGGAACATTTGGGTCTGATATTGGTGACTATAAGTAGGTGGAGAGATATAGGACATTTTCAGGCATGGGTCCCCCAATGTAAAACTCCCTTCTTAGTATAGCTTGCCTGTTCTGTTCCTTTTTAATTTTCAGGAAAACAAGAATTTTAAATGTAATTTTAACTGAGAAGCCATTCTTTCTTGCAGTTTCTTTTATTATTAGTTTTTAATTTGCACTTTCATATTACTGTTTTATGCTGTATTTCTGTTATGCTGGCATACCAGAGTTATGCACCAAAGCTATGCACACGTACATGAAAGTCCCGTTGAACCAATGGAGTTTAATTCCGAGTAGACATGAATAGGGCCTTTAGAGTGAATCGTGGGTTTTCTCCAGTCCTGTCCACCAACCACTTCAATCAGGTTTTATACCACATATAATAATCAGGCACTGCTGCTATTGTGCATCTGACAACAGGTGCTGTTGCAGGATTGGCGGGCTTAGGGCGCTACTAGATGGGTGTTTAATATGAGACAGTTGCCTCTCCTGTGTGCAAGGTCTGGGGTCTCTCTCTCTCTCTCTCTGCAGTGCCCATGCAACATCATTGGCACCAAAACACTAGTCCATATTCCCCCATCCTCAGTTTTATTTGGATTTGTCCTCATCAGGAAAGATCTGATGGATAAATGGATAAATGAATAAATAAATAAATAACTGTTGCCAACTATATCTGAATGACCCTTTGCAATATTAATAAGCACAAATAATGTGCACAATATCTGGAAACACACTCAGACCCTCCAAGTGCCCCTATTTTCCAGGGATGTCCCTGATGTAGAGAAGGCATCCTGGATTCTGATTTGATCCTGGAATGCCCCTCATTTCCTTAGAATGTCCCTATTTTCACTAGAGAAATGTTGGAGGGTATGGCGTTATCCAACCCCTGAGCTGTCTGAAGGCAATCCTATATAGGGAAGGTTTCTTTTTAATGTTTAATGTTTTATTAAGTTTTTATACATGTTGGAAGCTGACCAGAGTGGCTGGGGCAACCTAGTCAGATGTGTGGGGTATAAATAGTAAAATTATCATTATGGAATGGGATGTCCCTATTTTCATCAGAGAAATGTTGGAGGGTATGCACACTTAATTTGTGCTTTTGCACAGGTTCAATGCTCCGGGTCAGTTTCTGATGCCCCAAGTTGTAACACATACTGGTGCAGCAATCTTTGTGTTTAATCCAGGTGTTCCCAAGCTGTGGTCCTACCACCAGAGCTCCACAAAGTTCATTCAGCATTTCTGTCAAAATATAATTTAAAAATCATACAGCACCTAGCACAGTGCATTGGTCCCAACTGGCGGGGGGGGGGGGGAATGAAGTGGTCTACCAGGACCCTCAGCATTTTCAAGTGGTCTGAGGAGGGGGAAGGAGTTAGGGAACCACTGGTTTAAACCTACATGCTGATTTGCTTGTGCAGCAACTTGTAAAATTTAGCCAATTTACTGAACTAGAGTAAAGTAGAGTTCAGTAAATTTATAGCGTTTGCATTCTCAAACCGAAATCTGATCGAAGAAATAGATTACAAATGTCTCCAATTCTTGAAAAAGAAACCTTTTGTCTCTTTTACTTCTTGGTTTTAGGACGAGAAACCCTGTGTACTTAATGCAAGTGGCAGTAACATTTGATAAACAATATAAATAAAGTGATTCTGTGAGTGAGGCTGTAACCTTATCCAGTCTTCCCTGCAAGTAAGCCCCACTGAACTCGGAGTTACACACATGGAGTACAAGATTGCTCTGTAAGTAAATGCTGCTGCCTACAGTGATGCATCGTTGCTGGTTCTGCTACGTTTATGATATCATAGACTTCATTGCCTCTTTTGTGATGTCATAAATAAAGACACCATGAGGTCACGTGCCTTCTGATACCCAGGGAGAAGCCAATCCTGAGGTAAGGAATTGACAAAATTGTTTAAGGATTATTGAAAATATAAACCAAAATTGTTTCCTCGATAAATATAATTAGCTGCATATATTGCATTTTCGAGTGGAAGCAGCGATGTTGGGACCAGCTCTTTAAATAAAATAGGACCTCAGTGGTCTCCAGAGAGAACATGCATAAAGCAAAGTAAATGATTTTCTGTCAACACTAAGTAGACAGGTGCTTACATTGAACAGCATTCTAATATGTCTCTGAATATTTATGTCTTCTTTTTCAAATGCATTGCCCATGAATGTCATAGCTGTCAAACGTCTGTATACAAGAAGATAAAAAATGAAATTAATAAAAGGCAGATCAACATTTTGTTTGTTTAGAACACTTTTTCTCCCTGCTGCCTCTTCCTTTTTCTTTTTTTTTAGGTTAGCAATATTTGGGTTTCTTAGTTTGTTACTCTGAAGGGGGAACATTTCCGACTATTCAATAACAGCAAGGAAAGTACAGTTAGTGTGGTAAGCAAAGGATGCCTGTAGTGCTAAATTGGTATGATCCAAATTCTCTGGTTTAACAGGTTTGTCACTTATTTAGCAGATGGCAAAAATCAGTGGCATCTCACATCAATCTAGGACCTCATGTTATTTCTGTGATTTTACTTTGGGTTTGTTGTAATTCAGCCTTGTATTTAAGCACACCCACGATAGTCACTGGTGAAAAGAAATTGCATGCAAGTGAGTGTCTCTCCCCTCACCTAAATGAAGAAACCAGGTGAGCTGCTAGAGGAAGGAAGTTCTTGCCTTTGCATCCCTTACCTGCCAACCCCAGCAGGCTAGTAGATACTTTTTTTACAGGTTATTAACTTCTATGAGTTTGTTTTAAGGCCATTAGAATTGGATTACATATTTTATGAACTGATTTGAGTGTTTTGGAAAGGAAGCCTAGAAATGTTTAAAACCAGCAAATAATATAATGCAGTCAACGCCCTAGATCTCTTGAACATCTATCTTCCTTGACAATAGTTAAGGATATATTACTACCTGCTCCTTGCTTCTGATAGGGAAGGTGACAATAACCCCTCTGCTGGGGCTCGCTCACCAAAGAGCACTTGTCCCAGACTTGGGTCTTGGCTGCCAGGATTCCAACACAAAACCTCAAATGTTGCAACTTCCTCATGCAAGAACTGCTCCATGCCCTTGATCATTTCCCTTGCCCTGTTCTGAACCTTTTCTAGCTCTGCAGTGTCCTTTTGGAGGTGAGGCAACTAGAATTGTACACAGTATTCCAGGTGTGGTTGCAAGCACTGAAATGACATCGCAGCCAATGCCTGCCTTATTTGAAAGCCAACTTGTTTGGCTTGGATGTAACTGAGAAACAGAGTTGGGATGTCAGCAATGTACTAATGACACCATTCTCCAAGTCCTGTAAGGGATTCTCCCAACAACTTCATGCAGATTATCATTATTATTTATTAAATTTGCAGATCCCAGGACAGTTCACAACACAAAAATACAATATATAAAAAGCCCCCCCCCACACACAAAATACATAATAAAAACTACCCAAACCCTCCCTCTCCCCACAGCATATTTAAAAGGGTACCAGATGTCATCAGCCAAAGACCTGACTGAAGAGGGATGTTTTTTGCCTGATGTTAAACAGCAGATATGGAGTTTGGAATAATTAAGTGAGAAAGAATTTTTTTTTTGGGGGGGGGAAGCAGGGCATGGTTGGTTACCTTCAGTTGACTGCAGTGAGTTTTGTTTGTGTGTGGGGAGAGGGGTTGTTGGGTCAAGTTAGCCATATTGATTTGTATGCTGTCGGTGGGTTCTTGTCTTGTTGCGCTGTAATAAAAACAAATGAAATGAAAGTACACAGTATGCTTCATGCATAGTGGTTTTGGTAAAGTAACTACAGCCACAAACTGCCCACTCAAAATTGTACTCCCAGCCCCACCGACATGACTGCAAAGTTTAGAAAATTGTTCCCATTGGTTCCAATGGGAACTTTTTTGATTAAGCTTCATAGCCATTCAGGGGGCAATAATCGGGGGAGGGGTGTGTGGCTGGGCTAGGAAGGAAAAAACCTCTCCCTGTGCCCTGAAATCCTAATAATAATTGGACACACATGCACATACACACAGAGCGGTAATTTAACAAAACTGAGACATATTTGTACCCGATGCATTAAGCAGAATGCGTAGTTTGTACTTGAATTCTCTGTCTGGACACAGTAGAGCACCTGGGGATTCTAGCACATGGGTCCGAAGAGCATCCTAGAAACAAAACAAAATTCAATTTCCAGTGTTGTTGTTTTTTAACTTTAGTCTTTGGCTAAATATGCTGTCACATTGGGACTGCTGAGTTTGCATTACCTACAGCCAAATACCAAACAAAGAGTAGTTTGTGTTCCGAAAGTGCTCCAAAGTTATACATGTTTATTTTTCATCCTTTTTCTTCACAACTACATGCCAAAAACTGGCTTCTGCATTAATAGGCACAGTGTAGTTTTTGAGGAAATTAGTCATAAGAACCCAATGAACCTTCTGCTATTCAACACCGAGGAAACTACGGAAATGGAAATTCCATCAAAGAGCAGAAAGAAGGGAGAAGAGTCAGCTCAATGTTATTTGTCCACTTTTTAAAACATGTCTCTTTTGTATGTCCATCTTGGGCAAACAACAAAAACCCTTTGAATCCTGTATCACAGAAACTCCATGCAAAATATTCCCCAAACCCCAAGTTCCTCTTTATTTGTGGCTATTGTGGTCATTCATAAATGTAACACTTCCCTGGCAGCAACAAGAACTAGATCTCTCCATCACAAGGCAATTGCTTCCACACTTATAAGCCTGAACAGCAGTTTCCAACCATGTTTTTATTTAAATAGAAGCAGGAAATAATAGCATAGAGTTTCAACTGATTTTGTAGAATGATCTGCATCTACAAACGTGAAAAGGCCAGCATAGGTTTCTGTTTTGTTTTTAATGAACGACAACAGATCTTGTGGCACCTTAAAATGCTAACAAATTTGTTGTGGCATAAGCTTAAGGAGCCCCAAGAGTCTTTGTTGTTTTTGCTGCAACAGAGTCACAGCGCTACCCCTTTGGAACTTTCCATACTGAACCTAAGCTTAGACTTCGTAAGGAGAAATTGCTCCTAGGCACACAGTTGATATGCAGCCTCTGATTATTTGGATTGCTGTTTGTACAGCCAAAGGGAAAAGGCATAGACTGGGGCCAAGGGACTCTGTTTTCACTACCAAAATATCTGGGGGTGAAGGAAGGCCTTGTGAGTCAATTTGAGATCTTTTATTTTGTTTGTGGCAGAGCCAAATACTGCTGTCTAAAGCACACACACACACACACACACACAGAGAGAGAGAGAGAGAGAGAGAGAGAGAGAGAGATTAGTCCTTCAACTGGTAGGTTCCCAGGGCATCAGACAAAGACTTAACTCTAAGAAAAAGTAGAAGTGTCCTGAGAACTTCTTGGATCTCAGCTCATGAATGACAGCTTGGGAGGGACAAAATTCTAAGTCAACTTGGAATTTTTTTTGTAGTAGGAAACAAGCAAATGCAATGCAATGCAATACAATACAATACAATACAATACAATACAATACAATACAATACAATACAAACAAGTAGACTTAGTAACATGTATTGCAGGAACAGAGAGGATCATGCAGTTGTAACATAGTGTTGCCATTGAGCAAGCCTACCTGCAAGGGAGGGAGGATGAAAGGGTGTAGGCTGGTGGCTGAAGAAGAGCACCCACTGGTAGGGGGCACTAAGTGGTGGTGAGTGCTGGGTCTGAGGCCAACACTGGGTGAGTTTGTACTTGTATTTCATTTGAATGATTCCTTAGAACACCCACATGTGAGAGAATGACAACGCTGCTGCTAACCCGCACCACAACTATTTACCCGCCCCCCCCTTCTTAGAGGTTAAGGAAGATAAGAGAATAAATTGCAGAAAGCTTTTGCATATCCAGTTCCCGTTCTGCCATTTTCTCTCTTCCTGAAGCTGGGATGATGAGATTCTAGGATTTTCAGTATAAATTGGCCAAGATGAAAAAGCAGATGTTGGCGATGTTTGGCTATGATTAGGACTGGCTCGTGAATTCTAAGGTTCATAAGTTCATTTCAATTCAGACAAACATCCACATGTTTTGTTGCTTATTCAAATGTAACTATTCCTCTTTAAGTTGGATATATGGCTGGAAACATCATACTTCTTGATACGAGCCATGTCAGTAACACTCTTGCGAAGAGAAGTTCATCTGCTTCTGATTAACAAAACCAGAAAATACAGAAATGCATAAAAATGAGAGACTTCTCTGGATGGGCCTTATTATTTAATCCCTTTTTTCAATGCGGCGGCATATATGATTTTCCTTTTGATCCAAAAAATATGGCTATAGTTTGCAAAATGTGTTTGCCATATTAGGAGAACTGAAATGTAGAGGTAATGGGAAGGGTTTCTTTCCTTCTTTCTTTTTTAAAAAGATCCCTATAGACTCTTTGCCACAAACAATCCCTTGCTGTTAAGTGTAAATAGAAAGCTTTTGTGTGGTTTCTAACAGAACACAGCATAAAAATTAGGATTCCATTCTGTTCTTTGTTTCTACAGTATGTAAAAGTAATTCAGCAGAAATACTGATAGCTTGTTCCAACCCTAGGTAAAATCCCATTTGGCCTGAGCAAATTCCCCTGCAGGTGAGTTTAAACCTAAATATAGGTTATGTGAAAATACTCTTAGATGACTATTTAAGAAGTTCTAGACATGGGTCTGCTGCCAAAAACACAGCACAGCTCTGTGTCTCATTCTCTCTCGAAAATATCTAGGTCTTAGTTTTACCCCTAAGATATAAAGGGGCAGCCTGTGTTGCCCAGATGTTGTCACACTGCCCACTCTCATCATGCCTGACTGTTGGTCATGCTGGCTGGAGCTGAAAGGAGTTGGAGTCCCACATCTGGAAGACCACAGGTTCTCCATCCCTGCCCTAAGATCTACTGCAACGTATTGTTTGACGTGACACTGTCATAGTGTGGACATTGTCACACTGGAGGGAACCTCCCACAGTGATAGTTTCATGCAAAGAGGTGGACTGTCGAAGATGTTACAATGGACAACCAAGACGAGGACAGCCTTGTGTAGTGGCAACCATACTTTGTTCTTCACACTTGAAAAAGGGAGGTGAGAAATGCAGCCTTTCTTCTCTGTGCTGGCATATCGCTGGATAAGCTTGTTTCACTGACTTCTCATATATGTGTGTACAAGAATATGAGGAGTCTTGTATCTCGTTCAGAGGCCCTTGGCTCTCTGACATGTGTGAGTCTCTTGCCCGTGGCAACACTGCCTTGGGGGGGGGGGGGACAGAAAGACGATGCCAGGGCAATATAAAGGCAAAGCTAAAATGATTGAGTCTAAGTGGCAGAACCTATATGTGTCTTTTAAGACATCTGACAGCCAAACTGCACATCCCAAGTTATACTCAGGCACATAATTAGAGATGACAGAGAAGTTCTTTAGAGCCAGTCTAAGAGATCAACTCTGAGGGATGGTAAAGCCCCTATCAAACAAGAGAGAAACTTTTAAAGCCCTCAAATTATTTGCCTTCTCAGATCAAAATCTGAGCCGAAGAATTCTGAGTGTCATACCTATTGGATATTCTGTGTGTGAGAGAATCATTTGTTCCCGAAACAGGGAAGAACAGAGAAGAAGTTTCAAGAAGCAGCAAAAGGCTGAGATTGTTTTGTCTATGCAAGGACATTTTCTGTGGGAACCGTTCCTTGGACATGCGCAGTATGACAGGAAGTACTGATATCAATGGTTCTGTGTAACTTGTTGCAACTTGTTGTAAGTCTCTTGCTTGCGTCTTGCGGTGAGAGAAGCAGAGAGAGAGAGTCTTGGACTCTTGTTGGACTCTAAGCATGCCTTGACCATGACAGTCTGTATATATTTGCTACCAATATGCTTTTGTGCCTGTCAAGTAAACCTCTACACTTGACTGAATCTTCATGGTGTCCATGAGTGTATATTGCCTACTGCGTATACCTTCAACCCCAAAGACCCTTTCAAGGAAGGAGCTGCATTGAGATGTAACTATGCTGAGTAGGGATACTGGCACACACACACAGCAAAAGTGACGCCAGACCCAATCCTCCTAAATCACCCATCAGAGGTTGATGGATTGATCCAGCAATACCACTCCCTGTTTGCTAGTCCTCACTATTCCCCCCAAACCCCACCTTGCTCACCCATGACCTCCAAAACACACTCTCTCCCCATACTTACATGAAAAGCAGTAATTGTGGGAATAGCTGTTGGTAGTGAATGGTGAGAGGAAGTAGATTTCTTTCCTTCCCACCCTTTTTATTTGTTGCCCTTATGCTCCTGATAGTACAGTACACAGGAAAACCTTCTGAGGACCATGGAATAGCTCCATAGTTCCTAGACTTTGGGTTCTAGGGTACTGTTACCAGTGCATGAGAGGTGCAGAGAGTGGGGGTAGGGGAGAGAACAAACCTACCTTTTTGCTCTACGTGCTCCTAGCAAAACAACAACAAACAAACCTATGGTCACGTAAAGCATACTCAATAAACACACAAGACGTAACCGGCTGTGTTCTTAGATAAATAAGGTATACTATTCATAGTATCAAATCATAAATTTCAACAGAAGTAACGCATAAAAGTTCAACAAACGAACAAAGCAGAAGACCCAGTGAATCAGATCATTCTCCAGTCACTTCATGCATAAGGTCAATCCGTATACTAGTGTCTATTCCACCTGTCTGTTCATAAGGTCCTAACAAACCACATGTTGTTACAGTTCCACAGAATCCTTTCGCAGCCACTACTTTCAGGGAAGGGCGAATGCGTTTTCCAAGCTCAAGAAAATTATCTCAATTTTCCTGATTCCCCCACCCCTGTAATTCCCCCCCCCCCCCCGAGTTAATCTAGTGAGAGATTTGGGGAGCTCACTCAGCTTTACACACATTGTACCTCCTTCCAATGGCTTCTATTGTTGGTAGGGATCATTATGGCTGTACTTCCATTGGGAAACCACATATTGTGAAACTATGTGTGATGGCAGAGAGACTTCTGATCTACAGTACTTTATTTTTATTTTTATTTTATTAAATTTCTATGCTGCTTTTCATTCACGGATCATAGCGCTCCATACCAAGGGTCATATTCAGATGTAAAACAGCCATGTTTTGGTGTGTTTTATTAATTTTTATTTATTTCACAAAATTTATATACCACTTGATAAAGCGGTTTGTAAACTGTGTTATCATTAAACTGCTAGTACCTTCAAAACCAATATTTGTCTTAAAAAATTAATTTCAGTCTCTATATTGTAGGAGTCAGAGGAGTGAAAGAGTGTGTGTGTGTGTGTGTGTGTGTGTGTGTGTGTCCAACTAGTGTAAAATACAAATGTGCTGAAAGGAAGCAAAGTTTGCAAAATTTAGGAAATACTATAATTAATGCTATCCCACCAGGGATCATGATGCAGTCTGTGTTGCGTCTTTTGTAAGACACCTTCTCTCTTCTGTGCACAGGAAGGACAAACAGGGAAGCAGGAGGTTGCATGGGCAACTATAAATCTGACATTTCCTGACTCAATCTGCAACCTAAACAACATCCTTTTAAAATAGGTGTGGAGCGTTTTATTTAACAGTAATAATATGTACAGCTTCCCCCCCCCCCCCCCGTTTTAATGGAACTCTGCCAGTTAATACCAGCTGATATGCCGGTCTTTTGATTTTTATTCCCAGAGGCCTCAACTATACACCAAAATTACTTCACCTGCCCCTGAACTGTGGACATTCCTGGTGTTGAATGAACATGGCACCTCTTTAACAGAGCATTTTGATGAATGTGGTCTATATGCTGTTCAATAGGTCAGGGGAGGAAAAGGAAGAGACGAGGTAGCCAAAACTACAGGGAAAATGTTATTACGTAGAATAGATCAACTCAGATTGGAATTCGTCCAGCATGCTGGGGACGGAGGCTGTTAAAACTATTAGCAGAATTGGTAAACTTCAGAAGTTGTAACATTATGTTGTTTATGTGCAGCCAGTTTTTAAACCATCATGTCCTTTCTTGTGCCCTTTTCTTCTATTGATGCTAAGTATTGTCCTTTGCTTTTGAAAGGTTTTCTTTAAGCTGTTTCTTTTCCCTGAAGAGTCAGCTTCCTCTCCTTATGGAAGAATTTAGCTCTCCTCCTTCACTGGTATAGTTGCCTTTGCCTTTTACAATTTGTTTATCCAGTGCATATAATAAACATGGACTTCATGGCTTTGCGATATGAGTCAATGCACTGCAGCAGCAGTTCATGGGATCTAGCATTCAACATGTTAAGCTAAAACTGACTAAAAGTTTGAAACTTGGCATTCATCCATACTTTAATATGGTGTCCATAAGCAATGCCCCTTCAAGGGCCAGTAAGGACAGTTAAGCCTAAAATTGCACATTTAAATAATTTTGGTATGGATCACAATAAGCAATGCTGCCTGGGCTGAGAGTGACATGTGTGCATTTTTGTTCTTTGCTCACTTTATGTTTCAAGCCTGCGATGAATCTCTTGGTCTGCAGCGGCCGCTGCTATCTTTACACCACAGCCTTCAGCCTGCTATACACCACCTCCTCCTATCTGTATCCTGTTACAGTGATACCTCGGGTTAAGTACTTAATTCATTCCGGAAGCCTGTTCTTAACCTGAAACTGTTCTTAACCTGAAGCACCACTTTAGCTAATGGGGCCTCCTGCTGCCGCCGTGCTGCTAGAGCATGATTTCTGTTCTCATCCTGAAGCAAAGTTCTTAACCTGAAGCACTATTTCTGGGTTAGCAGAGTCTGTAACCTGAAGCGTATGTAACCTGAAGCGTATGTAACCTGAGGTACCACTGTACTCTCAGCTGCAGCTCTTGTGCTCCACACATTGTAAAAGAGTCGAGATACAGGGCTGTGCTGAGTCCTCCTTTAGGAATGGTTTTGTGTTGCCTTCAGGGGCGTTTTCTACGAAAGAAGGTGCAGAAAGGGAAGGTGTTGGCCACACACCAAGAATTCTGCTTTGGGTGGTTTGTGGTGCACAAAACAAAGTACCCATTCTCTACAATACAAAATCAGGCCCATGAACAAGGAAACACCTTGTCCACCTTGTTCATCTCTGGGAAAGACAAAAAGTGAGCTTGGGATGCATGGAACATCACAGATGCATTTCTGACATGGACAGAAGCACCAACATGCATGCTTGACAATACTATGATGCCTCTTGAAAGGTCTGTAGTCCTTCTGCATGATAGAACCAATGGATTGTGCAAAGTCAATGAGGCAAGGCACCATCTGTTTTCAAGAAGGTCACAATCCCCAGAGACTATTCCGCAGGTGGCTCCCAAATAGCACACACTGCATACAATCTGTTGAAGAGATCTATGTTAAAAGGTGGTATGAACTAATATTTCTTTATATATTGCTTGATTGTAATAAAACTTCTAAACAGTTTATGATAAATATTAACATTATCAATAAAAGCAGCTAAACATAATTAAAAACGGAGGTAATTAAAATTAGCAGCAAAAAAGATTAAAACACTTTAACACCTGCATGTCTGGATAGACTTGCCTAAAACACTAATAATAATAATAATAATAATAATAATAATAATAATAATAATTTATACCTCTCTCATCTGGTTGGGTTTCCTCAGCCACTCTGGGCAGCTTCCAACAAAATATTAAAAATACAATGAAACATCAAACATTAAAAACTTCTCTAAACAGGACTGCCTTCAGATGTTTTCTCAAAGTCAGATAGTTGTTTATTTCCTTGACAAGCCCTCTACCTGGTTCCCTGTAACCTCACTTCTCACAGTGAGGGAACCTCCAGAAGGCCCTCAGAACTGGACCACTGTGTCTGTGCTGAATGATGGGGGTGGAGACGCTCTTTCAGGTATACTTAAAATACTTTAAGCAGACACCAAAATGATGAAAGCGAAGGCACCTGCCTGGTGTAACCAGGCAGGGAGTTTCAAAGAGTAGGTGCAACCACACTAAAATATGTATTTTTGGCTCCCGAAATGGGCCCAGTTCTACAGATCGAAGTGCTCAGGTGTGCATAGATGCGGTAAGACTATCTCACAAGTAAACTTAACCAAGCTATTAAGGGCTTCATATACTACAGGTAACATCTTGAACTTGGCCCAGTGCAGCTCTCAGATCAGAGGTGTTATATGCTGACAGGGTTTCCTGTTGGCAACTGTGCTGCAGGATTCTATACTAACTGCAGCATCCAGATCAAGCACAAAGGTAGCTCCGTGCAGAGCGCATTACAGTAATCCAATCTGGATGCTATAATGGCAGGAATAAGTGCTACAAGGCCAGTCTTAATTGCACTGCTCTTTATCACTGTGAACGAAACCATTTTCAGGAATGATTCAAGTTGAATCCACAGCAGCTACACATTCTTCACAAGAGTGCGCATTTGGCATAAACAGAACACATTTCTAGGTTTCTAGTCGATAAAATAGGTACATGACTATATTTATATCATATTACACGGTATCGATCTATACACACAAACAAGAAGTTTGTAAATTTATTTTTGGATTATGAATCTTTGGTATTAATATTAGCTTGGTGTTTAATATAAACTGGCTTTTCAGAAACAGTATCCAACCCGGTTTAGCCGTTTGTGTATATTTATTGTCTATGCACATCCATTTTGTATTTGTCATCCAAATATTTTCAGTCATCACTGTTGGAGACATATTCTTGGCACAGGGGATATTTGTTTATAAGTGAATTAAAACTCATATATGTCATGGTGGATCCATATCAGGAAACGTTTGGGCATTATCACGGCATTATCACGGCATGTCTATGATGCCCTATTTGATCAGAAATCCCAGCTGATCAGCTGCACTATATGTGCTAAATACAGACCAGCATTAGGATCCCACCAGTGGCGTAGCGTGGGGGGTGCAGGGGGGGCTGGCTGCACCGGGCGCAACATCTGGGGGGCGTGCGCTCGCACTCGCAGCTCTCTGCCCCTACCTGGCTCACTCACTCTCTCTCACTGCAGTGCTGGCTGTGCGAATCCGATCCGAGCCGCTGGGTCGCTGCCCACTGTGGAGGGGTGGGTGCCAGGCGTGCGGTGCGGAGAGAGAGCGAGCGACTATCTGGGGAGGGACAGTGCAGCGGCCGCCCAGCACAGCGCTGAGCGCGGGAGAGAACCACACCAGACCAGACCAGGCAGCAGCAAGAAGAAGCTGGCAGCGGCGGCAGGTTAGGGGTTAGGGGGCGCAAATTACTTGCCTTGCCCCGGGTGCTGACAACCCACACTACGCCGCTGGATCCCACACTAGGAAGCAGTCGTTGACCTTCCTGTGCTGTGGTACAGGAAGGCCGTGCAAAAACTATTGCATCATACCATGAAAGCAAGTCATGTTGATTCCAGAGGTTTATAGATCTGGTTGTCACCAATTGCTTTGGCATTTGAGTACCTATGGACTTAACACTGTGATCTGAAAGAAACATCTGTGACCAAGAAAAGCCCAGTTTGGCTGAATGGAAAATCTGTGGCTGATCTACAGACAGCAGATAGGGACTAATAAAATGGAGAATTTTGAGAGATCATTTGCTCACAACTCTGGTTTAGGATTAAATGTGTGCTGTTTATGAGAAGGGGAGAAATGTGGATTGCTGTGCATTTTCATGTAAACGTACTGAATTTGAACTTAATGAAGCAATATGCAAAGCGAAACAAAATTCTCTGAATTTCTGAGTGCTGTTCTGCTGCCAAAAATGTGTACCAGAATGAGTATATTAGAAGAAAGCATGCATACCAATGCATATATAAGGGAAAATAACACACAAAACTGCATTATATTTGACAAAATTGCAAAAATGTGCATGGTAAGAGGAATAGACACTAAATTGATGAATTTTCATGAGCAGTTAAAACATTGTAAACTGATGCAGAAATGTGGAAAACTGAACTTAAGGTTTGGAAACTGAGAAACTAGAACTGAAAGATTTGTCCATCTCCAGCTGACACTTATGGTATATTGGAGGCATCTTATGTTTTCAGCAGATCTGGCTTAGAAATATATATTTATATAGTGAATTTCTACTTAAACAAAGTATGAGTTTTATGACATCTAAGAATATAGTGAAAATATTGGAATCTATGAGAAGGATTAAAGTTGCCTAAGAAACAGGGCTGAAATTACACATTTTGTTAGCTCAGTCATCTTTAAGGTCTTCTGGTTTTGCCCAACCACCTCCTGCCCCTACGGCTGATAGTAAATATGAAGATTAACATTAATGCATTAATACAAATCAAAGGAAAATCCCCCCCCCATTCTCATAAATATAGTAGGATAGTTTTGTGACCGCCCTTTCTAGCATTTGTAAAACAACCAGACAAATCTAAATGATTTTAGCAAAGGTATTTCAGATGTAATATTTCTGTATGGATGTAATATTTCTGTATGGATAATACCTGCTCGTTTTGTAATTATCATCAGATAATATGAAAATTACATTTTAAGAAACTCAACATGTTCTCAGTAAAAGGGCTGAATAAGGATTTTTTTTTAAAAAAAAATCTTGACATCAAGCTAATTTGCATGGATTTTGTCTAATTCTCATCTTAAATCTCCTTCACCTGTTTCTGCTAAAAATATTCACCATGCTCTCATATTATATGCTTATTATTCTTATAATATTATATGCGTATTATACACATACACACCAGTTTTCCTAAAATAACAATCACATTAAGAGATACAACAATGCAAATATCTTTTAAAAAATACTTAATTATGCTGTGGAAATATAGCAGAGCATGGGGCATTGCTCTTTTATATGTATTATATGTATAAGTATAATATATGTAATTTTGCATAGTTAGATTTTTTTTAAACCCCACAGCCAACAATGTACAAGTGGCTCCACATAAGTGGGTCCTTGAATAGTGATGATGATGATGATGATGATATTATTATTATTATTATTATTATTATTATTATCCCCAAGTATTGGCCATGCTGGCTGGGGCGGATGGAAGTTGGAGTCTAACAACATCTGCAGGGCACCGGGTTGGGGAATGCTGCTTTGAATGATATCACAAGTCATTATGGGACTTGGATGCCATCACTGAAAGAAAAGAAGCTTGTGTTGTTATAAATTTAACAGGAAGTTTCCCTAAAGAAGAGTATACCAGAGACTCCTGTTCCAAGTATAGTAAGAAAATGGTAGGAGGATATCTTGGAACACAGTTGCTAGTTCCATTAATTCATTTATGTTGCTAGGCCTAGTTTACTTTTCAGTTTACTTTTCCTTAGGACTATTCTTTTAAAAATGCAGTACTTGTATCCTGGAAAGGTAGCAAACTAATATTGGACTTCCAGTTGGTAGAGCTAAAACCATATACCTTATACTCTTTCCTGCAATGTATAGGTGGGGCAAAATTATTGTCACCTGAACTAGTGGTGTTTGCAGTTCCACGTTCTGAAATATGATGAAAGAGCCATCTAGAGATCTGCTCCTAGGCTCATAAAAGAAATCCAGCTTCATGGAGCTTGGCTCCTTCAGTCTTAAAAGAAATCCCAATCACAAGTATTAGCTCCATTTCTCAGAAAATGGGCCAGGTGGCTGGGATTTCTAGGAGTCCTGGGGGATTGTAAGTCATCTGTAGCAACTAGGGAAAAGCATTGAGTCAGTGATCCATTTGGGACAAGAGAGTTCCCCCAGCCTGATAAGATGTGATTGGCTGCTCTCCCTGTGCAAAGGTCAGAGGGGCAGGGTTTCTGTTGAGGCAGGTGATTAGCTGTGGGAGGAGCTTATCAGAGCCTGCAGGGCAGCAGTTGAAGAAGGAGCAAAAAGGGTGTTCTTGTGTGTGTGTGTGTGTGTGTGTGTGTGTGTGTTTCTTTGTGGCTGATTAGCTGTTCTCCCTGTGCAAAGGTCAGAGGGGGCAGGGTTTCTGTTGAGGCAGGTGATTAGCTGTGGGAGGAGCTTATCAGAGCTTGCAGGGCAGCGGCGCACGCAGTTTGATCCATCTTTTAGATTTAGGGGAGCTAGTCTCAAACGTTTGTTGGGGAGACCTAGGTTTTTTTGTGGGGAGTTATTTTTCCTGTCTTCACGCTTTTATGATGGAGGACCGCTGTAGCCACCCCCAACGACACGTTCTCAAGATGGAGGGGAGGGAACAGCTGCAGTCGCCTGCGGTTCCTGCGCAATGTTTGCCATCTTGCCAAAGGTTGCAGGCAGCTTTACCTGCAGCAATTGCATGTTGATTGCCCTCTTAAAAGACAAAGTCCAGCAACTTGAGGAACGTGTAGCTACGCTCCAAAGAATTAGAGAGCTGGAGCTCTTCTTGGAAGCAACAGAGCACACCGTCTCCACCAAGGAGGAGACAGGGGACTCCCCTGAGAAGGACGCTAGTTCACCAACACAGGAGCCAGATATATGGAGAAACGTGACTCAAAGAAGTAGGAGGCCCAGGGTTCGCTCTGATTGTTTAGAAATACACAATCGCTTTGAGGTCCTCTCCCCTAGCATGGAAGACGAAGAGCAGACTCCATTTGAGGATCTCTCCCTCATTACAGTCGATCAGGTATATGAAGACGAGCAGCAAAGTCAGTCCTCAGGGAATGTGCAGGCGACCTTGGAGCGGACAGCTCACAGAAGAACCCCGACCAAACCTAAGAGGAGGCGTGTAGTGGTGATAGGGGATTCCCTACTGAGGGGAACAGAAGCAGTGATCTGTGGGCCTGACAAGATGTCTCGGGAAGTGTGCTGTCCCCGGGGCTAAGATCCAAGATGTAACTGAACGACTGCAAGGAATCATAAAACCCACTGACAAATACCCCTTCCTCTTGGTTCATGTGGGAACCAATGACACTGCAAGCAATAGCCTCCAGAAGATCAAAAGAGACTACGAGGCTCTGGGCAGGAAATTGAAGCAATTAAATGCACAAATTGTCATCTCATCTGTCCTCCCAGTTGAACGACATGGCCCAGGGAGAGAGGGGAAAATACTGGAAGTGAACAGCTGGCTTCGCAAATGGTGTAAACAGGAACGGTTTGGATTCTTAGATCACGGACTGCAGTTTCTTGAAGATGGACTTCTGGCAAGCGATGGGCTGCACCTCACAACGGTTGGGAGAAATGTTTTTGCCAAAAATCTCAGAAACCTCATCAGGAGGGCTTTAAACTGACTAATGTGGGGAGGGAGACAGTGCTCCTGAAGGTAGGAGTCTATCAATTGATGAAGATGATCATCCAAATGTCATAGACCAAATGGAGCAAACAGCACACAGACCTAGTGGTGGGAGGAAAAAATCCTTAAATAAGAGTCACGGGGGGGATGATTAATGGACTTCAGTGTCTGTACACTAATGCGCAAAGCATGGGAAATAAACAAGATGAGCTGGAGCTCTTGGTACAGCAAACTAAATATGACATAATAGGCATCACTGAAACCTGGTGGGATAAGTCCCACGATTGGAATGTAATAATGGGGGGATACAATCTATTTCAGAGAAACAGACCAGACAAGAAAGGAGGAGGAGTGGCGTTATATGTCAGGGATGTGTATACCTGTGAAGAGATCCAAGATTTAGAACCTCAAAGCCAAAGTGAGAGCATTTGGGTCAAAATTAAGGGAGAGAAGAATAACAGTGACCTCATTGTGGGAGTTTACTATAGATCCCCAAGCCAAACGGAGGACATAGATGATGCCTTCCTGGAACAGATGGCCAAGCATGCAAAAGGAAGGGAGATAGTAGTAATGGGGGACTTCAATTACCCGGATATTTGTTGGATGTCAAACTCAGCCAAGAGCATAAGGTCAAACAGATTTCTCACTGGCCTTGCAGACAACTTCATTGTCCAGAAAGTGGGAGAAGCAACAAGAGGAACAGCCATTTTAGATCTGGTCCTAACCAATGTTGATGACCTGGTTAGTGGGGTAGAAGTGGAAGGATCATTAGGCGCGAGTGATCATGCTCTTCTGAAGTTTACTATACAGCGGAAAGGAGCAGCCAAGCATACTAGGACTCAATTTCTTGACTTTAAGAAAGCTGACTTCATAAAACTTAGGGAAGTGCTGGGTGAGATCCCATGGACAGTAATACTAAAAGGAAAGGGAGTTCATGATGGCTGGGAGTTTGTTAAGAGGGAGATACTAAAAGCACAACGTCAGGCAATACCAATGAGACGGAAACATGGAAGGTGCCTAAAGAAGCCAGGGTGGCTATCTAAAGAACTTTTAACTGAGTTAAGATTAAAAAGGATGTGTACAAAAAATGGAAAAGGGGAAACCACCAAAGAGGAATTCAAACAAATAGCCAGCACGTGTAGACACAAAGTCAGAAAAGCTAAAGCACAGAATGAACTCAGGCTTGCTAGAGAGGTTAAAAGCAACAAAAAAGGCTTTTATGGGTATGTCCGTAGCAAAAGGAAGAACAAAGAAACAGTGGGGTCACTCAGAGGAGAAGATGGTGAAATGCAAACAGGGGACACAGAAAGAGCTGAACTCCTCAATGCCTTCTTTGCCTCAATCTTCTCCGATAAAGAAAACAATGCCCGACCTGAAGAATTTGGAGCAAATGATTCAGCAAAGGAAACACAGCCCAGAATAACTAAGGAGATAGTACAAGAATACTTGGCTAGTTTAGATGTATTCAAGTCTCCAGGGCCAGATGAACTGCATCCAAGAGTATTAAAAGAACTGGCAGATGTGATCTCAGAACCACTGGCAGTCATCTTTGAGAATTCCTGGAGAACAGGCGAAGTCCCGGCAGACTGGAGGAGGGCAAATGTTGTCCCTATTTTCAAAAAGGGAAAAGAGAGGACCCAAATAATTACCGCCCAGTCAGTCTGACATCAATACCAGGGAAGATTCTGGAGCAGATCATTAAGCAAACAGTCTGTGAGCACCTAGAAAGGAATGCTGTGATCACCAATAGTCAGCATGGATTTCTGAAAAATAAGTCATGTCAGACTAACCTGATCTCGTTTTTGACAGAATTACAAGCCTGGTAGATGAAGGGAACGCAGTGGATGTAGCCTACCTTGATTTCAGCAAGGCATTTGACAAGGTGCCTCATGATATTCTTGTAAAGAAGCTGGTAAAATGTGGTCTTGACTATGCTACCACTCAGTGGATTTGTAACTGGCTGACTGACCGAACCCAAAGGGTGCTCATCAATGGTTCCTCTTCATCCTGGAGAAGAGTGACTAGTGGGGTGCCACAGGGTTCTGTCTTGGGCCCGGTCTTATTCAACATCTTTATCAATGACTTGGATGATGGACTCAAGGGCATCCTGATCAAATTTGCAGATGACACCAAATTGGGAGGGGTGGCTAACACCCCAGAGGACAGGATCACACTTCAAAACGACCTTGACAGATTAGAGAACTGGGCCAAAACAAACAAGATGAATTTTAACAGGGAGAAATGTAAAGTATTGCACTTGGGCAAAAAAATGAGAGGCACAAATACAAGATGGGGACACCTGGCTTGAGAGCAGTACATGTGAAAAGGATCTAGGAGTCTTGGTTGACCACAAACTTGACATGAGCCAACAGTGTGACGCGGCAGCTAAAAAGCCAATGCAATTCTGGGCTGCATCAATAGGAGTATAGCATCTAGATCAAGGGAAGTAATAGTGCCACTGTATTCTGCTCTGGTCAGACCTCACCTGGAGTACTGTGTCCAGTTCTGGGCACCACAGTTCAAGAAGGACATTGACAAACTGGAATGTGTCCAGAGGAGGGCAACCAAAATGGTCAAAGGCCTGGAAACGATGCCTTATGAGGAACGGCTAAGGGAGCTGGGCATGTTTAGCCTGGAGAAGAGGAGGTTAAGGGGTGATATGATAGCCATGTTCAAATATATAAAAGGATGTCACATAGAGGAGGGAGAAAGGTTGTTTTCTGCTGCTCCAGAGAAGCGGACACGGAGCAATGGATCCAAACTACAAGAAAGAAGATTCCACCTAAACATTAGGAAGAACTTCCTGACAGTAAGAGCTGTTCGACAGTGGAATTTGCTGCCAAGGAGTGTGGTGGAGTCTCCTTCTTTGGAGGTCTTTAAGCAGAGTCTTGACAACCATATGTCAGGAGTGCTCTGATGGTGTTTCCTGCTTGGCAGGGGGTTGGACTCGATGGCCCTTGTGGTCTCTTCCAACTCTATGATTCTATGATTCTATGATTCTATGTGTCCCTCTTATTTGGTATAGAGCGGCAAGCAGTGGCTAACATGTAGTGCTTGTTAGTCATATGCTCATTTTAGAAAGTACTACTATTTCTGAAGTGCTGTACAGGGAAAATAGCAGCAGATTGCTTAGCGATTTCTAAAAGAAAATCATGCAGTTAAAAATGAAACCTGAAAAGCAAAACGTATTATCTATTTAGTAAGTATTCCTGATTGTGCCCGTAGATGAAAAACCATTCAACTACAGTAACCAGCTGGCAAAACTCTGTATTTAATACTCTATAAAAAGTATCAAATGTCTCACAGACTGGATCTTCCACTAAGTAAGTAAATGAATTTATATTTTCTCCCCATCTGCTTTATTTAACCCAAATGGCCATAACGTTTCAGTTGACCAGTCAGTCCAGCACTGCTCAGAAGAGTACTTTGAATTTCTTTCTTATTGAAATCAATGCAGTCTTTAATAGTGAACGCTATCTCTGAAAAATTTTGATATTGGATTGTATCCAAAGTTAGCCATTCTCAGAGTGGACCCATTCAAATTAATGGACATGGCTAATTTAGGTCTATTAATCTCAGTGGGACTGCTTTAACTTAGCTGGATATAGCCATTGACACCCTCGTTTGACATTTTCACGCAAAGTGTTAGTGAGAGGAGCATGTAATAACCACCATTAAAAAAAATCCATTGAAAATATACATCTCTGTTTGAACAATGTAGGATAGCAGTAATGTAGAAAGGCAGTAATTCTTCCAAATATTGGAGACCACAGGAAGGGAGAGTGCCGTTGTGCTCTGATCATGCATATAAATGGCCTCGGTCCAGTATACCGGAAGGAGCGTCTCCACCCCCATCGTTCTGCCTGGACACTGAGGTCCAGTGCCGAGGGCCTTCTGGCAGTTCCCTTGCTGCAAGAAGCCAAGTTACAGGGAACCAGGCAGAGGGCCTTCTGGGTAGTGGCACCCGCCCTGTGGAACGCCGCCCTCCCAAATGTCAAAGAGAAAAACAACTACCAGACTTTTAGAAGACATCTGAAGGCAGCCCTGTTTAGGGAAGCTTTTAATGTTTAATAGGTTATTGTATTTTAGTGTTCTGTTGGAAGCCACCCAGAGTGGCTGGGGAAACCCAGCCAGATGGGCAGGGTATAAATAATAAATTATTATTATTATTATTATTATTATTATTATTATGCATCTAGTTGCCCACCCTGAGAACAGGATGCTGGACTAGATGGGCCATTGGCCTGATCCAGCCGGCTCATCTTAAGTTCTTATGTTAAGTAACTTTCAACTACACGGTCCATTAAGAAATGGTTGGGGTGTCAAGATTTTCATTCTTTCCCGTATTGCAGAGTGTGTGTGTGACTACTAGATCACATGCTCTGTGTGTTGGCATTCCATTCTTTGGAAGCGTGGGAATGGAAGGAACTGTGCGCCACTTCCGTCTTCTTTGTCCTTTGTTCTGTTCTGTTGTTCTGTCTCGGAGGAGAAGAGACACGCCATAATGGCTCTGTTCTTTATTTCGATCCTGTAAATAAATCACTGCACCCAGATACTACATATCCTCAGTCTCAGCTTCTGCTAAGCTCTGCTGCTTGCTTGAACGTCTGGAAGAGTGAGTGCTGTGTTATGCTTTCTGGACCGGTGCCTGGAGAAAGCCGTCTCCCACTGAGAAGCACCAACATGGATGGGTGGGTGGGAATATTGGAATTTGCCTCAGTGGACAAGCTGATATGCTACCTCAGAATGCAAAGCAAAGACAAGATACTTTTTTTGTAAGATAGATAGTTTATTAATTATAGTTGCAGAAAAAGGCTTGTACCAAACACAGGATATGGATTTGCAATTCTTTAAAAAAAAACCTACTTAAGATGTAAATGTGGCTAATAGATAAGATACTTCTAGGAATACCCTTATGTTTTCACAAATGAAGTATAAATTCTCATTAGAATATGTTGAATTGTTACCTTGGGTTAAATACTTAATTTGTTCTCGAGGTTGGTACTAAACCTGAAACTGTTCATATCCTGAAGCACCACTTTAGCTAATGGGGCCTCCTGCTGCTGCTGCGCCGCCAGAGCACGATTTCTGTTCTCATCCTGAAGCAAAGTTCTTAACCTGAAGCACTATTTCTGGGTTAGCGGAGTCTGTAACCTGAAGCGTATGTAACCTGAAGCGTATGTAACCCGAGGTACCACTGTATTATGAGATTTTACGCTCAAAAGTACAACCAACATTTCAATCCAATGCTTGTAGGTCAAAACTGTGTGGCTGTTCCACCTGATTTATTCATTTATCTTAGTAATTGACCATACAGTTTTTACCTATGCACATTGGTAAAATGTACATGTGTAGGCCATATCAAGACGCACTTCTTTGAAGTCTCTCAGCCCCACTTACCTCACAGAGTGTTTGTTGTGGGGGAGGAGGGGAAAGGAGAATATTAGCCGCTTTGAGACTCCTTCGGGTAGTGATAAATCTGGATATCAAATCCAAACTCCTCCTCCTCCTCCTCTTCTTCTTCTTCTTCTTCTTCTTCTTCTTCTTCTTCTTCAACTGCAGCCTAAGCTGAACAGGATCCAGTAGGTTCTCTTTGCGATCTTGGTGTTATCAGCGCCATGCTCTAACCAACTGAGCTGTCCAGCTGTTCCCACTGTTGCGTGACATGGTGATGCCTTCGAACCATGCTAACTAAGGATGTTTCTACATATGCCTGGGAAGATGCAGAAGCTGCCTCAGACCAGTAATCTAGACTCTAGAACATGGCAGAAGGTTTAGAATGGAAAATGTTGGAAAGCCCCCAAACTTTCTGCAGAGCAGCACTGCTGGTTTTGCCCAACAATAGTTAATGTCCTTGGCTGTGTATAACAGAGGCAACCTGAAGGCTATTGCACACATGCTATGGGAACCTACAGGTATGTGTTTTAAAATAAATTTGTGTACATTGCTTCTTTTTAAACAGCTGTGTATTTCCAGATAAAAGCCACACACACCCATCCAGTCAAGCCTGCATACTTTTCATTATCTGCCTAAAACACTAACAAAATAATGTATCTTCTCCTCAGGACTTATATTGATTCATCCTGCTGTGAATACAAATTATGGGCTTGACAATAAGATAATAAAACTGAGAGAGAGAGAGAGAGAGAGAGAGAGAGAGAGAGAGGAGGGAGGAGAGGAGGAGGAGGAGGAGGAGGAGGAGGAAAGTAGTGTATATATATATATATATATATATATATATATATATATATTCTTTGTTTGTAAATGTGGAGCATTAATTGCATTCCTGTGCGGCAATCTGGACTGAGCTTCTGCTAGGCAAATTAGATATAAACTGAAGGTGAGGGCAAAAGGGTCACCACAGCAAGGGAGCATGGAGTGACAGGCACAGGGACCTCCGATGCATGGCTTGCAGAGCAGATGTTCACAAGGATGCAGTGATTATTGAACTGGTAATAAAAAAGCATCAGCTTACAGGCAGCCACGATGGATGCTGGTAATTATAAAGCATCCCCTGGGAGGAAAATGACACAAGTCAGCCGCATCTCTGCAATCACAGGGGCATAATTAAAGCTCCAGTAACAGTTGTTAATAGGGTGCAAATAAAACAGGGGGAAAATTTGAACGCAGTCTTTTTTTAGACAGACGGCAAAGGGCAATGTAATTACAGGGACTGCACATTTTATAATTTTACTATAGGTAGTAAAACAAAGAGTTTTAATATATATTATGGATACGGCGATAGCAACACGTACAAACACACACATGCACAGTGTATAAACAATGCCAAAAGCATTTTGCTCTATGTCGTTTGGATGTAGAGAACAGATTTTTAAACAGAATGTTTATGTTTTTAATTCTTAGAATGAACTAAACAAAAACATAAAGAAAATAGAACATTCATAAATATTTGGCCATTGTATCTTCCAAGGAAGATCCATAAAGGTGCAATGTGCCAAGAGACATGAGCGCTGGCCATATAAATGAGCAGCCTTTGCTTAGGCCTTATTTAAATACGAGGCAGAGAAGGCAGGAAGACTATACCCATTGCACAAGCCCCATTTAATCAATTGCTTTGCCTGTGGGTGCACTGCTGCTCATAGCCAGGGTGGGCTGTGGCAACAGAAATTATTGATAGCATGGGATGGCATGTATGATATCATTTTTAATGTAAATAAATACTTCATTTTCTAACTTACCTCAAGTTAGAAAAGGTGGTGGTTCCTCCTTCATGAGAAGTTTTTAGTGGCCACCTTTCAGTGATGCTGTAGTAGTGGGTTACCTGCATCAACAGGGGTTGGATTAGATCATAGAATAATAGAATTGTAGAGTTGGAAGGTACCCTGAGGGTCATCTAGTCCAACCCCCTGCAATACAGGAATCTTAACTAAAGTATTCATAACAGATGGCCATCCAAGCTCTGCTTAAAAACCTCCAAGGAAGGAGAGTCCACCACTTCTCATGGGAGTCTGTTCCACTGTCAAACAGCTCTTACCATCAGAAAGTTCTTCCTGATGTTTTGTTGGAATCTCCCTATTTGTAACTTGAATCCGTTGGTTAGGGTCCTGCCCTACAGATCAGGAGAAAACATGCTCGCACCATCTTTCTTGTGACAGCCCTTCAGGTATCTGAAGATGGCTATCATATCTCCTCTCAGTCTCCTCTTTTCCAGGTGAAACATACCAAACACCCTCAGTTATTCCTCATAAAGCTTTCTTTCCAGACCCTTGATCATTTTTGTTGGCCTCCTCTGCACACATTCAGTGTCAATATACTTCTTAAATTGTGGCACCCCAAACTGGACACAATACTCCAGGTGTGGTCTGACCAAAGCAGAACAGAGTGGGGCTATTAATTCCCTTCATCTGGACACTATACTTCTGTTGATGCAATTTAGAATAACATTAGCTCTCTTTTTTTGCTGCTGGATCACACTATTGACTCATGTTAAGCTTGTGGTCCACTAAGACCCCTAGATCCTTTTCATATGTACTACTAAGCAAGCCAGGTGTCCCCCATCTTATATTTGTGCAGCTGGTTCTTCCTACCTAAGTACAGAAATTTACATTTGTCTCTATTGAAATTCATTTTGTTAGTTTTGGCCCAGTTCTCCAATCTGTTAAGGCCATTTTGAATCCAGATTCTGTCCTCTGTGGCATTAGCTACCCGTCCCAGTTTGGTGTCATCTGCAGATTTGATGATCATCCCCTCAATTCCTTCGTCCAAGTCATTTATAAAGATGTTGGACTACAATGGGCCTAGGACAGAACCCTGCAGCACCCCACTTGTCACTTTTTCTTTTCCTATCTTGGGCTGCAGCTCCCTCCTTGCATTGTTTACTCTGTTATCATCAGGTTGGGCACTGCTTTCCTTTTTGGTGAAGAAAGGGGAAAAGTAGGTATTGACCAGTTCTGTTTTCTCTCTGTCACCCTATAGCATTTCTCCATCATCTCCACGCAAAGGACCTAGTACTTGCTTGTTCTTACTCTTGCTTCAAACATAGTTGAAGAAAACTTTTCAATTATTTTAAACCTCTCTTGCAAACCTCAGGTTCCGCCTGAGCTTTAGCTTTTCTGACCTTGCTGCAACTGTTAGATAATGACTGTGGTGTCTTTAGGATATATGGTTTTATTAACACATATCCACAACCTGAGTATATGATGGATGGTCTCACAGAATTAACACCCTGAAGATCTTGCTTCCTCATTCAGTTCCTATGGGATCCCTAGTCCAGCTCACAGCAGGACATGTCTGTCCCCAGCTTCTTCCAGCCTGCTCTCTCACACAACTCTCCATCCCAGCCTCCCTTTAGTCTTTTGTTCTCCATCACTTAGTTGTAGCTATTACAACCTTGCTCATTATTTTAGGTGCTGATGAGGCACTGACTGGATATTGTTTCTGTATGGTCCTTGAAGGATCACTACAACCTTTAGTCAGAGTTCTGAATATGCAGATTGAACCTAAAACTTACTTTCCTTTGATTGACATTTTCTCCCGGATACCATCTGTTTTTGTGAAGGGGATGGTGATTAAGACCTTGGGAAGGTCCCACAGTATGGAATTCACTTCTCCTTGACACTCGGCTGATTAAAGCCATTGTCCCACATATGTTTTGAGTGTGTCCTGCTACTTTCAGAGCAGTGACTACTAAATTGGTCTGGACATTGCCAAAGCATGTCATTTTGCCCATTTCCCATTAGCATTGGTTGCTATTCAAGATCAACATATGAGTGAAGACAATAATAGTAGACAAAGACGAAGCTCACCCGTGACAGTTTCAGAATCACTATCTAGCATTTCTTTCCATTTGTTACATGCAAAGTCAAGCAGTCTTGAAAGCTGTGATATCTCCAGTAAGGAAAATGGAATTTATAGCAGTTAAGACTCTCATCACTGAACAACTCACATGAAAATATCCATTGCAGGCAGAAGAAAACACCCATAACCTCTTCACCCCACACCCAGAGTCAAAGGTGTTGCTCATGTTAGGGTTCTACTTCCTGAAGACGAATAAAGAGATAGCTGAATTTTCTCAGTGACATCTAATTTTATCATCCGGTTGATTTCAGCATCTCCTTGGTTCCCTAGTGCTAATGGGGCTTAAATGGCACATATATTTTTGGCAGCACATTTGGATCTATATTACATGATGTATTATATCCATAATGTATCCAAGCTCATTAAACACCTCATCAAATTCTTTAAGAATATCTTCTCCATTCTATTCAGGAGACATGTTATATATTCATTTGACCATTTCCAGTCTGCCCTTCAACCTAAGCAAACATGAAACTTCCTTTCCCAATATTTCACATACCACTGAGTGATATCAGTTCTTATATAAATATGCTGTTAGAATTTTGCTAGTGGTCTCATTCGGAACCTCCTGCACGAAATAAGTTTAGTTTTATAAGTGAGGCACATAGGAGTAACTAATCTTCATTACAGTCTGCTTTCGTTCAGTTTTGAAATTCACATTTCCTCTGTATCTGGTTTCACATGCTAATTCCAAGTTCCTAGATTCATTCTGCATATTTGTAGAAACCTAATAAAAATAATATCTGCCTCATCATCACCACAATTATCTTCAGTGGACTGTGCTTGATTTTTCTTTTTTGTGCTTTTGCAGAAGTAAATTGTGAAATGGTTGCTTTATAAAGGAAATCACTTTATAACTTGTACTGGGTATCCTATTTGCAGCATGCACAATTCTTTTGCATTCATCCACTTGCCTTCTCCTTAGTGAAGTCAGGTTAATTTTCAGAAGGACCACTCCTGATCAGGTTATCAACTGCACAAGAATTCTGATATGTAACTTTCTAATTTCATGAGTACCAGTCTCAGCTGGCACTATTTTTTTTTTTTGGAGACAAATATGAAACTAGATGTATTCAGTTTTATCAACTGTTTTGGATGGTAAATCTAGTAAATTGAGTGGTAAATCCGTATTGCTTCTGGGCTTGTAAAAAGGGATGCAGATGGGATATTTAATCATCACCAGTATGAGGGGGCAGGATAGCAGTGACCCTTGATACTTGTATAGCCCTGATCCAGGTAAAATCTGGTTTGACTAAACACAATGGAAAACCATGGGACTAGAGTTATTTGCAATGAATTTATTTCATTGGTCTCAATGGGACATAGTCCGTACTTTGTATATCCAAAGCATCATCATCACCAGCCTTCAGCTGGCTTGCCTTCAGGACAGAAGCTTCTAAAATATTATTTTATTCATCACATATCCAAAACTCTGCTTTTGTGTGGCTTCACCAAAAAAAATGGGAATCCCTTGAACAGATAAGAGTTACTAAAGTATAATCACATGGCAACATGTGGTTACTTACCAATCTTTCTGGATGGGGAGAGATGCTCAGTCCCCTCAGGACTATAACATGGATTTTGACTTAACTTTCTGTGATAGCCATACTCAAATAATAGATGCAGCATTCTCATAAAGATTTTGGTTGATGCCGACTTTCAGAATGCAAGATTTGTAGCAGCATAAGAAGAGCTCTTAATTGCGTCTTTCTTCGTATTTATTACTTCTGTATTTTAATTTCAGGTTTAAATTAATAACTGATTTGCCTCATGGAAGTCCGGTGGACTGAGGGAATTACATCTCCGGTCTCTTCACAGGTAGCCTACCTTATTAAAATATGACTCAAGGTATTACAAGTTAGCTTCCTTTGAATAAAAATATTCTGTTTCTTTTCTTTGTTTGAAAAAGTATCCCCCCCTTCCCGCTCCTACTGTAGGAGGATGCATGTGTTACTATAGACTCACATTTCATATGGGACTAATTGCCACTGGCTTAGGGCTGCTTGTCAAAATGCTCCCTCTGTATTCTCTCTCGTCTAAAGGCCAAATCATTGTGGGGGGACATGAGGTTAAGGCCTTCGCTGTATCATTGTTTAACCAAATGCTTGTTCTCAGTGGAAGTCCTTCATAATCCCTGCTTCTTACCAGCATTTTATGTGGCGCGTCTGATGTTAACAGCATCATATTACCTCCAATTTGCTTTGTTTGATATCCTCGTTGCGAACAGCAATCTCTTCTTAGAGCCTAATTTCGATATACTAACCCACAGCAGGGAAGGCTAATGGCACTAGGTGACTTTAGTAGCTGTACTTTATTCCCCCCCTTCCCCTCTACGCTACAACCAGTTCTCCTGCCAGGTTGGAACGGCTTTCCCCCAAATGCATAATGGTCACCACCCACTGAGATCTAAGTCAGCCCTTGCTTCCTTGGATCCTGGCCAGATTCACACTGCTGAGAGTGGCACTTTGCTTCTTCCTCTGATGTGGAAAAGGGACTTTTAACAGTCAGCAAATCTCCCTAAATTGACTCTCTTACAGTGGGATGCGAGTAGGAAACGTCCCTTAGAAGAAGAAATTGTTCGTATCTCTGTGTAAATGATATGTCAAAGCTGAGATCTAAAGGGAAATTTTCATAACCAGATTAATAATTCTTTGTAGTTTAATGGGCAGCTAAATTCCCAGTGTTCCACTGAGGCACTTCTGTAAATAGTGGCTCCCCTGCCCCATCCTGTTCAAATAATATTTCAAAACTTATAATCGGCTGATGCAATGCACCTTGTCAGGAATTGTGCATAACCCCCCAAAGAGAAACGAATAGGCTGATAAGGCAATGCTGCAAGACCCTCAAGTCTCACTAAGGCAATAGTTCCTTCAGCACAAGTGTTTCTGCTGTGCCAGATGGAACAAACTCCTGTTTTCTCCCCCTGCATGGCGTCCTGGGGGTTCTCCCAACCCACCCAAGAGCTCATTGGGATGGCTCAGGGGCACATGGGGGAGGGGGGCAGAGGGGAATCCCTATTGCCCTAGTTGGACTCAATGCACTGGCTCCAGCATTTGTTTAGTTGAACTTGGCACACTATCATTTTTATACTGCTTTTCCCATATACATTTTATACCACTTAGTACCACCTACAGCAGTGGGATGGAGTTGGAAGGGTGAGAACTAGGAATGAAAAGTGGGACTCGCAGCAAAACATTGCACTATGGATCATTGGGGGGTGGGGTGTGTGTGTTAGCCAGTCAGCCATGCCCTCTTCCAGGGCACACCATTTAATTCCATTCTCCCCCAGTTTCCCATATTACCCTCCCCAGTTCCATCAGTGAGCCAGTATTGCATGGCCACTGAGCATGTTTACTCCTTGTCATTGGACACTTTTGGGGGACAGGGTCCCCTTTTAGGTTCATGTGCTTTCCTCCAAGTTGCTGATACCTCCTCCTTCTTAGGCATGAGTGGTACCATTTGGTTACACAAGGGTACACTTGAGAAATGACTTTGCTTATACTATATAGGATTTACTGTAACCAAATGGGGCTCTTCTGCCCCCTGCCCACCAGTGAGCCCCACATTCAGGTGACTCTTTCTGTGCAGCAGAAGCCAGCCTATAGTGGTTCTATGCAAGCACTCTAGAAAGGTTTCTGTGGTATAGAAAGTGTGTGTGTGTTAGAATAGGAATGTGGTGTCATTCTCTGACTTCATCTCTGCTAATACATCACAAACAATAATAAAACCTGAAAGCCTCATTATCACCTCATTCACTGGCAAAAACAAATGGTCCATCTATTACCTAGGTGCTCCAGCAGATGGGGGGGGGGGGGGAGGCGACATCTGTACTGAGTTGGGAATGCTCCTTTTACCACCATTTTGACAATGCTGCTCTTTGAGGATGGTTGGCTTCCAGAAGTTATCAGGGAAAATGGAAGCACCTAAGTCAGGCTTCCTGAACTCTGCCCTCCAGATGTTTTGAGACTACAATTCCCAGCATCCCTGACCACTGGTCCTGCTAGCTAGGGATCATGGGAGTTGTAGGCCAAAAACATCTGGAGGGCCGAGGTTGAGGAAGCCTGACCTAAGTAAAGCCTAAGGAATTTGGGGTAGTAGGGAGACTGAAGGGAGCAATAACTGTCAGTGCTAATGTGGGGTGCAAATTTGCATGGTGACCACATTTTGGGTCCCCCCCCCCATCTTCTGAGTCTCCATATGTCTGTTTATAAAATAGTCCTGTCAATTTAAAGAAACACAATAAACGCTTCCTCAGATTCGTGAGAATTTTCAGAGGGTCCCTGATTATGGCACAAATGGCAAAGCAATTATGAGGTGAATAAGCACTGTCCGCCATTAATGACTTCAGAACACAAACCTTTTTATTTGCGTTCCCAGTTACGGAAGGGAGGCTTATGAAGCAAAATCACATTTTAACGAAGGAAAATAATGCATGGCCTCATTTTTTAAATTTATTTTTTATTTTTAGGGATTTAATCCCCTGGACATTGCTCCCTTGTGGCTCACAAAAATATGACAAGAAAGCTAAAAATTTCATTTGCAAAAGGAAGTACCTCAGGCAGACCTTGGAATTATACCTTTTAGAGCCTTCTGGAAACAAGTATCTTTTGTGGGGTCTTGAGTATTCTGTGGCAGTACTTTACCAGGCATTCTCTAAATGATTTTAATGTTGTTTTTACTCAGCTTTTACTGTCAGAAAGCAGCTTTCATCACTAGGCCGGGGCCCTCCGTTCAGCATTTTTAGAGCAGTCAGGGGTGAGGGTATGGAATTCCCTTGCTGTTCTTAATAAATTGCAAGTTGGCTGTTCAGGACTGTCCGTTGTTCCCTTTGCAGCAACAGATCATGGACTGATAGTAAATCAGAACCAGTATGTTTTCTTAATTTTACATTTGGGCTAAGTTAATCTATTTAATAGGAAAAACATCTGGCCTAGCTGTGCTTTTATTCTGTTCTTTACAGCAGGAACCTCACCACCATGGGACCAGTGGAGTCAGACAAGGTCAACATTTCGTAGTATACCTGCATGCAGTTAATAGTGAATATATGTGAGCAGTGCAGAGCTTACACACACACACACACACACACACACAGAGAGAGAGAGAGAGAGAGAGAGAGATTTTATGGGCACCACATTAGTGATAAAAGGTTGCTCTCATAATCAGCTGCAGTAAATTCAGGCTTGGTAGAGAATCGGAAATCTGGGGGCATAAATTTGCCAATAGTTGATATAATATAAATAAGGTCATTGATAAAAGAATCGAGGTGTTCAAGTACTGTAAATCATATGAAATTTAAAATATTCAAATATCTGTGTCCAAGCTTGTACTCATACATCATACATAGTAAAACATGTATTGTGTGGAATTTTTCTCTTCCATCAGACTTAATATTCCGAAAACATCGCAGGAGATGTTAAAAATGTGTAAAGTGCTTTGTTCAATTTAGGATCCTTAAAACAGAGAAATATATCATTTATTGGACCAGTTATAGTGGTTTAAAGTGTTCTGAAAGCCTCTGAACTACACAAATCTCCAAAGGTATATATAAGCAAGTTTATACAGTATAAAGAAAATTCAGTAATGAAGATGATTTTTGTTATTTTTTCTGGAGTTTTTGTTTTTTAGCTGTTCAGCATTTCTCATCACTTGTGGGTCAAACAAACTAATTATAACCTCATACAGTAATATCACTGGAACAGAGCCATTGACAAAACTAGGTCTGTCCTACATTACTGCGTTTTGCCACCTATTTTTTTTTTTTTACACAGAAAGCTTCAGAGAAAACACTTTTTTCTTGGCCATCTTTCTGATATTGTGGTGATGTCCATATTCACAAGTTAGGTTTGCCAGGCAAATGCATGCAGGAAGCTGCTTGGGTCACATTGCATGAAGTTATTAGAAGTTCACCTGACTTTGTACAACCCTGTGAATAAAAGATAATGTCTTTTGAGCATGTGCAGAGAAAATCATTCATCCTGCGTTGCATGTATGCCCAGAATGTAAACCCTGTGTAAGTGGAGGGATGCTTGTATATCCCAACCAGACAAGCAAAGCAGTCCAGTGCTCCCCATGCTGCGGTTGGAGAGGTGGGCATTGCAATGAGCAATAGTGGGCGTCCTATTGCTCAGCATTCCCAGCTAAGCCAGATTCTCACTAGCTGCCACTGACTTCCCGCTTTTGCCTGCTCAGTGTGGACCCTGATTCCGTCTCACTGCCATGTGCACAGCAGTCAACATGGATGAGGTCCAACTATCCTGCCCACCTAGCCCACCTTCTGCAGTGTGGATGTGGCCGTGGTCCAATTGTTCTCTCTGCACCATCTTCTGCAGTTGCTGCGTGAGACAGGGCTGCAAATATGGCGGTGGCCGGAGGGTATGCTGGTGAGGAGAGGAAGCGGAAGTCAGGCTCGTACCCTTAAAACCCAGCACTTACCTTTTCTGGAAGGATATGCCAATAGGAAACATGGGATGCTACAAATAACAGGTAAAAGTAAAGGTGGAGGACCCCTGGACGGTTAAGTCCAGTCAAATTTGACTATGGGGTGCAGCGCTCATCTCCGCTTTCAGGCCAAGGGAGCCGGCGTTTGTCTGCAGAGAGGTTTTCTGGGTCATGTGGCCAGCATGACTAACCAGCTTCTGGCACACAGGACACTGTGGTGGAAGCCAGAGCACACAGAAACACCATTTACCTTCCTGCCGTAGTGGTACCTATTTATCTACTTGCACTGGTATGCTTTTGAACTGCTAGGTTTGCCAGAGCTGGGACTGGCAACGGGGACTCACCCCATCACACAGATTCAAACTGCCAACCTTCCGATCTGCAAGCCCAAGAGGCTCGGTGGTTTAGACCACAGTTCCACCCGCATCCCACTACGAATAACAACAGCAGCAACAAAGATACTTTTAAAACAAACCTGAAAAGAAAGAAAAATGGAAAAGAAATATGAACTCCCGTCTCTGCCTTGATCAAACTTAGAGGAGTGTTATGGCATCAGACCTTCTCTGCTGTCAAAGCTATTCCTGCTTCCTCTGCTTAGCTTTTCAGATTCTGTGAACTTCATTCAGGGTTATCATGAGGCAATATGGGAAAGCAGAAATAAACTTTCATATAGCCTGGGGGCTTAAAAAGCCCTTCCCAAATCTGCAGTATGTTAGGGGACTTCTGCTCCCCAAAGTAATGTTACTGTTTATGCATTCCTGACTCAAAGTTCCTTTTAACTGGGTCTCAGGGAGGTGTGCATAAACAGCAGCATTATTTTAGTCAGCAGGAATTAATTATTGAAATCAATTATTGCTTCTTTCAGACTGCTGAAGTCAGTCCACAGTAAGCTGACTAAAAAAAAATACTTGCCTTGTTTGCTGCCTTCGTGTGCAAAGACAAAAATAAATGAAAAAACAACGGACGGAAGCTTCCGATGTTCACTCTCTTCCATCACATAGGTTCTTAAAAAGAAAAGGGGAAAAAATGTTTTACCTGGCTCCTTGTTTGTATTGTCAGGAAATCAGGCCATAGACCTTTGATTAAGTTATTTTGCTCCAGGGTACATTTTTAGAAATAAAAAACACACACTTCTGCTTTGCTGAATAGGGGGTGATGAGACTGTGATCTCTGTAATGGGATATTATGTGCTTTTGACCCACACACTTGTCCCAGGTCAGTTGTCTTCCTAACAACTGAAACATGAGCCCTGTTTACATGTTACTTGTGTGCAAGGAATATGTATGTAGAGAGAGGAGTGGGGCCAGACCTTTCGCCCCACCCCAAGAGGCAGGGAAGCATTAAACAAGGATCCTGAGGTAGTTTTGAGATAGACTTACAGAATTGCAGAGTTGGAAGTGACCCAAAGGGCTGTGTAGTCCAGCAATGCAAGAATCACAGGGCTAATGTAGGCAACAAAACTGAAATTCAATCCATCTAAGACAAGTGGTCTTGCCCTTGCCCTTGTTCCCTGTGTGACACTGGGAACATGGATGAGCAATGCCATGTCAATGGTACTGCCTGAGAAGTCCTGAGCCCTAAGATCCACTTGAGAGGCCACTCAGGTTGATAAATTTAGCAGTAGCAGGGACTGGACCTTTTTTAATGATGGCCCCAGACTTGCAGAATTCCCTAGTTCTAGTTCTCTACTGAGCCCCAACTCCTGCCAGCTTTGAACAGTCCCTAAATACTTTATAATCTTGCCAGGTATTTGCTGCTGGCCCTCTATATATGATTGCAGTAGTAGCCGGTAGGGAAGCATGGGCAGAGGGGTGTTGCCTACCTGGGTTCCCAATGCCTCACATCACTGCTGGTTACTGGGAGGGGCAAGGCAGTGCAGGTACAATGGCAGAGCCAGTCTGGATACTCTGGCTGCTGCGCTCACACCGAGCTTCCTGCTGCCTTGCCCCTTGCCCTCCTGCTAACCGGAAGTGACGGGCAGCATTGGGAGGCCAGGTGAGCTGTGCTGCCCTGCCGGTTTCCACTGTGTAATTGCATCTGTTGTTTTATGTGTGTGTTCAACTGTTTGAACATTTTTTTTATTGTAAGTCATCTTGTGAGGGCTTATTCTAAAGTCGGGGTGGAAATAAAACAATATCAATACAAGTTAGTTCTTGAGCAGTGACACACAAAAAAGCTGTAACCGATTTTTTTAAAACAACAAAAATAACAAAATGCTTGTCATAATCATGGGCAATTTGAGTTTGTTTATGTGGAGGGTTTGTATATTATGGGAAACCAGGTATGTGTGTCCTCTATGCACAGATATATATTGTACATCTTTCCCCTGGGCTTTGTATCTGTGTTAGGGATGGAGGGCACATTTTGCCCTCCACGCAACAGTAACATTAGGGACAGATTTTGCATTTCCCCATAGGAGTTCCCAGAGGCGGGAAAAAATAAAGGAATGCACTTGCAGATACAGTTGTTGATGGAGTAAGCACATTTCTGTCCTGATAACCCCAGCACTGAATAAAACCCTTTCCCCTAAAAATAGGTCCCTGTTTCAACAATGGCTGTTTCAAATCTGCTGCAGCCAGAATTTCCTTCAGCCACCAAAATATTCCTGTGAGTATTACTTGTTTAGGGTTTTTAGGTTACCTTAGGGCTTGAACTTGACATGAAGTGCAAGGAGTAACAACGCAGATGCTACCATCTTGGGAAATTTAAGAGATCAGACCTCCCTTAACACCTGGTCTCATAACCCCTGCATTCTATGAGAGGATTTTGTTGCAATGAATTTATTAGGCCTTGTTGCTGCACAGTGTTTGCTGAACAGATACAATACATGCGCTGGTACGGCAGCTATGCTATTTGTATGCAATCAGGTGCTGTTTGCCCTGTGTATAAAGATGCCATAGTGGTCTGTTGTGTGTTAACTAGTTACTAACACACTAAATAGACATTCATTCATTGAAATATTCATTTAGTGATTCAGGTTTTTCTAATGTCTTGTCAATTTGTTTGTTCAGTGAGCAGCTTAATAGTATTTTAATATCATGAGCTAATGGATGCAGAATACCGAAATTAAAGGATAAATAAGGATCAATTCCTCCTACTAATCCTATCAATTCCTTTATAAATGTTCCCTCCCTTAAGATTTACATACAGATAATGATTTCAGAAAAAATTAAATATCTCTAAGTAAGCCTGACAAAGTAACTCTGATATTGTTCAGAGTTAATCTTACATTTATTATAAGAACCTTTTGTTTCTGTATTTATTTTATGAATAGAAGTATGCTTCTCTGGAACAAGCAACATAGTAATAAGGAAGATAGAAAAATCTAAGAGTGAACAGAGTGAAATTTCTCTTGCCCCCACAAATCTCCCATTACACATGAAGGACATCACCTATTGCATCTGATATTTCACATTAATGTGCACAAATGGGACATTCTGCAGTCTGATAATACTTAGCTGAGAGTATAATTGAGTTCAATGTTTCTGGGTAAGCATATGTATGATCATAGCTATGCAGTGTAATCCTAAATCTGTATTTTTCTACACAGAACTTCTGCGGAACTCAGTGGGACTTACTCCCAAGTGGGTTTAGAATTACAGCCTTGGTGACTTGTATATGATGAAGTGACCTCATTACAGTATTACATGCTAGCGATCACTTTCTAGTGACCAAGTGCATTTGTGAACCAGCCTTGAATAGTCCTGGCTTGTTTCCAGATATATAGGATTAAGCAGTTGCATTTCTAGGTCAGATAGTATGTCTTCCAGATATATTTATCCCCACACTTTCAGAAATAAGCAAATGGGTAAGGAAAGTAAGCTCACATTCCTTCCTCTTTGTCCCCGCTTCAGCTATCCTCAGATTCAGTGTCGGCTTCAGATTTTGGAGGGTCTTTGGGCAAGACATTCTCCGTGGGCTCCGTTCCTCAATGAATTGGTCTCATCAGCAGGACTGGTGGGGTAGGGCAGTGGTGAGGACAAGGCTGTGTGACTGCACCAGCAGAGCCATCCAGCACTCCTACTGGGACGCCCATGCATCCCTGATCTTGCTACCATCCTATCCCACCCCAGGTAAGCAGCAAAGATGCTGCTGTTGGGAGGGTGGCTCTGCAGGGCCGCCCCACCCCACCAGCCAGGCCTGCTGCTCATTCCTGCAGCAAGTCTCTGGGGCTATTTTCAGCTTGGCTCTTGCTGATACATGGGTCCTTGGTAAATGTGCAACCATGCCGAGACTTGGTGACAGAATTAGCAATTGATAATGTAAATGTGTCTTGCCACTGAGTGAGAGAGAAGTAGTTTATCTTGAAAGAGCATCCATTTTCTGTCTTGTGTCTATCTAAACTGCCATGCAACTATTGTTTAACCCTTGTCTATGTTGTGTGTGTATGTGTGTGTGTGTGTGTGTGTGAGAGAGAGAGAGAGAGAGTGTAAGGACATGAAACATTGAGTCTATGCCTTTTTTCCTTTGCCTCTCAGTTTAATATTGTGTGTACACTGCCTTGCAGTTCACATTTGACAGTGCTGTAAGTAATTCATCTTCTGTTTTATTGATAGATTACTTTACACCTGGTTTGTGCTTGCCCTGCCTTTGCTTCCTGTAGTTCTGCTAAAAGTACTGGATTAAACAAACATAATACATCATCTCTATACCATCTAACATTTGACAAGGGAAAATAGGTATGCTTGTTTTACATGAAGTGAACAAGGGATTCATAGTATAGCAGTTAGCAAATCAAAGGAGAAGGCCACTTCCATGGGGTTTAATGGCAAATATTTGATGTGTTAACTTTAAATTACGGTATATATTTCCTTACACCTGAGAATCCACATCTGTACAATCAAATTTGCACATTTAAGGTCACAGTGCATAATGTTCAGAAGGGTTATGATATTTAGTTTCTGAGAATATTAGACAGTTTTGTGCCAGGTAAAACAGGTAGCTGACATATGAGATACTGCATTACTTAAATGTTCAGTAGATGCAAGTAACATGTACATAGAACGAGAAAATAGAGAATAGCCACAGCTGGAAGGTATCTATCTTCAACCTTTTCTAACCTATTACAACTTCAAAACTCATTCCCAAAGGACACACAAACTATTCTTCATACACTTACAGTTTTGCTGCACATAGAGAGTATCAATCATGCAAAATTCTTCATTTAATTTTCAAGATTTATAGACAAAAACCTCTAAACAGTTTCCCATAAAACAATATAAAATATTAACAATAAAATCAAACTTTGAATCATGGCATTGTAGACATGGGTGTGGCCAGGATTTATTTTAGGGGGGCAGAACCGAAATATCTGTGATGCACTTGGCCAGTTAGTAACAGTTGCCCCCCTGGCTATGCCCATGATTGTAAAGTTGGAAGGGATCCAAAGGATCATCTTGTCCATCACCCTGCAATGCAGGAATCACAGCTTAAGCATCTCCGACGGATTGCTATCCAGTCTCTGTTTTAAAAATCCACAATCTTCCAAGGTAGTCCATTCCACTGTTGAACAGCTCTTACCTTCAGAAAGTTCTTTCTAATGTATAGCTGGAATCTCCATTATTGTAATTTGAATCCATTGGTTTGGGTCCTAGCCTCCGGAGCAACAGAAAACAAGCTAGTTCCATCTTCCTTGTGGTATCCTTGAGATATCATATCATATCTCCTCTCACTCTCCTCTTTTCCAGGCTAAACACACCCAGCTCCCTCAACCACTCCTCACAAGGCTTCGTTTCCAGACCCTTTATCACCTTGGTTGCCCTCCTCTGCACACATTCCAGCTTGTCAAGATCAGTCTCCCCTTCTCAGTCACACTGAAAGCCCTGTTTTGTTTTGTACATTTTAAAATCTCTGATTAGAAAGTTCGAAGAGGGAGGAGCTCCAAGTTACTGCAGAGCATGGAACGTAGAGAAGAAATTCTCCGAAAGACCACAGTGATCTACTGGGTATATAAAGGGGAAGGTAGTCTTTCAAGTAATCTACCCCCGAGCACCCCCAAATTATGCATCTGTTTCTTCAAGGAGAGTGTAACCTCATCCAGGACAGCAGGGTACTGACTTCCTGGGCTCAGGAACCGCTCACACACAGTGTCCGTTTTGCCAGAATTCAGATGTATTTTATTAGCCCACATTTAGCTCGCCACTGCATCCGCGCATCGGTCCAAAGGCCTTATCACCCTGTCCCAATTCAGGTGTTACAGAGAAATAGTTATTATCAGCATACTGATCTCACATGCCTCCAAAACTCCTAATGACTGCTCCCTGTCTTGCTGTAGATGTTAAATAGCATCAGCGACAGTATAATGCCCTCTGGCACCCAAGAAATGCCCGCAGCACATTTAGTGTACTGTATATGCAGAAAGGGCAAATGACTGTTGATTTTCAAAAGTCCCCTTAGTTGTCACAAAATTTCAAAGGAAAAAGGAGGGAGTCAAGATGCCATTTCAAAAGTGCAGAAAAATAAGCATTTTATGACATATGTTTTTAAGATCCCCCCCTCCCAGAGACACTGATGTACAACCCTGTTTTGAAATAACGGTGTAGGGTATAGTGTTTTACATCTAAGTGCCCCTGAGGAAGAATATCTTCAGGACGTGCTGGGCTGTTAAAATGTTTGCTTCTGTACACCTTTCAAATTCCATCTCTCTGTTTTCTCTGTCACATAATTGCATCTGTCTTAGAGGAGGAATCTGCTGTTTATACAGAAGCACCCTACCTGGCCCTGAGATCCCTGAGGGCCGATTCACATGACCGCTTCTGTGCTATCATTAAGTACACAAGAAGCAAAAGTTCAGCGCATGGTTTGAAAGCATTGGCATAAGGTTTTTGTGAAGTCTGTTCACAAGTTGAAAGGTTCGCATTCATTTCTTTAATTCTTTTTACTTCGTTATGACCATCAGAGTTTAATTTCTGAGGTGTATTTTGGTTCAGACCATTTGAAACAGAAGTGGATGCTGTTTTCTCCCCTTTGCCTCTAAAGGACAGAGGCCAGACATTTCTGTCCTCTGAGGAAAAGCCAGAAGATGCCATTGGTGAAATGTCAGAAATAATTAAGAAGAATTCTACTGTTCAGTCTTACAGAAGAAATCTATCTTTTGGGAGAAAAAAACACAGATAAGGGAAATGAGGTGACAGCTTATTTGATGATATTTACAGTTGAATGTGACGTCAATTTGGAAGGGTAGTAGAGATCAATTTTAATGACAGGCAACTAAGCATGCTTATTGATTTGGAGGCCAGCTAGAGCACAAATGGCAATGACCATTAATATACCAGCATCACAGCCACTCATGCCACAGAAAAATAATTTATACCATTATATTTTTAAAAAGCAAATGGTTTCTGACAGGGGCAACCAATGTGGTATTCCCCAGACATTGTTGCACTGCAGCTCCCATCAGCCCCAGTCACAATGGTCATGGATGTTGAGAGTTGTAGTCCAGTAACAACCAAAAAGGCAACCCTGATTTATGGACAAAATTTAGAAGGGAAATTTATAGATCTGCTGATTTTTTAAAATGGATATTATTAAGTATACTTTAAGGTGTAGTTCCTAGCAATATCAACAAGACCCCATGTACAATTGTTTAATTATAAATTATGTGACCCATATATTGGGGCAGTGTAGGATAGTGGTTAAAGTGTTTGGACTGCAGGGCGCCGAGTTCATCCATGAAACGCACTGGGTGATGTTGAGGCCATTCACTTCCACTTAGACTAACCTACCACATCGGGTTGTTATGGAGATTGCTGAGGAGAGGAGTCGTGTACACAGATTTCCTTTCTTGGAGAAAAGGTGAACTATGAATGTAATAATAAATATAGGGCTTTTTACAGATGAAGAATCTTTAGAATGAAACAAGAAGATATATGTAGCCAGCCCGTATGGAAATGTCTATATTTTTATAACCAGATCTTCGCTAAAACAGCTTGAATAGCAAGCCACCAATGAAAAGCCCTTTCCCCCTTTTCTATAACCAGAGGCTGGGGACAGGTTGTGCTGTTGGCTTCCTTTGAGTTTTATGGGGCACCAGTAGAAAGAGAGCAGGCTAGCAGTCCTATTTAGGAAAAGTCCAACTAATTGGTTTAGCATAAATAATATAACATGTTGTTCAGTGTGTAAACAATGTTTACAGAGGCACAAGAAGCCACCTTAGCTAGCAGTATGGAAGCTCCAGGCTATGGGAATAATTGGCCCTGCAAGATCTTCCCATTTGGCCCATAATGCCATTTTGGCTGACATTTGCCCTACACCTGAAAGACCTGGCTCAGCTGAAAGGCACTGGACTGTGCACAGCGCTGTATGCTGAGCTTTGCAAAGCCCAGTGATCAGTGGGTGGGTACAGTAGAGCTTGCAAAGTGCTCTGCACAGGATTTCACAAGACTCAACCTTCAGCTGAACATTGGATCTTGTAAAGTCCCACACATAGTGGTCCGTAAGACCCTACCAGCTGACTGTTAGATCTTTGCAGGCTATGCCTTTGCCTCCAGAGTTTGGTGTCATTGTGCAAGCAGAAGTTCTTCCACTCATGCAATTATTTAGCTGAATGCCACCCTGTATTGCCTGCTGTGAAGACAGATGCAAATAATAAATTTAGCTTCTCTGCAATTTCTTTATCCTCCCTTAGCACACCTTAGACTCCCTTGTCATCCAAAGGTCCAGCCACTTCCCTAGCCAGTCTTTTGAGGTATTTAAATATTTTTTGTTGTTGGCACTTTGCCAAAGTTTGTTTTCCCTTTTTGTTCTCATTTGGACATGACTTCTGTTATCCAAAAGAAGCCTTCTTCCATCTAATAGTTTATCTGATTCTGCTCATTAACAGAACTGGCATCCTCTTGGTCCTGGCGGTACCATTCTTAATCTGCGACTCATCTGAATGGTCTGCTTGCCTTTGTGGTGTACACTGTAGAGGATGAGAGGGGGAGTCAAAGGATATTGCAGTGGATACTTCTGGGGAAAGGGATTTTACATTTTGGGGTACATCTTCTGCATGGATTGCCTTGCATAAATTGTCTCAGATTATGTTTTTAGGTCCAGCAGACCACTTATATGAGCTTTTAAAATAATGTATAGATCAGCTCAGACTGTTCTATTGGGCCTTGCATAGAAGGTTCTGATTCACAGAAACACTGGGAGATGTTCTTGACCTACTACGGGCTCTAGATTCCCTGCCAGGGATGTAGGTATTATACCTAATGCATCTACTCTGGAAACCAGGCACAAATATTAAGGACTGTACTGGCTGATTCATTGTATTTCATCAGTTTAGTTCTAAGAACTCCAGTTTAATTTGCTGGCCTCTTTTCTAGATAGCCTTGCCCAGGCAGGTGCATTATGTGACCCACGAGAGCAGCAAAATAACCAGAATGCACAACGGTGATAAGATAAAATATGGCCATATCTTTATTGACAGCAGCAGCAGGCAGGGCAAGGGCTGGCATGGCACTGGGTCCCAGGATTAGCTCATCATTCCACAAGCCCCATGTTGATGGAATGGATCCTCTGGGTTTGGGTCACTCCGAACCTGTACAACAGGAGTCGCTCAGTGTTGAACCTTGCCGTGGTACAAGCCAAGCAAGCAAGGTCTCACCAGGGTGCAGATTCCAACCAGGCAGAAACCGAACCCACGCTTGGGTTTGCCATGGTCAATTCTCCCATCAGGCCCCTTATGGGGGGGATATACTATGTTGACCTTGACCAATGCTATTTCCACCTTCATAAAAAACAACGTTATTCCGCCTAACAAAGGAAAGCCATAATTCCACTGAGGGAAAGTCGGGAATAAAACCCCCAACCAAATGCCAATCAGGGAGAGAGAGAACTCTTTCCAGCCCTGTCAACCAGCGACCCAAAATTGCTCAGTAAAGACTCTAACCTGAGGGTGGGGCGGGCAGGAAGCTCTCAAAGCAAAATGGCTGTGAGCTCCAGGGGAAGCAGCATTATAGACTTCCCCCTCCCTTCTGCAGCAAGGGCTCATGAGACAGCTTTTCCCCATGAGCCCATCACACAGAGAAGATACTGAACAAAACCTTGCCCAGGATTCTGCTCCAATCTATGGACCACAATGCCTCTGGGTAAAGGAGTCCCATGCTTACTGGGCACAGAACAGGGCTTCTAGATCAGTTTTGTCACGCTTATCAATCACCAACTATATCTAACTTTCTCTCTAGCTATCTACACACACACATTCTCCTATTTCCCACATCTTCTGTGGAAGAGAAAATAGCTTCATCTTATTTAATTTAGTGCCTTTATTATAATTGCTTTGTTTTTTCCAATCAGAACAGGTTTCCTGTTTTAATATGGTGTTCAATACTCTCTGGTCTTGATAAACAGGCTAGAGCTTCCTCTTCTGGTTTATGTTGATCCAATCCCCCTTTTATTTTTCTCTTACTCTGAATTAATTTGCCCTGACTGCTTTTACCCACTCTCAATTAATATATTAATTTACAATAAATTAATTAATCCCCCCCTGACAACTGTTTTAGGGGCACCACAACTCATATTAATGGTGGACTGCCCATTCTAATTAAAATCAATACATAGCCCTTAATGCATTTACTCCTATCTTTACCACGAAAACTAGCTCACCAGGAAGAAGTCATTTAATCACTGGACTGGGTTGATACGTGTGATCTTGATGAAAGATTAGATGTTTGCATTTTGCAATGCAAGTACCAGCATGGCATTCACCATGGAAATATTAAATGTGTAAAGGTATGTGTTTTATTTTTGCTGTAGCAACCTTATGCAGACATTCTAATTCTTACATCCAGGTACATTCCTACTCATACTTGGATTTATTATGTACAGCGAGGACCACATTCATTGAAACATATTGCCCTGCATAACACTTTCAAGAAGTGTTGTCTTCTCCTCTGGACCACTTCCAGAGATCCCTAATTTTCTCCTGATTATGCTTTGTAAGTGTTGGTTTTCTCGGCTTTAGGTAACATTTTGAAATACTCTTTTGACATATTGTATTATTTCATGGTCTTGTACTTTATTATCTGTTTGACGTATGGCTTACAAAACACCTTGAGTTTAAAAAGTAGTATACAAGTATACATCTGAATGTATAGGGAAACTTTTTAGGGAAACTTTTTAAGGTTTAAAGTTTTTTCTATATTTTTATATATGCTGAAAGCTTCCCAGAGTGGCTGGGGCAACCCAGCCAGATGGGCAGGGTACAAATAATAAATTATTATTATTATATTATTATTGTTATAAGTTTATTAAATAAATAAGCAAGACAGTTTCTTTTGACCACTGGATGACTTTTTCAAATAGATGTGTAGATCCGTAGGCCATTTTGCACACTTACCAGGCTGGCAAGAGTCTCGGAGCAAGTGTGCTCCCTTGCACCATGCAAATAAAATCTTCCCTTGGGATGAAGGCCAGTTTTAAAATGTAATAGTAGGTAGTTGTAATCATCATCACATGTGAGACGAGAGCTCTGTGGTGACACCCGATTGTACACATGTCCAAGGAATGTTTGTCGGGAGCTCCCATGTTTTAGTCACAGATACAGTATACCGTATTTTTCGCTCTATAAGATGCACCAGACCACAAGACGCACCTAGTTTTTGGAGGAGGAAAACAAGAAAAAAAATATTCTGAATCCCAGAAGCCAGAACAGCAAGAGGGATCGCTGCGCAGTGAAAGCAGCGATCCCTCTTGCTGTTCTGGCTTCTGGGATAGCTGCGCAGCCTGCATCCACTCCATAAGACGCACACACATTTCCCCTTACTTTTTAGGAGGGAGTAAAAAATATGGTATATGGTGGAGAAGTAGAAGGTTTCATTTGGCCTGTTAAATGTTTGAACCTTGCTGCAGAATATATGAGAAGTTCATTATGGCTTACTCTCCTCTAGTTCCTAAGGATACTCAGAGTCTTCTGGTTTATGAGGACATTCTACTGCTTATTTTGTCTGATGCCCACCCCAAAGGTTATTATCCACCATCATTTATGCCATTTCCAGGGTTTTAGGTGCTGATAATTTTGAAAGGCTCCTAATAACTTTGAACGGCAATCATCTACAGAAAGAATTTCAACTCCAAACATCCCATTTCTCCATGTGGCAGTTGAGGGGTTGCTCTCTGGAGAGTTACATCAGGGGACACACACTCCCTAGGTGCTAATTGCTTCTCATTCATACTGATACCGTCCTTCATTTAAAAGCACGCAAGGAGTAATGGCCCAGTAAATCTGAAGGCCAGGCCAGTTGGTGCTTTGAGTGAGATATACTGAGGTAAGAAATCAACTTCTTAGGTTTAGGAGCCTCCTGAGCTTTTTCTTTTTAATCAGACTATTGATTTCCCTCCCAACATTCATTGTCTAAAACTTGATCACTGATATACTTTTCACCTTCCTACAATGAAACACTTGGGAAAGCTCCATAAAATACCTGGAAAATGCCCATTGAAAACACAAATCTACCATTTTTTAGCTGGGAAAAAATAGCTCTCGTCTCATAGGTAAACTATGAGAATTGAGAAGTACATTGCTTTGACATTTATGGGTCCTTTTATGTTGCTGTTTACTACTAGAAGCTGCGCAAAGCATAGGGGTCTAGCCATTTAAAATGTGCGGCTCGCCTGGTTTCTTATATAAGAATGTTAAAAGTTACACTAGTAAAGACCTGTGCTGAACAAAAAGTATTACGGAATTCTGTATACATAAATGACTTTTGCTCTCTCTAACAGTGGCTTTTAACTTTTAACAGAATTGTTCCTGCTTCTTGGTGGCTCCACTGGGGTACAAATGAACAACATAAATCATATGTGTGACATCAGCAAAGTTCTGGGCACTGAAAAGAAGTGAAACAATAATTTATTTATTCATCACCATTGTATGCCATGCCCAAGCAGCTTGAAGGAGCCACATACAGGGCTACTCATTCCCTGTGAGGATGTAGGCTTGACAGGCAGAGAGTGTGAGTTACCCAAAGCCATGAAGTCAGCCTTGTGGCAAAGTTATAATTTGAGAACAGTTTCCTCTAGTTCAGGTATACTGCTGTATCTACTACACCACAGTGGCTGTTCAATTGTGGACAAATGTGTGTCTAGAAATATAAAGTGGTACCTCGGGTTACAGACGCTTCAGGTTACAGACTCCGCTAACCCAGAAATAGTACCTCAGGTTAAGAACTTTGTTCTCATCCTAACAGAAATTGTGTGATGGCGGCGCAGTGGCAGTGGGAGGCCCCATTAGCTAAAGTGGTGCTTCAGGTTAAGAACAGTTTCAGGTTAAGTACGGACCTCCGGAATGAATTAAGTTCTTAACCCGAGGTACCACCATACAGGCATTTTGCGCGTGTTCAAAGAATATGCAATCAAGCATGTGAGCATCACTGTGAACCTGGAAGTTGCAGGAAAAGATTGTGGAACCAGGGTAGGGATGTAATAGAGAGTGCTTATGTGCACTCTGACAATGCGCATGAAAACCTGGAACATAACCTGTGCATGTGGCCATAGTGTAGATGAAGCAGCTGTGTGGTAACCCTGATAAACTAGCATTTATGTCTTTTGTGTTTTTATGTTGTAAACCACCCTATGATCATCATATAAAGGGCGGTATTTAAATATAATTTAGTAGTAGTAGTAGTAGTAGTAGTAGTATTTGTAGGAGTAGGAACACTTAAAGTGTGTTTACCCTTCCTTACACTTGAAAAAGTCTGCTAAACACAAAAGAAAAGTGATGTTTAGAGAGGAAGGGGGGAAAGCATTAGTTCTTCTTAATATATATTTGGTTAGCCCCCAGCAATCCAAACACCTCAGAAGAGACTGTCAATGTTGACCTTACAGAGTGGATCTTCTCAGGCCTAGCAGAAATCTGCAGTCACCTCAGCAACCTTTTCATGGGAAGCAAGGCTGGGTTTGGGTGGGGACATGCCAGCATCACACACACACACACACACACACACACACCGAGCTACTGCGGGGTGTGCATAGTTCAAAATCATGGCTGCAATGGGTTCTGTGAGCCAGTTAACCAAGTGCAACCTCCTGCCTGTGACTGGCATGTGCTGAGATCACTGCTGGATTGTACCATATATGGGGCTGTCTCTGGTTTACCACAATTCTGTGCTCTTTGCTCAAAATAAAGCCAAATAACATACAGTTATGGGACATGTGTAGAGTAACAGTTGAACCATACTACATGGCAACACTTGGCTACTCAGTTTACCTTGAAGTGGCCTTCTGGAGCTTGTTGGTGACTTGTCCAGGTCTATTTCAGGGTAGCATCACACAGCCACTCCCAGAAAAGATGACCCTGGTTCTCTTTTGCACAGGTTCTGATGGCCTTGGGAAGGAAAGAAAGGGGTGTTAGCCGCGGATAGTTGTAATGGTGGTTTGTCTTGCTTCCTGATGATTCTCTTTCTCACAGGACTGTTGGTAACAGTGACCTTTGGGAGGATGGAGTTCTTAAGCCTTTTTAAAAAAAGTATGAATATCACACTTTTCAAAACAAACACACACATACACACATGTGATTTGGACTAGCAATGGGGAAGAAGTGAAATTTGTTTTGCATTTTAATGCAAACTTCTGATATCTTCATTTTTCCAAATTTTGTGATGCTGTTTTCCAACCAAGTAGGCATGTACAAAAATATGTTTATTAGGGGAAACCGTGCATAAATAAATCCATATATTAGGGGGGGAAATATTAAGTCATTGTATAAGGAGGAATTGCTTCCCAAACTGTGTAAATTATGAAAAAAGTGCACTGAAATGCTGATGAATTTTTAAGAGGGTATCCCCCCAACCCCCCAAAATCTGCAAACTGATACAGAAATTTGGGGACTTCAACTTTGGATTGGAAAGATATGAGAAACTGAGACAAGCTGAAATTGACAAATCTGTTCAACCACAGTTGGACCTTGGTTTTCTTTTCTAAAATGCTGAGAGAAACCTTCACGTGGCTTCACTAAACAAAGTCCTCTTTTTGGGAGATCCTTCCCCCCAAACCCCAGGCAAATAATAATATCCATATGAGGAAATGTAACCCCTCCAAAAGTATGTAATCTAGTTCCCGAGAATGTAGACTCATGTATGAGTATTCTGTTGAGTATTCAGTACTGAAAGCAGAGTGCTGCATATGCAGAAACTTTTACAAGAGGGATAGACTGTTCTCTTATTGGGTGTTTAGAATGATTTCAGAACACTAATGGCATGTGTCATCAGTTCACAAAAGGCATGGTGAATAAAGCTTTGGTAAAGAAAAATACATATTTACATTTCTTTTGGGCACATAAGTTGGGCACCTTTATTATGAAGAAATGGAGAATCACTAGATGGTAATGAGATTCCTAGAAGACAGAAAATGCCAATTTACCGAAGGAAAAGAGGCAGATGAAAGGAAGATGTAGTCTATTGGAAAAAAATACACATACATTAAAAATAAGGAATACAGAGGGACTGTCAGCTTGCACTGATCAGGTTAGACAGATAGAAATTAATTATATTTTGTCTAAGAGGCTGCCTCTGTAGCCTTGGTCCATTTTAAAAAGCACATTAGAGGATTTTTCAAACTTGCTTTCCAATTACCTTGGATGGCAGGCAAAGTGCTTTGAAACAAAACTCATTTTAAATTGGTAAATGCAACCAATCCCAACTGACAGCATTTTCAAAATTCATAACATTCTGCTACTGGTCAAACTAATTCTAAAGGGGATACACATTATAACAGTCCTTTATTAAGGAGAGCGCAAAGGGGCCAATAGTACAGAGACACGGCAGAAATTTTTAAGACAGATAAGTGTGGAAAGGAGAAATCGGTGGAACATCTGCTGAGGAGGAAACTATTTCTGAGTCAGAAATAGGCACTGGGAAATTAAACATCTATGCACAGTCTAGGCTTATTTTGTTGGCAGTTATTTGGACTGCTTCTACTCCTTTTGTCCCCTCTGAACAAATATATGAAGAAATTGAAATATATGTATCTTTGAAAAAGATATACATGGCATTTCTGTCATGGAAGCCTTAGAAGACACACCAGTCAGTAGACAATAACAAATACAACTAATTCTAGTACCGAGTAGTGATTAAACTATACAGTGAAAATGATCCACACTTTCTAGTAAGACTATGTGGTAACTCCAAATGGGCCTTGAATCAATTTGGGCCAATTTGGTTTGACCTAGGGTTTAGCTAGAATGGGTTCAGGAAGCCCCAGATTACCCTGGGTCAGATCAGGTCCACCCTGAGTGATCTGGGTATGTCAAGAGGGGCTGTTGGGTGGTGAGCAGTGATGGAAGAGATGCATATGGGCAGTCTACATATGTCTTCTTCTCCCATGTTTATCTGGGGTTTTAAACCCTAATTCAACACTGTGTGAGATGTGGGTGGTGCTGTGGTCTAAATCACTGAGCCTCTAGGGCATGCCAATCGGAAGGTTGGCAGTTCGAATCCACATGACACAGTGAGCTCCTGTTGCTTTGTCCCAGCTTCTGCCAACCTAATGGACCTACCCCACAACATAGACCACTACTCCCTATATGTTTATTCAGAAGTTTCCAGTTGTGTTCAAGAGCTTTCCTCTTTAGTACAGTCTTACCTTGGTTGTCAAACGCCTTGCAACTCGAATGTCTTGGCTCCTGAACACTGCAAACCCAGAAGTGAGTGTTCTGGTTTGTGAAAGTTCTTTGGACCCCAAATGTCCGACACTACTTCCACCGCTTCCAAATTGAGTGCAGGAGGCTCCTGCAGCCAATCAGAAGCCGCATCTTGGTTTTCGAATGTTTTCAGAATCGAACGGACTTCTGGAATGGGTTCCATTCAAGAACCAAGGTACGACTGTAAGTTTGTTTAGGATTGCAACTTTGGAGTGGGAAGATGTACAGGAATCAGTAAGGATGGTTTTGTTACTTCCACTTGGGTGCTGTCATGTTTAAACTAAGATTATTTTAATACTCTTTGGATTTCCCTGCTTTTCTTTGTAACTTACCTCCTGGCTCAAAACACAAACTTTGCAATCCAGGGTTCCCTTTTATAGAATTGCCAGTAGGAAAAAATCAGAGAATTTGAAAGAATCATTAGCACAATGTACTTTAATAAGGTTGTAATTAAAGCTTACAGGCATTGGAATAATAGGCTGTGTACTGGTTTTACATGGCTGCCTTGAGAAATACATGCATTTATTAACTACTAATGGTGTGATTTACCATTGAGTTGTGTTGCTATTACTACTGCCTCTTTCTGAGCTCCCAGGGCATGCTGTAGGAGGAAGACATCAATCACATTTATGTCATACGGACTTAGATTGTATTGTCGTCTAGCTGCTTGGATTAAAGCTCATTGTCGAAAAGGTTCTGTTGCATTGTGATACTGCTTTATTTACATACTCAAGTGCCCCCTCCCTTCTGTTCCTCCTATTTTAGACACCGATCACAGTATTAAATTTATATTTTCTGTGATACATGTGTTGGTATTTAATATCCTATGTCATTTCACACTCTCTGGGGAATAAGGCTGGCCACAAAATAAATTTTCTGGGAAAGCAGCTATCAGGACAAAAAGATAGTGATTTGTTTTTATTAAACAGTTTTATTATATGCAACAGAGATTGGTCAACATTTAATTGCAAATCTTTTTTTTTAATAAAAATAAAAATCCCAGTGCTTCTTTAGCATGACAGGGAGCTTATCTTGAAGCTTTGCAGACCCCATTTCTGTGGTTGCAAAAGACAACATGGCTCCTTCACTTTTAACAGTTGTGTAGAAAAGAGAAATTCAGCAGGTGTAGCTTGCATAACAAGTTTTCAAAGTTGCAGGAGAGCTGTTCTGTGTTGCACTTGATCACCCAAACTACTTCTGCGAAGGTGCCACTGTGACATTGTCAATTTGGCTATCAGGATGCAGGTGGGGAGGAAACTGATACCCAGATGTAGATGCAGAGCAGGGCCCACAGATTGGGGCTTTTTAGTTTTCCCCATTCAGCATGTCCTACATGCCCCCATACCCCTGAAATTGACCGGGGTTTTCTGGGTGGTGGGAGCAGAACAGTAGAGGGAGAGAGGAGGAGTACTGTTCCATCTGGCAAGCAGAAGTCTTTATGAAACGGGGCCTCATTTGTTTACAGGGCTTTAAACACTAATGTGAGCACCTTGAATTGAGGCTGGAAACAAACTTGGCAATCAATGCAGCTGTTTTAAAATAGAGGTTATGTGAGTTCTAAATGGAACCCCAGCCAGTAGTCTGGATGCTGCATTTTGGACCAGTTGAAGTTTCCAAGTCTTCTTCGAGGGCAGACTCATGTAGAGCATGTCACAATAAGCCAGTCTGGAAGTTACTAAAGCATGGAGTACAATGGCTGAATCATCTCTCGAAAGGGTCATATTCCTAGCCAGACATTCCTAGCCACTGAGGTCTCATGAGCCTCCAGAGGCAATGTTGGACCCATTAGTATCCCCAGTCTATGGGCCTATTCCTTCTGTAACCTGGTCCAGAGCAAGCCATCTCCTCACCTCTTGAACCCAAGAAGGTCAGCCCCAGAAGGATTCTGCCAACTTTTTGACCTCCTCATCTAGCCTCCTCATGCTCCAATGAAGCATTAATCACTCCCTTGACCTACCCAGGCAATCCTTTGACTAGCTCTAAGAAGTCAAGTTGAGCAAGAGTGAAGAATACAGGTACTTGACTGCATCGCTGCAAGCACCTTGTCCACATTCTCAGAAATGATGCAGCTCAGATAAACAGACAGTGCTCTGAATGCTTCTAAAGGACTTGCTCTGTAGCATCAAATTCTATCAGAATATGAGTGGGGTTTTATTACTGAAGTGCTCAAAATTTGTCCCAGAAGACTTCCAAGGATGTCAGAGCAATGGTCTCCCAGCCAGAAGACAAAAGCAAATTCACCACTAAAAAATATGGGTTTTCTGACCTAAAAACTGTAATGCAGTTTCCAGAACAGGAATGTATAACATTGGTCAGATCGGGTTGTATCCAATACCGTTCCTCCAATCATGTTCCAGTGGAAATCAGCAAAAATCTCCTTCCACGCTTACATTCACAGAAGTTTTTGCAGGGTTGAAGAGATTTCTGTGATGGAAGGGACTCAGTTAGATACAGTACACTGCCTTTAATGATTTTTGTTGGAGACAGAGAAATCTGAATCCTCTACTTCCCATTCACTTCCTTTAAATATGTGGTCTGCTCTCTCTCTGGCTCATGGGTCGAACTTTTCAGCCTTGTATTGAAAAGCACACACCACAACCATTTACCCTTGTTGGACTGAGACCATTGTGTTTGGAACAGGGGTAAAGTATTAAATTTTCACTTATATAGCACAATAGGGTTTTTTTTAATTACCTATGTTTCAGTAGTTAATAGGACTCACTGAAAACAACCAGTTTTTCTTAATGTTAATTAAAGGAGAATTAAGGTCAACTCTATTTTATTTAACTGTCACTACCAAGAACCAACTCTTCTTCATTAATCCAAAACATCCAGGACAGCTTTCCCCCTATTAATATAGGTATATATATGAAGTGCTTATCATTTGTAACCAATCACTGCCTCCTCTAATGGATATTTGAAACCCTTATTGATTTGGTAGATTTGTTTCAACTAAGGTCAATAATGATAAATGACTCGCGTTCTGCATGAAGTGACTTGGGACTTTTGAATTAAATGATTGTAATTATCTGTAGTTACTCTGTAACTGCAACTGTTACTGGTAGTGACACGATGCCCATCTATTTGTAATGAGGACATTTTCTGACCTTTTACTGTTTCCAAGTTCCTTTAAGACTTTTGAAAGTTAGACAAGAGCTGACCAAGCATTGGGTGCCTGGAAGGACATGCCTACCTGGTGGTTATTTGTTGAGTTATATTATGCAGCCAAATCTCACTTTAATGTTGGTCTTGGCTATAAAATAGGTGTCTGGAGGACATGTTCTTCGGTCTTGCATGATAAATTGGTTGATAGGCAATTAGGTAAGCAAGACTACTTATTATTTCTCTCCCTAATTGTGCTTCCCAGAAATTGTGATATTCAGAGGCACATTCCTTCCAACAGCGCAGGTAGAACATACCGTATTTTTCCTTGTATAAGACTAGGTTTTTTCCCCTTTAAAAGAATGTCAAAAATTATGGGGCGTCTTATGCATGGATAGTGACTCCCCCCCATTTTCTTAAATCCGAGTCCACAAAAATAGGAGGCGTCTTATAGACGGAAAAATATGGTAACTATCATGGCTGGTAGCCATTGATAATCTTATTCTTTATGACTAAGGAAGGCAGTTGGAAGTAGAGAAGCATTAACTGAGCAATAAGAAGGAATAATAATAATAATAATAATAATAATAATAATAATAATTTATTTATGCCCTGCCCATCTGGTTCGGTTTCCCCAGCTACTCTGGGCGGCTCCCAAACGAATATTAAAAACACAAAACAGCATTAAACATTAAAAACTTCCCTAAACAGGGCTGCCTTCAGATGCCTTTTAAAAGTAGAATAGTTGCTTATTTCCTTGACATCTGATGGGAGGGCATTCCACAGGGCAGGTGCCACTACTGAACCTCTGCTTGGTTCCCTGTAACCTCACTTCTCTCAGTGAGGGAACCGCCAGAAGGCCCTCGGCACTGGATCTCAGTGTCTGGGCTGAACGATGGGGGTGGAGACACTCCTTCAGGTATACAGGGCTGAGGCCGTTTAGGGAAGAAGGTGAGAAAGAACAGCCTAGGCTAGCAGTCTTCATATGTGCGTGAATTTGGTTGCTTCCATAACAGTTGAAAAAAAATCTCTTTACCCAGGAATTTTCCCAACCATTAATACCAATTCCTACCATTCCTGGTTACCGTGACTGATATTTTAACATTATTTTATTTTGACTGATATTTAATTTTGTGTTATTGAGTTGGTTTTATTCTCAAAAATAAAAAGGTGGTATACACATTCCTTTGATAAATACAGTGGTACCTCAGGTTACATATGCTTCAGGTTACACACTCCGCTAACCCAGAAATAGTGCTTCAGGTTAAGAACTTTGCTTCAGGATAAGAATAGAAATCAGGTTCTGGAGGTGCGGCGGCAGCAGGAGGCCCCATTAGCTAAACTGGTGCTTCAGGTTAAGAACAGTTTCAGGTTAAGAACGGACCTCCGGAACGAATTAAGTACTTAACCTGATGTACCACTGTAAATGAAAATAAAATGATTGCCCTTCTATGGTTTGGAAGCGTATACTATTAAATCAGAAGATTTGCTACAGGACTTCAGGCATATGTTGGTCACCAAACTGCAACTGTGCGTAGTTGCTCACTTTGAAAGAATGTGTTCATTGATTGGCTGGTACAAGGACAGGCACCTCTCAAAACTATATTTGGAAGCCACTGTTTGTCTCAATCCATCACTTTCAGTGAGGCAGGGACAAAGAAAATCCATAGCATTTAGATTATACATTTATGCTGCAATTATTCTGGTTCAACAAAAATAATATCCAGTGGGATTGCATGAGCCAAGAAAGTGCATGCATTTAAATATAGTACATTTTGAACACAATGACATATGTCTGTCAGTATCAACTCACACCAATAAACTGCAAGTCACACTCCCTCCAATAGGCTGCAAACCTCTATTACAAGGCACACTTAATTTAATTAATCCGCTTGGCTGTCTCTACTCAGCAGGAACCTTGTAATGAAATAACAAGCAATAACATATCCCTCAGTCCCAAGGGATAGAGTCCCTTTGGGTCAAGGTTGGAATCAGTGGAAAAGGAAGGTCAGGGAGCTTATGTTGAAACTCTTGCTATGCCATCAGATTGAACTTGGGTGTTTCTTAAATTCACGTGGTAGCCTATTTTCTTTTACTTCTTCAACTACTCATGCATTCTGTAGTCTTGAAGAGCAATTGTGAGCATGAGACAAAGAGTGCTGTGAGATAAAGAGACAAAGAAGTATATGTTTTTAATTTTTTGTGTACTTTTATTTTACAGTAATTCATGTGAATATGTGTTATGGCATCTTGTTGCTTAGGAAACATATTTTCTATTAATCAAGAGAATCACAAAGGATTGAATTGTTTGCCTCCAGCTAGGGTCTTAAGATTGTGCTTGAAAACTTCATTGCAGTGAGTAGAATTAGGGTAATGCATTCTTCCTCCTTCCCCCTTCTTCTTCTTTTGAAAAAAGGTTTTTATGTAAAAGATTTTTACACACAGAACAATAACCAACACACTTGTCTCCAAAGATCTAGAAACAGAAGAGTAATACATTCTGGAAACTGGATAATGGTGTGAGAGTCTGGTGTGTAAGACTTTACTTTTCCCCCTATACAGTGGTACCTTGGGTTACATGTGCTTCAGGTTATATACGCTTCAGGTTACACACTCCGCTAACCCAGAAATAGTACCTCGGGTTAAGAACTTTGCTTCAGGATAAGAACAGAAATTGTGCTCCGGTGGCGCGGCAGCAGCAGGAGGCCCCATTAGCTAAAGCGGTGCTTCAGGTTAAGAACAGTTTCAGGTTAAGAACGGACCTCCGGAACGAATTAAGTACTTAACCCAAGGTACCACTGTATTGTTTCCCTTTCAATGATATCCCATCTTTCTTCCATTGTGGAACCTAAAATGGTCCACAGATTGCTCCCTCTAAGAGGTCTTCCATCCAGACAATGTCTTTAGACAATGGGACTGAATAGAATGGTGGGAAAGTAATGGAGAGGTGACAGCTATGTCCCTCTTATAAATTTATTTTGGCCCTATGTTGTTGGGGGAAATGGTGTTCCATCTCCTTGCAGGTTCCTTGAAGCATTGTGTTTTCTCAGACTTCTATGAGACTGTATTGATAACTAACCAGCATTCTTTAAAATGAAGTTCTGCTCTCCTTAGTAATCTGCTGCTTGAATGTTCTCCTTTCTTGTTTGGTTTATTGTGTTATACGCAGTATTGAATAATTTATTGTATAAATATTGCTGAGGAAAAAATCCTATATTTGTCTGTTCAGAAGTAAGTCCCACTGAATTCTATGGATGTTCTCCCAAGTAAGTGTGTACAAGAAGGCAGCCATTTGGCTTCACCACAATGATGGCTCTCTCTTTCCTTGGAAATCTGCCAGTGCTCGAACCACTTTCTAAAACAGGTCTTTCACGGCCAGTGTTGAAGTTGTTAGCATTTGCTATATTTTTAATCTCCTTAATTAGATTTTATTTGAAGCTTAATGGAATCTTTTACATTTGCTTTTTAATTTTATTACTCCCTGTACCTAGCCCTCAAGGTATGGAGAGCTAACCGTTCAAATAAATAAATAAATGGAATGAGATTGGACAATTTCAAATTCAAGTTATAAAAGTTAAATTTTTTGTTTAGCTTTGTTCAAACTATCAGCAAGCATTATGCGGTTGAGTACCCACACTTTCTGCGCTTTCACTCATTTTAGCGTCTCTCCCCCTCTTTCAAAAACTCTCCTCTAACTGGAGACTGGCTCCAATTTAGGGTAATTTTATACAACCCCAGTTTCATTTCAATTTATAGAAATAATTAGAGCAAATTAGATCATGGGGAAAGTTTAATTAACTGGGCATAGTTTTGAATTAAAGTCCATTTCGGTGGAAATTGGAAAAGCCTCAGTAATTCAGTACTTCATTATAGCATGATTTAGCATCCTAGATTATAGGGGGGGGGACTATATGTCAGCATACATGATGCAGCAGATTGAATGGTTATACTTCTCTGTGACCCATAGCTTTAGGCGTTATACATACCTACTGTGATACCTTAGGGATAGATTCCACATGCACTCATTTCAAGTATTCTTGAACCAATTTCTTGACTTCCAAACACTCTTCTCAGCTTCATTAGCATACTTGGATAGTCCTATAAAGTGTGTATAGCATACTTATTACTTTTTCCATATAATTAAATATGTACTGAATTTACTGTCAATGCTGGGGTCGGGGTGGGAAATCTATTGCCCAAGAGATTTAATTCAGCAACGCTTTACAAAAGTTACTAATTATAGTTAATTCTATTGGTATTTGAAATTTCATTAATCATGATGACTTAATTTGGATTAATGTGGATGTAATCTTCTAATTTGCTGAGAATTTAGAACTAATTTAAGATCAAATATTGGATAGAGTTATATATTAAAGGAAGTTCATTTTTGCTTTATAAGTCAGTCTTTTGCTTATAGATTTCCATGTAAATTGGTCAATATTGATCAGGAGTGTTTCCAATGGATCAGCAGCAGTGGAATCCTCCTTGGCAGAGAGAATTAATTGTATTTTAAGACATGCATAGAGTACTTTGTTCAATGCCCAGATCTGCCACTTTTCACCAATGTTTAACTATGGGGTAGCTGGAGACATTTTACTGCCTGAGGTCAAGCAACAAATGCCTCTTCCTTTGCCTCTCAAGAAGTGCTCAAAGTTAGCCAAGTTATTTTCTCCCCTGAGGCAGAAAAATCCCACATATACTTCCCAACTCCCATACAGTAAAAATACAACAACAAACAACAACAAAACCAACCATTTGCTCTTCTTTCACGGCACCCAAGTTAACTGTCTAACGGTAGAGCTGTGCCTAATGGGCCAAGTGTTTTAACGTGATCCAAAACCCCTGTTTCCTGCCACGCACTCACAGCACTCTTATGGGAGTTTCCCATTCAATTAAATAAAGCTGATACTTTCGATATTAGGTGAAATAGCTGTGGGCATTAAGGCACTCTGACATGGAGTGCTCACAAGAACAGGCTAGATCAGAAGAATACACTTGATTCTGAATGCCAGCTTCAACTGTAGACATTATTGTAGGGCTTCCATTAATGGAAGTTTGCCTCTTAAGGCATTGCACATGCCATTTTTAAACACACACACACATACTCCCTGGTCATTGAGTTAGATTTGCTTGCTTTTGTATTTTTTACATCATTTTGTCATTCAGAAATTGACAAAGTTGGAATTTTCCCTGAAAGAACTGGAAATGGGTCAAAGTGATATAATAGTCTCATGGAGGGAAGAACCAGCAAGCTGAGCCAAGGGAAACAGACCTGCCCCCCTCTCCCCTCCCTGTTCTTTTTTTTTTTAATTGAAAAAGTACAAACATAACAAAAAGAAAGAAAAAAAGAATCAAAAATTTAAACCATAAAGCGCCACAACCTAGCAATACAAAAATATAAAGATACAGTGTAGATCCAAAGGGATAACAAAGTATTAACTAATATAGATACTCCCTTTACAGATAATAAATATTTATTAAAATGTTCTCCTTTCTTTTCTTACTTTTACTGATTTGTAGGGCTGGCAAGAAGGAGGCTGCTACTCCAATTCATTTTGCTGATTTTTCACAGCACATTAACTTGGGAGTAAGTCTCATTTGAACTCATGGGTAGATATGCATAGACATACACTGTTTTTTATTTTTGTTTTTATTGAATTTTACAAGCAAGAATTGTTGTTGTTGTTTAGTCGTTTAGTTGTGTCCGACTCTTCGTGACCCCATGGACCAGAGCACGCCAGGCACTCCTGTCTTCCACTGCCTCCCTCAGTTTGGTCAAACTCATGCTGGTAGCTCCGAGAATACTATCCATCCATCTCGTCCTCTGTCGTCCCCTTCTCCTTGTGCCTTCAATCTTTCCAAACATCAGGGTCTTTTCCAGGGAGTCTTCTCTTCTCATGAGGTGGCCAAAGTAGAATCATAGAATCATAGAATCATAGAGTTGGAAGAGACCACAAGGGCCATCGAGTCCAACCCCCTGCCAAGCAGGAAACACCATCAGAGCACTCCTGACATATGGTTGTCAAGCCTCTGCTTAAAGACCTTTAAAGAAGGAGACTCCACCACACTCCTTGGCAGCAAATTCCACTGTCGAACAGCTCTCACTGTCAGGAAGTTCTTCCTAATGTTTAGGTGGAATCTTCTTTCTTGTAGTTTGGATCCATTGCTCTGTGTCCGCTTCTCTGGAGCAGCAGAAAACAACCTTTCTCCCTCCTCTATGTGACATCCTTTTATATATTTGAACATGGCTATCATATCACCCCTTAACCTTCTCTTCTCCAGGCTAAACATGCCCAGCTCCCTTAGCCGTTCCTCATAAGGCATCGTTTCCAGGCCTTTGACCATTTTGGTTGCCCTCCTCTGGACACGTTCCAGTTTGTCAGTGTCCTTCTTGAACTGTGGTGCCCAGAACTGGACACAGTACTCCAGGTGAGGTCTGACCAGAGCAGAATACAGTGGCACTATTACTTCCCTTGATCTAGATGCTATACTCCTATTGATGCAGCCCAGAATTGCATTGGCTTTTTAGCTGCCGCGTCACACTGTTGGCTCATGTCAAGTTTGTGGTCAACCAAGACTCCTAGATCCTTTTCACATGTACTGCTCTCAAGCCAGGTGTCACCCATCTTGTAGTTGTGCCTCTCATTTTTTTGCCCAAGTGCAATACTTTACATTTCTCCCTGTTAAAATTCATCTTGTTTGTTTTGGCCCAGTTCTCTAATCTGTCAAGGTCGTTTTGAAGTGTGATCCTGTCCTCTGGGGTGTTAGCCACCCCTCCCAGTTTGGTGTCATCTGCAAATTTGATCAGGATGCCCTTGAGTCCATCATCCAAGTCGTTGATAAAGATGTTGAATAAGACCGGGCCCAAGACAGAACCCTGTGGCACCCCACTAGTCACTCTTCTCCAGGATGAAGAGGAACCATTGATGAGCACCCTTTGGGTTCAGTCAGTCAGCCAGTTACAAATCCACTGAGTGGTAGCATAGTCAAGACCGCATTTTACCAGCTTCTTTACAAGAATATCATGGGGCACCTTGTCAAATGCCTTGCTGAAATCAAGGTAGGCTACATCCACTGCGTTCCCTTCATCTACCAGGCTTGTAATTCTGTCAAAAAACGAGATCAGGTTAGTCTGACATGACTTATTTTTCAGAAATCCATGCTGACTATTGGTGATCACAGCATTCCTTTCTAGGTGCTCACAGACTGTTTGCTTCATGATCTGCTCCAGAATCTTCCCTGGTATTGATGTCAGACTGACTGGGCGGTAATTATTTGGGTCCTCTCTTTTCCCCTTTTTGAAAATAGGGACAACATTTGCCCTCCTCCAGTCTGCCGGGACTTCGACTGTTCTCCAGGAATTCTCAAAGATGACTGCCAGTGGTTCTGAGATCACATCTGCCAGTTCTTTTAATACTCTTGGATGCAGTTCATCTGGCCCTGGAGACTTGAATACATCTAAACTAGCCAAGTATTCTTGTACTATCTCCTTAGTTATTCTGGGCTGCGTTTCCTCTGCTGAATCATTTGCTCCAAATTCTTCAGGTCGGGCATTGTTTTCTTTATCGGAGAAGACTGAGGCAAAGAAGGCATTGAGGAGTTCAGCCCTTTCTGTGTCCCCTGTTTGCATTTCACCATCTTCTCCTCTGAGTGACCCCACTGTTTCTTGTTCTTCCTTTTGCTACGGACATACCCATAAAAGCCTTTTTTGTTGCTTTTAACCTCTCTAGCAAGCCTGAGTTCATTCTGTGCTTTAGCTTTTCTGACTTTGTGTCCACACGTGCTGGCTATATGTTTGAATTCCTCTTTGGTGGTTCCCCCCTTTTCCATTTTTTGTACACATCCTTTTTTAATCTTAACTCAGTTAAAAGTTCTTTAGATAGCCACCCTGGCTTCTTTAGACACCTTCCATGTTTCCGTCTCATTGGTATTGCCTGAAGTTGTGTTTTTACTATCTCCCTCTTAACAAACTCCCAGCCATCATGAACTCCCTTTCCTTTTAGTATTACTGTCCATGGGATCTCGCCCAGCACTTCCCTAAGTTTTATGAAGTCGGCTTTCTTAAAGTCAAGAAATTGAGTCCTAGTATGCTTGGCTGCTCCTTTCCGCTGTATAGTAAACTTCAGAAGAGCATGATCACTCGCGCCTAATGATCCTTCCACTTCTACCCCACTAACCAGGTCATCAACATTGGTTAGGACCAGATCTAAAATGGCTGTTCCTCGTGTTGCTTCTCCCACTTTCTGGACAATGAAGTTGTCTGCAAGGCCAGTGAGGAACCTGTTTGACCTTATGCTCTTGGCTGAGTTTGACATCCAACAAATATCCGGGTAATTGAAGTCCCCCATTACTACTATCTCCCTTCCTTTTGCATGCTTGGCCATCTGTTCCAGGAAGGCATCATCTATGTCCTCCATTTGGCTTGGGGATCTATAGTAAACTCCCACAATGAGGTCACTGTTATTCTTCTCTCCCTTAATTTTGACCCAAATGCTCTCACTTTGGCTTTGAGGTTCTAAATCTTGGAGCCTCAGCTTCAGCATCTGTCCATCCAGTGAGCACTCAGGGCTGATTTCCTTAAGAATGGAGAGGTTTGATCTTCTTGCAGTCCATGGGACTCTCAAGGGTCTCCTCCAGCACCATAATTCAAAAGCATCAATTCTTTGGCGATCAGCCTTCTTTATGGTCCAGCTCTCACTTCCATACATCACTACTGGGAAAACCATAGCTTTTACTATACGGACTTTTGTTGGCAAACAAACAAGAATAATGTTACACAAATAAGTATACTATTGGTTCCCCTTTATCACATACACACCCCAACAAGAGAACAACAAGAATCCCTCGACAGCATACAAATCAATCTGGCTAACCTGATTCAAAAATACACACTCATAGGCCTGCACTGTTAATGTCTGATCCCTTGTCCCTCCCACCCCAACAGCATAAGTTTTTCAAACCTCTGAGTATAGCATATTTGTTTTTGTTTTTTTGTTTTTTGCAAGGCATCATTATATTTTAAGGGACGTGGGTGGCGCTGTGGGTTAAACCACAGAGCCTAGGGCTTGCTGATCGGAAGGTCAGCAGTTCGAATCCCCATGACGGGGTGAGCTCCTGTTGTTCGATCCCAGCTTCTGCCCACCTAGCAGTTCGAAAGCACATCAAGTGCAAGCAGATAAATAGGTACTGCTCCGACAGGAAGGTAAACAGTGTTTCCATGCGCTGCTCTGGTTCGCCAGAAGCAGCTTAGTCATGCTGGCCACATGACCCGGAAGTTGTCTGCGGACAAACGCCGGCTCCCTCAGCCTATGGAGTGAGATGAGTGCGCAACCCCAGAGTCGTCTGCGACTGGACCTTACGGTCAGGGGTACCTTTATTATATTTTAAATATTCTGAAAATAAGTCCCCCCCCCCCACTAGCTCATTAATTAAAAATAGACGTGCATGCAACATCACTGTAACTTTTTTCAGTCACTACCTTTTATTTTGAAGGGTTTTTAACATTGCACCTCTCAAATAAAATGAGGTGTTGGGTGAATGATTTGTCCGTTCAGTAAAAGTGTGTGTTTCTCTGTAGCTATTCAATTGCTGTCCATTATAATTGCAGTCGTCATGGTGTGGCAAGGGATTTTTTAAAAAAATGGTAACAGCCATTTTGTATTCTCCAAAATTAAAAAAACACACCTCTGAACAGGGCTCCTGAGGAAAAGAAAATGGCAGCGTCTCCAGTTTTGTCCCCCAGCCAAAAAAGGTTCGCCTCACCCCAAGGTATTAGCAAAACAAAGGAGCTGATTTCAAGGTGGGTGAAACAGCTGAGAAATAGCCATCAGTTCAGCACTGCTGACTTGTATAAAATAGTATCAGTGTTTCCAGAAGTTGACGGTTTCCTTTGCTAGTTTAGCTCCTCATCATGCTGAATGCATATCTCAAAGAAAATCCAATCATTTCTTTTAGTCTGGCCACACAGGTGACAAATATGACAAGTTTGGGCTTTAAAGCTGAAGAGTGTTTGGAACTGGGTGTGCAAAGTATCTAAACTCGTTTGGGATACAGCCACACAGCACCACCGCAACAGGAACACTGAAATCAATTTTCCTTAAGTCCTTTGTGGAGCTTACTCTACATCTAAAGTATGTAGTCACTTAAAACACACGCACACACATACACAAAAAAACCCCTACTGATTAACTGGAAATATCAGGTACCCATGTTGAAGTCCAAGAGATACCTAATTGTATCATAATACAGTGTGGCTGTGCCATAGCGGATGGCTAGCGCAGCTGCCAACTGGAGCTATTCTGAATAAGTGACAAATCATTAACTGCAAGTCTCTGGATCTCTGTGCACTAGGTGGTTACTTGCTGGAGGGGGGAAAAGACCAGACAAGGAACTGTACAGATCTGAGTAGGCAGACGCTGCTAGATTAATGACTGGCTGTCAGGGAACTGCCATCGGAAGGAAGGGAGGTGAAAGGACTCAGACAGGTTGGAAGAGATTCAGCAGCTGAAGAGGGAACCAGCAAGGGGAGAGAAGCTGAACTGAGGGAGGTGAAAGGGCTCAGACAGGTTGGAAGAGACTCAGCAGCGGAAGAGGAAACCAGCAGGGGAGACAAGCTGAACTGAGGGAAAGGGAGCTGGGGGATGGCTCAGAGATACTTCCAGCGAAAACAGTGGTGAGGTTTCCGGACCTCCTGTAGCGACACCCACTCCTCGCCGGAAACTGTCACGCAGAGAGTCCAGAAGACGTGTTTCCGTTAAGGAGCTTTTATGTTGGAAGCGATTACGAAAGCAACCACTGTCGGAATCTTCCAGTGACTAAGAGGAGCCATGTCAGAGGGGCTCAGTCACAGACAGAGGTTTGTGGACTTGAACAAACTCTGAGGGAATACGATTTTACGCACAAGCAGCTCATAATCCCATCACAGCATTCCGACAGTCTTTGAAAGCAGCTTGTGCAGGAGACGGCATAATAATGAGCAACCCAGCAGGAACCGGAGAAGCAGGGGCTGGAGCGGGTCCAAGCCTGGAAGAAAGGTACCGGGTGTTAGAGGTCCAGCTGGCGCTGCAGACGGCGAGGCTGGAGGAGAGGAGGGCTCAAGATGCAGACAAAGGGAGAAAGCCACCCAGCTCGCCAGAAAGGTACCAGGATTGGTGCAAAAATTTGGGGGGGAGCCCAAAGACTATCATAGCTTTCGGACAGAAATGCAATATGCCCTCAATCTGCAGTTTGATGATTTCCCTGATGAGGAATCACGAGTGGCTTTTGTGATTGGGCATCTTGACAAGGGGGCGAGCGACTGGGTTAGACCCCTGATGGCAGCGAATAGTGACGTCTTAAAAGACACGATGAAGTTCTTTCGCGCCATGGATCTGATGTTTTCCAGCGATATTGAAAAGGGAGTGGTGCGCAGACAGTTAATGGCTTGCAAACAGGGGAGCCGATCTGTACGTGAGTACTGGACTGAATTCACCATGCTGATACACAGATTGGGGTGGGACTTATCGGCGGAACCCATTCAAATGCTCTTTGAAGAAGGGCTTTCTTCGGCTGTGAAAGATGAACTTTCCCGGGCGCCCAGGGCGGAGTCTATGGACCAGCTGACCAAATCAGCGCTGGCCATAGGAGCGCGCCAGGAGGCGAGAGCATTGGAGAGGCGGGAAGGGAAGGGGAACGTTGGAAGGAGTTCCGCATTCCAGACATTCCAGAGCCAACTGTCCCGCCGGCAGAGCCGATGGAAATCGGAACAGCGCGCGCGCGCGCAGTTTCAAAGCCCAGTGAGGGGGGACAGAAGGATGGAAAAGGCGCCCGGAAATGCTATCTCTGCCAACAGCCAGGGCACTTTGCCAGAGTCTGCCCCCAGAGGAAGGAATGGCAAGGGATGGTGGGAGCTGTGGAGGGAAGAGAGGAAAAATTTCCGGTGGATACTAGAGCCAACGCCTGGCTGCCATTGTCGGGGCACAGCAGCCAGGCCAAAGAGCAGTGAAAGTGCCCACTCCAGAACCTCCTAAACCCGCCCTAGTGATAGAAGTGACACTAGAGCTCCCAAACGGACACCCTCTAAAGATAAAGGCGCTGTTGGACTCAGGCAGCTCCTGCAATTTCATGAGCAAAGAGTTTGCAGCTGAACACCAGATACAGACGCTCCCTTTAAGCAACCCCTGCAGGTAACCACGATCGATGGCAGGGAGCTGTTGGGAGGAGAAGTCAGCTTGCAGACCGTCCCAATGATAATGAAGGTGGCAAGGCACACTGAACTGATAGCTTTTAATGTGGCCACCTTGGGAGGAGCTCCCATTATATTGGGGATGAGCTGGCTAGCGTTACATGATCCGCTGGTGGGCTGGCATCAGAGAGTGGTTTCTTTTGGGTCAGCACATTGCTTAGAACATTGCAAAGAGGGAAAGGTTTTGGCAGGGGCCCAAGCCACCCTAGCAGGGACTGAAGTGAAGGAGAACGTGAAGGTACCACGACAATACGCAGATCTCCGCGACGTCTTCAGCGAAAGGGAAGCTGACCAACTACCACCGCATAGAGCCTTTGACTGTCAAATCAATTTGCTCCCTGGGGCACAGCTCCCTGTGGGCAAGCTGTACGCCATGTCAGACAGAGAGATGCAGGAGCTAAGAGAGTTCATTGACAAGAACCTGAAGAGAGGGTTCATCAGAGAGTCCAGGGCGGTGGGGGCAGCCCAGTGTTTTTGTGGACAAAAAACACGAACAAGCCGAGACTGGTGTGTGACTTCAGGGCCTTAAATGCAGTGTCAGAACCAGTGGCCTTCCCGATGCCCAGGATTGACGACATTTTGACAAGGGTGCGAAAGGGAAAGATTTTCACCAAGCTGGATCTAAGGGGGCGTACAACCTGATACGAATAAGGAAGGGGGATGAATGGAAAACCACCATGTTCACCCCTTTAGGGGCATTTGAATACTTAGTTATGCCCTTCGGTCTACAAGCAGGCTCCGCAACATTTCAATCGTTTATGAACCACGTCCTGGGGCCGTTGCTTTACAAGAATTGTGTGGCCTTCTTAGACGACGTGTTGGTGTATTCTGAGAATGAGGAGCAGCATGTGAGAGACGTCAGAGAAGTGTTGAGCAGGCTGCAAGCCAACCAGCTGTGGGTGAAACTGGAGAAGTGTCAGTTTCATACCAAGGAGGTGGAATTCCTGGGGTATCGCCTGTCTGACAAGGGGTTGGCCATGGATCCCGGCAAGGTCCAGGCGGTACTGGAATGGAAAACACCCAAAACAAGGAAGGATGTGCAGAGGTTTTTAGGGTTTGGGAACTTCTATCGTAAGTTCATCCCAAACTTTGCCCACCTGACGGCGCCCATTACGGACTGTCTCAGCAGTAAGAAGAAGTTCGTTTGGACGGAGGAGGCGGAGCAAGCATTTGAGGAACTAAAAGGGCCTTCGCCTCGGAACAACAGCTCCTGCATGTGGATTTACAAAAACCGATGAGAGTGGAAACTGACGCATCAGACAGAGCGGTTGGGGCGGTGCTTCTCCAGCCAGGGAAGGAGGAGTCAGAGTGGAGACCGTGTGCTTTTTTCGCGAAAGCTGAACAAATCCGAGAGGAACTACACGGTGTATGACCGAGAACTACTAGCCATTCATGAGGCGTTCCGGAGATGGAGGCACCTGCTAATTGGCGCACAACATAAGGTGCAAGTGTGCACTGACCACAAGAACCTAGAGTATTGGAGGACGGCACGAGTGCTCAACCAACGGCAAGTGAGATGGGCCCAGGAATTCTCCAAATTTAACTTTGAGATTTGTTACGTGCCAGGCCCAGAGAACATTAGGGCGGACGCTCTCTCACGCAAACCTGAATATTGGGAGGGGAGGGAGCACCCGAAGAGAGACATGTCATTCCAGAGGACCGCTGGGTGTGTGGGGCGGCATTGGTGGGACAAAGAGAACTGGTAGAAGAAACAGAGAATGATGAATACGCCCAGAATAAGCTCAGAGGTCTTAGGGATGAGGGAGAGGAATCAAGGGGTTTCGAGGAAAGAAATGGAGCTTTGTATTACAAAGGGGCACTGTATATCCCTGAAGGAGACTTAAGGGGAGGGTACTCAAGCAGTTGCATGACAGCCCCACGGCGGGGCATTTTGGGCAACACAAAACCATGTGGTTGGTCACCAGGGAATTTTGGTGGCCTAAGGTGAGGGAGGATGTACGTGAGTATGTAAGAGGGTGCGAGCAGTGCCAGCGAGCCAAAGGGGAAAGGCGGGCGCCGGCGGGGCTATTAGAACCCTTACCAACACCAGAACGACCTTGGGAGGCAGTGTCGATAGATTTTATGACTGATCTGCCGAAGTCCAAAGGGAAAACAGCCATCATGGTGGTGGTAGACCTACTAACAAAGATGTGCCACTTTGTAGCTTGCTCGCATGCAGTCACGGCGGAAGAGACAGCGAAGTTATTTGTAGAACACATTTTTAGGTTGCACGGGGTGCCATTGAGGGTGGTCTCAGACCGAGGAAAACAATTTACTTCCAGGTTCTGGAGGAAGCTCATGAGCTTACTGCAGGTGGAGGTCAACTTTCGACTGCCCGGCACCCTGAAACCAACGGGCAGGCGGAAAGAGCAAACGGTGTCCTCCAGCAATACCTGAGGTGTTATGTCAATGACAGAGAGAATGACTGGGTAGAAAAGTTGGCGCTGGCGGAATTTGCCTACAACAATGCCGAGAATGTGTCCACAGGGATGAGCCCCTTCTTGGCTAATTATGGGTGTCATCCCAGGGCTTTCCCAGGGGAGAAGGGGAGAGATGGAGCGTACCGGCAGCCGAGCATTTTGTAGAAGAAATGGAAGCAATCCACCGTCAGCTCCAACTCAACTTAGAAAGGGCGAAGGAAGAATACAAGAGGCAGGCAGACAAGAACCGAAGGGAAGGTGAAACCATAAGGGTTGGAGATAGGGTGTGGCTGTCAACCCGAGGGTTGCCGTTCAAAGGAGGTTGTAAGAAATTACGACCCAGGAGGTTGGGTCCCTTTGAGGTCATTCAACAGGTCAACCCAGTGGCTTTCAGGCTCCGGTTACCCAACCACATGAAACTGCACCCAGTATTTCACAGGTCGTTACTGTCACCGTACGAGGGGACGAGAAGGGATGGACACTCGGGGACCGGTCATAGAAGAAAGAGAATGCAGCAGTCATGTGGCAGAAATCCTTGATGCCAGGTGGAGGGGAATCAGGTGGAGTATTTGGTAGCGTGGGAAGGAGAACCGGAGTCAGAAAACACGTGGGTAATGGCCAAAGATATCAATGACGAGGTATTGATAGAAATGTTCCATCAAAGGTTCCCGCGGAAACCTCAGCCTGTGGAGAGGTTCCGGAGGGAATACTTTGGGACCACTGAGGAGGAGGAGGAGTTGGAAGGATTCCCAGAATCGGAAGGGGAAGGGGAGATGGACTCGGAGGAGGAGGAGTGCTTCGAGACCAGGAACCGCAACAGGTGGAGAGAAGTGTTCGAGACATCGGAAGATGAAGGAAGTTCATTCCGGGTTTTGCCTCCTCACCGCCCGTAGAGGAGGGGCGAGAGGGGGTGAAGGGGGCCCTGGAGGGGAGGTGGATGTCAGGGAACTGCCATCGGAAGGAAGGGAGGTGAAAGGACTCAGACAGGTTGGAAGAGATTCAGCAGCTGAAGAGGGAACCAGCAAGGGAGAGAAGCTGAACTGAGGGAGGTGAAAGGGCTCAGACAGGTTGGAAGAGACTCAGCAGCGGAAGAGGAAACCAGCAGGGGAGACAAGCTGAACTGAGGGAAAGGGAGCTGGGGGATGGCTCAGAGATACTTCCAGCGAAAACAGTGGTGAGGTTTCCGGACCTCCTGTAGCGACACCCACTCCTCGCCGGAAACTGTCACGCAGAGAGTCCAGAAGACGTGTTTCCGTTAAGGAGCTTTTATGTTGGAAGCGATTACGAAAGCAACCACTGTCGGAATCTTCCAGTGACTAAGAGGAGCCATGTCAGAGGGGCTCAGTCACAGACAGAGGTTTGTGGACTTGAACAAACTCTGAGGGAATACGATTTTACGCACAAGCAGCTCATAATCCCATCACACTGGCATTGTCAGTGCTCAGCTATGGGGATGACTAAAACAGCTTCAGAGTCTCATCCCTACTAGTGGGTGTTGCTATGGGTACCATTTCAGAAATGTCATATAAAACAGGGATGGGGAGAGAATGATGAACAACAAAAGGAAATAAAGGATATGCATGGCATAACAATATGAAGACACAGCCTTCCTACACAACAAAAATGTCTTACATTCTGTTACAGAAAATATGAAAAAAGGAGCAAGATAGAATTGTTGCATTCTCAACAAATTATATAAGGGAGATGGCACCACAGGATGTTTTAAAATGCATGGGTTTCAACATTGTTGCTCACAGATGAAAAGTATGTGGAGGCTGAGAACTGCCTGTCACCTTCAGAACAACAACAAGAAGAAGTTAAGACTTTCCAAGTATCAGTACAACGTACGGGAGAAAGCAATTTTATAAATATGTTTTAAATGGGAGGTGCAAAAGATCAATTAAATACCTGAACAGTTAAGCCTGTATATATTTTTCCTCACTTTGGTGTATGCCATTTAAGCACAATTTTGTATTTTATTATAGCTGAAGCAGCAATATATGCATAAAGTAATAATGTAAATGCAGTTTATAGCTGTCCATGAAAATGAATGGCACTTTGGGGCCCATGTTCAAGGATAAGTTTAGAGAGGTCACTCTGCGGGATTAATTCTCTTGTAAATACTCCCTCACATATTCCATTCAACAGCTAAGGCCCTGATCTATATGTCTACTAGGAAACACAAGTCTTCTCAGTGGTGGTGCCAAATTTGTGGAATGCCTTCACTAGGAAGCCTGCCAAACCCCATCACTGTATACTTTCAGTTTCTAGGCCAAAACCTGGTTTATGAAGAAGGCCTTTGGGCTTAACTGAGTTTGCTTGTGTAAGTGCTGGTTCCAAATTGCTGGGTGTCATTCTATTTTTCTAATTGTTGAGCACTTTCTAGTAAAGCTTCTGAATAATAATGAAAATGCTAGCTGAATATGGAAAAATTAATACCACTGCCTGTGGTATATATAATACAACCATTTATAACTGAGCCTTCATGAGCAGTTACCTTGTCTAGTAGTTTCAGTCGTCTAGTAGTTGTCCAGCCTAGTTTTAGCTTATATTTTTATGAATATAAATGTAATTTATTTATGGTCCACCAACCAGAAATAAAAAAAAATTCCAGAATGTCCAGAATATAAAATACGTAAATTCATTAAAAGAAAGGAAATTTAGAAAGCCAACACAAATTGTCCAAGGATAATTGTAATGCTTAGTAATGTTCAATTGCTTAGTAATTAAAAAGTTAAAGTCCTCCAATAAAACAATCAAGAGAGCCTCTTTTAGATCATCCTGGGAAGGCCTGTGTAAAGAGGTAAAGGTAAAGGGGCCCCTGACCATTAGGTCCAGTCGTGACCGACTCTGGGGTTGCCGCGCTCATCTCTCTTTACTGGCCGAGGGAGCCGGCGTACATCTTCCGGGTCATGTGGCCAGCATGACTAAGCTTCTTCTGGCGAACCAGAGCAGCGCACGGAAATGCCGTTTACCTTCCAGCCAGAGCGGTACCTATTTATCTACTTGCACTTTGACGTGCTTTCGAACTGCTAGGTTGGCAGGAGCAGGGACTGAGCAACGGGAGCTCACCCCGTCGCGGGGATTCAAACCGCCGACCTTCTGATCAGCAAGTCCTAGGCTCTGTGGTTTAACCCACAGCGCCACCCGCATCCCTTGTGTAATGAGGTACTTCAGAGCTTATTTAGACCTCTGATAAAAAGTACATTTTAAAATAATGTGGTACTGACTCCACCTCTTTGCTATTAAAGGACATCCTTTGCTACTAAAGGATGTTTTAGCTGAGATTCCTGCACTGAAGGAGGTTGGACTAGATGACCCTTGGGTTCCTTCCAACTCTAAGGGTCTATGATTCTACGACAGTATGTGTTAGGGGCATGCATCACCTCTGGGCGTGGGTCAAATCGCAAGGCAAATCAAGGTAATTAGGGAATCCTTTATTTTGTTTGTTTTTTAATTAGTTTTTATGGGGGGGGGGGTGTTACAAGGCAAACAGATAAACACCACCCTTTGTTGAAGCCACAACGTTAATTCCGATCTCAAGCTAGATCAGAGCCCAAACAAAGCTTCATGTTGCTGTCTTGTTTCTAATTCTAATTCTCTGTTTCTAATTCTTTCCGTCTATATAGCTCTCTGTTTTCCTAAATATCTCTATGTTTCTTGAGGTCCATGAGCTTTGCAAGAAGTGAAACTGCCCAAAATGTTGCCTAAAACCTAGCATTAGAAAAGTCTGTATGAAGCTGCAAAGTTTACAACCAAGACTTGGTTGCCTCTTGATTTCAGTAAAGCGGATGGCTGGTCCCTCTGAACTTTTAAGTGGAAGTGGGAACTGGACTTTTCCCAGCTGGTTTAGAGCATGGCTCCCCCAATAAAATAGGCAGCCTGTTATGGAATTCACCAGTCAGGGAGTCTTTGTCCAATGCCTAGCATCTCATTAGATCTTCTACTTTCCTTTTTACTTTCCCCACAAACAGTCCCTGTAATTTGGTTGGTTTAATTTGTTCTTGAAGAGCTTCAGTCTCTGAAAATTTCATCCATTTTGGTCCAAAGAGAAACAAAGAGTTTTGTTTCGTTTAAATTTCCCCTTTATAGTGTGGGGAAGACTGTGTTTCATTTTACAGCGTCTCACAACCCCATACACAGATCAAAGCAGACATGGCGCAGAGCAACTTGGAAACAGATTTATTTATTTATTTAATACAGAGATAAGCAATTTTTGGGTCCCATGCACAGCCCTATAATCGGTTGTTTATAGGAATTTTATTACATCTCCCATCTAAAAGTTTTGAAGGTTAGGCATTAAAATGTGCCAAAGAAAAACTTTTCTTGAAACAGATAGCCAGGTCAAATAAGGCATGTCATACTTGGGACTGGAACCTGGCAAACCAAGAGATGGGTGAACAAGGTCCCTAAGACACACTATAATTCTCTTATAGATCAACATCCATTAATCTCTGTCCGAGAAGGGAAAAGTCCAACTGAAACAACTTTTTGCAGCAATTCCTCCATTCAGGGAGATGTATAAGAGTCTATAATCACCTGGAATCATAGAAACCTGCTCCTAGGGGCAAAGCAGTCTTTGCACCCCCAATAAAATATTTGAGGGGGCTGGGCCCCTCCAAAGTTGATGGGCATTGCCATTCAAATGGTGTGCATGCACCCAATCTTTTATTCAAGTTGGCTCCCCCTGCCCAGAATCCAAATGAATTGGAAGTGAGCAGAAGATAGCAATGAAGCCCAAAGGGAATGGGCTAATATCCAAGCCAGGCAGCTCAAATAATTTAGACCACTTTCTATATTAAGAGCAGTGTTGAATGGTTACTTTAAATGTAAAGGTTCATCATTGTTCCACCCGATGTGTATGCCTTTAAGGGGCCAGAGCAAGGGCCAGAGCAAGATAACGAGACCCAGCTTTACAGCTGTGAAACATAGCAGGTGCTGCTGAGTTGTGTTGATTAGGCTGTGTCAGCAATTGGGTATAGTATATAAGGAGCAGCACCTAGCTCTCCCATTACCCTGGGGGATGGGTTGGTGGTTGGGTCTGGTTTGTTGTTGATGTATTTAGTGTATAAGGAGTTTTATTTTTGTTATTAAAACCTTGTTTAAGTTATTTTTGAGTCCCTTTTTAATGCATGGTCTCCCCAGCAAGCTCTCTGCACCAGCAACCCATGCCATATAAATCTAAAATGTAGACCTGAGCTGCTTCTACAGTAAGGTTACCAGATGTCCCCGTTTCCCGGGGACAGTCCTCGGATTTACAAATCAGTCCCCTGACAAAATCCTATCATTCCTATTGAAGTTGAAAAGTGTCCCCGGATTCATTGAAAAAAATCTGGTAACCTTATTCTACAGGGATTTTAAAACATGGAAACCAAAACACTCAAAAAATATCTGGAATGCTGGCTTTAATAACAGAAATGGCTGCTGGAAGGTTGTTTTGAGAAGTTAAAGGTAAGTGTAAAAAATCTAGTTACTTTCCCTGAATTCCTGCCTTTTGCTTATCAAGATGATCATCACTGCTATAGATTGACCAAGACATATTGCTAAAGATCTAATCTAAAAGTCGGTTGACTACATCAGCTGGTATACTTGCACAATAACAGCTTGTGTGAATGATCAATTTAAGCAGTGTAACGCAAAATAAGGATGCACATGGAACGCCTAGCAGTAGCTTCTGTGAGTGAAGCATGCTGGGAATGAGGATGGGGTATGCTGGACCTGATGAGAGATGTAGTACAAAACATCTGGATGGCACCAGGTTGGGTACAGGCTGCAATGGCTTAATCTATGTGCCCAAATCCTAAATGGTGAACGATGAAGAAGAGAGCTCCAGTAGCAGCACTCTGTTATACAATATAGAATCATAGAATCATAGAATCATAGAAGAGACCACAAGCAGGAAACACCATCAGAGCACTCCTGACATATGGTTGTCAAGCCTCTGCTTAAAGACCTCCAAAGAAGGAGACTCCACCACACTCCTTGGCACAAATTCCACTGTCGAACAGCTCTTACTGTCAGGAAGTTCTTCCTAATGTTTAGGTGGAATCTTCTTTCTTGTAGTTTGGATCCATTGCTCCGTGTCCGTTTCTCTGGAGCAGCAGAAAACAACCTTTCTCCTTCCTCTATGTGACATCCTTTTATATATTTGAACATCATATCATATCACCCCCTAACCTCCTTCATATCATATCACCCCCTAACCTCCTCTTCTCCAGGCTAAACATGCCCAGCTCCCTTAGCCGTTCCTCATAAGGCATCGTTTCCAGGCCTTTGACCATTTTGGTTGCCCTCCTCTGGACACGTTCCAGTTTGGCCTTGGCTGGCCTACATCCATTCCAGGACAGTCAAACAGCAGTGTTGTAGGTATTCAGCTTGATAAACTTCCATTGGAGATCACCAGATTGAACTTTGTAAAACTGGATATGTCTTTTGCATTTTTTCTTCAACTTCATACTTATATTCACCAGTTTAGATAGCAGGTCACTGACGTCTCCTATTACTATTGCAATATCTAATGTAGCTGCTACTCTGATTTTTATTTGCATCTCAAGATAACCATCAAAGTTTTGGTTAGGAGGAATCGACAGGAGTATGCCCTCAGAACTATATTCCTTTTTTGGCCTGGAATTTCTACTCATAGTGTTGCTATGAATAAATTTATTTTTTCTCCATTTGAGATTTCTAATTTATTAGACTCTATCCCTTCTTTGACAAATAGGGCAACACCACCCCTGTATGACCTACCTTGTCTTCTGTAGATTTTATATCCAGAAAGGATTTTATCCAGGAAAAGGTTTTATATCCAGGAAGAGATTTATATTCAGGAAAAGCTGAACTTTATGTGAAAATTCAGCCTCCCTTCATTTCAACAGTTTCTTTGTTTCAGCAGAAATGTTGAATTTTTTTTTCCATTTCAAGCATGCCAAAGGCACTGAAAATTCCATTCCTATACAAAAATACTTGCTATAAAACAGTTCAGATTGCAATTTATACTAGAAAATAAAATAAAGGTTTATTTAGTGTATGTCAAATGACATTTAAAACCAACTCAAATGCAATGGGCACAATCCAACACAAACTTAAGCACACTGTGTTGAATTTTGGCCAATATGTTTCAGGTGAACAACATCAGCAAAGGTTTTTTAGGAGTGGACAACAGAATAATTCGCTGTAGCACCTAGAGGAAAAGAGGACCTCAAGGTCAGACATGCTTTTAAGATGTTAGGGCCCTTAGAGGGTGTCCCAACAGCCATAGCGTTCATTGGATTGCCATCTCCAAGGGTGGAGAGAGAGGTAGCCCTTTGAACAGGGCGGTTTGACCTTCTTTGTTGCCTTTGTGAGGCTGTGGAACTTGACGCCTCTCTAGCGTTGGAGCTCTGACATTGGAGAGGGCAAAATATTTTCAGCTTTTATTTTAGTAGGATTGTGTTATGTTGAATCTGCTCTTTTATACATATATTGGCAAGCATTTTATGTTCTGTTTACTCTTGTTTTGTACTTTGTTTTTAATGTTTGTTTTTGTAAGTTGCTTTGAGTTCACTGGGGGCGGGGGACAACCTCTAAATGATGATGATGGCGATGATGCGATTCTCTGAGGGCATGTTGCGATTGTGTTGGGAGAGGCCCCCCCCCCGTTCCCCTGCCCTGCCCCCAGAAAGGGTTGTGGAGATTTTTCATTATATATTTAAAAGACCCAGAACAGGAAACAGAACAATGGAAAACCACAAACCTCCATCTTCCACCATGCTGATGTGAGCCCAGCAGGGCATAGGAAAAGGTGGCTTTTCAGCCTTCTGTTCTGCTACTCCCCATCTGCTTTTGGGTTGTTCTGTAAATCCCAGTCATGTTTTGGCACACCCTTCTCTAGCGCGCACACACACCCTTTAATACAATGTTTACATGGTAAAGGTAAAGGAAAAGCGACCCCTGACCATTAGGTCCAGTCGTGACCGACTCGGGGGTTGCGGCGCTCATCTCGCTTTACTGGCTGAGGGAGCCGGCGTAGAGCTTCTGGGTCATGTGGCCAGCATGACTAAGCCACTTCTGGTGAACCAGAGCAGCGCACGGAAACGCCGTTTACCTTCCCACTGGAGCAGTACCTATTTATCTACTTGCACTTTGACGTGCTTTCGAACTGCTAGGTTGGCAGGAGCAGGGACCGAACAACGGGAGCTCACCCCATTGCGGGGATTTGAACTGCCGACCATCTGATCGGCAAGTCCTAGGCTCTGTGGTTTAACCCACAGCGCCACCTGCGTCCCTGTTTACATGGTAGGGGCAGCTTATTCTTCATATATGAATGACCAGAGCTAGCTTGTGGAAAGGTTCCATACCAGCAGCTCCCAGAAAGGAGTGGTTCAGGAATGGAGGTTTTTCACTTGATAGGGCCCATTGGGTCAAGCCTACAACCTGAGCCCTCACATGGAACCACTGCCGACTGGAAACTCTTTTAAGCAGTAGTAATGCTGTTCATAACCATAACTGTGATAAGCACTTGCAGCCCCAAAACAGAACACTCTGGTACAGAACAGCATTTAGGGCGACATTTTCAGCACTTCGTTGCAAACGTTTTCCCAGGCAGAATAAGGGCAATCTCGCTGAGGGCATTGGCTCACCAGGAGGTTGATAGAAGCATCATGTTGGGTAACATGACCCTAATCCAGGGGTTATCAACTCTGTACTTGAGGCATACAGAGGTCTCCACTGGTGCCCACAAAGCCCTGCTCACCCCCCAGAGTTCGGCTTGTAAGAAGCATTCTCTTGTAGGCAGAGTAGGTTGTGGAATGTGCTTGGCTGCAGAGTGTGTGTGGTGCTCGCAGTAGCTTATCCAGTTTACAAGTGTGCCCACAGAACCAAAAAAGGTTGGCAAATCTTTGCCCTAAACCAAGTAAAACTTAGTGAATGGGTCTGATTCACTGTCAATATCTAATTGATTGCTATGTTTGCATTTGAGAAGAAATTATATCCAATTAGATGCATGCACCCCGCCCCCGCCCAGTAGCACTTGACTCAGCTTTCCTGCTTAAGTAACCATCCTGATTTATGCCACATTTAGTACGGATTGTATCCACTGATCTCTTGGGGAGGGGTGTTGATGTGGAGGGTTGTTGCCCTATGAGTGGCCACTTTGCCTCTTCCAGCATTTGTGATTCTCTACACCTATCTGCATAATCATTTTCCAAAGGAACCTGGCCCTGCATATTGAATATTCCCTCTCATTTCAAAGATGTTTTCATTTCCCCTTACATACAAATCTACCATCATGCTATATACCACACCAGTAAAATAACATAATAGATGGGGCTTTCCCACAAGCTGTATAAAGGATGGACTGCACAAAATAGATTGCGGGGAACATATCACTGATAGCTTTTTGCAGCTGAACATTGGGTTATAAAACACCCAAGTAGAGGCTGAAGGATTTTTTTTAACCGCCTCAATCCATTTCTAAGCTTTTTTTTAAACTCTGGAATGATGATCTGGCAAATAGGGTCATCTACATAACCACTGAGCTCTTAAAAAAACACCAAACAAACTATTTTCTTTATTGTGTCAAAGAAGGGGTGGAATCTGTGCATCTGTGTACATTGCTCAGAGTATGCAGTTCAAATTAAACCTGTGCACACACAAACACGAAAAAGAGCAAGCTGTACCTTGTATATCATGTGGTACTTTCAGCCATCACAGCAAGATGAGGGTGATAACAGACAAATCCCTCCAGCTACTGCATCTTCTCCTCCGCCTCCCTCCTCCAAACGAGAGACCATACAAGGGAACACAGCAGAACTGCAAATTACTGTACTGCGCAGTTCCTACTTAATAATGACATTCCATAAGTTAGCAAAAAATCTGCCAACATCTGCAAGCTCCTCCACACCGCTGTGAGCCAAAGTTAAAAATCATGTGTGACAGTGCTGTGGAAAATGCAATTGATTCCATTCTGATTGTGTCAGTTCCAAACACAGACAATATTGATGATGCTGTACAGTAATCTTATTGGGCTTGGACCCAACTGAACATTGGTCTTTGTCAACTCATTATTCCTCTATCAGAGGGATCTTGGTAGATTGATCTTGCCAGAAGCTCTTGATGTGTCTCACAAATCACTGTTCTGCTGTTGGCAGGCAGATTCGAGTGCTGCACGGTAATTGCTGTTTTTTTCCTTCCCCCAGAAGACTGTGACTACATATTGCGAGTCATTGTCATATGAGAGAATATAACTGTCCTAACAGATAATGTAGTTAGCTGTGTAGCCTTCAATCAGGCCAAGAGATGTGGCCATGCTGTGGATGCTCCTGAACAAGGTGAACATTGTCTCCTCACCTACTTAATTAACACAGCTTGATTTGAGTGGGGAAATACATTTGTATTAAAGAAGAAGCCCAAACCAATGGCCACATGCAAACACACTTTTTACACACATGTTAATTTTAGGACAACTGTGAGCATTAGTGAACACTGGCACCAGCATTCTAACATATGCAAACACCAAGCATAATATTGGCCTACGGATCATTAAGTGACAGTCAACATTACACAAATGTCCTGATGTGGACCACTGCTGTGCTAGCAGAGCTATCATTACATAGTATTAGGTTCCACCAGACGCAATAAGCTTTGCCAACTTGTTAGGCAACTCCAATGCTATCCAGAATGTGGCTATAGAAACAGCAAGTTGCAGTTTGCACAGGCAAAGATTGCCACATGCAGTTCACCACAGCATAAGAAGAATTGCACTATGGTGGTCCTGAGTATCTTGGAAGATGTAGCCTCCCAACAAACACTTTGTATGATATCCTATTACCCACTTGGAGCCATTAAATTTATTACAACGCTCTACATCTTGTACCTGACATGAATTGGGGAGGATTGGCTGGGAGCATCAGATGGTTCAAAAGCACTATCATTATTTAAACTTCAGTGGTGCATTTGTGCAACACCTTTCTGGTGTTTCCCGATCTTGTCAAGGTGTCAGGAACGACAAGCTTCTGCACTGCTTGTTGGCTCCACTGCAGACCTCTTTACATGCGTTGTTTCACAAAGAAACTCATGAGCCAAGAAAAGGGCAATGGTTTTCAGAAGCTGCTCTAAACCATTCCCTGTACTACAAAGATCAAATGTCAGAACTCAGGAAAATGATAGGAATGTGTGGGGTGAGAAAGATATTATGAGAATGCATCATAAAATGTTTTTAATATTTGCTGCAGAAATTCCAGACAGCAGACGTCTGCTCTGGTTTTCTTTAGAACAGATTTACAGCAACTTTGAGATACATCCTCCCCAAACTTCAACTTATCAAAAGAAACACAATCATATCTTGTAGGCAACACAAGACCTTGAGTTTGTCTTCAGCTGGTAGATGTTAGACCACTATACCCACACCATGACTACATGCATGTGAAATTGCTTTGAAAATCTTTACTTTTAATTTAACCCAGAGAAAATGTTTTCTTTCTACCAAGTGTTCTATCCCTCTTTCATGGCAAAAGAAGTGAGTTCTGCTTTGATCTACATAATGGATCTGTTGAAGTGTTTTCTGTTCCCCAGATGTGTGTCAGAGCCCTTTCGATAATGTCAAGGTCATTTGACTAGCAGGCTGGGCTTGAGGCATTCACGAGAAACCAAAGAAAAATATGTATCTTTAGAGAAAAGTTACATTGCTAAAAAAACCCTACCCCACTGCTTTGCTGCTGCAAATATGCAAGACGAACTCACTCATTCTGAAAATACTACACTGCTCCTTGATATATGGCTATTTGGGGCATAACTGGGGATGACCTATAACTTTCAGTTCTCCTGGGAATCAGACAGTGTCAATGGAGTCTCTGAAAGCCACAGTAGCTTCCTAAGATACTCAGGTCTGGTCCTTGGTTTAATCCATTTAATCTTTTTAATAACTTCACATAAGCTTTCCACACATATGATCACTGTTGCAAATCTATTGTATACCTGTCCTAATGTGCATGTTTTGAAATGGATGACCCAACCTTTATGATAGGCATGGAGAACCCATGGCCCTCAAGATGTCTTTGTTCTCCAGCTCCTATCAGCTCCTGTTAGCAGAGCCAGTGGTCAAGGATGATGGGAGTTGTAGTCCAACAGTATCTGAGAGACCACAGGTTCTTCATTCCAGCTGTACAGAATGCTCAATGCATGGTTAAACAATTGAGATATCCACTACGGTGATATTGGACAAGAGACTGTTATTAGATGATCAATCTATGGAAACATGTAATGAAGTTTGCTATTTTTGTGGGGAACAGGGTTGGTGCAATGAGGTGGAAGTGATGAAATATGGTATTTGGGAAAATTTAAAGGAAGCTTATTGTGAAATTACGGGGGGTATAAGAAGGTCCTAGTGTGTAGCAGTTCTCATGTGGATCCCTATAATTTTTAAAGACCAAGGGTATGACCACCTATGTGATATGTGGACAATCTAAAACTAACTGCAGGGCTTATGTGGAAGCAGGGAGTAACAGAAAGTGATGGAGAGAACTTGAAGAGATATATATCCAAATATGGATTTGCAGAAGGAGGAGGAGGTCCTAGTTTTTCTGGTATGGGAGGGGGGATCTCAAACTTGTCTCAGCCACTTTCAGACATGGGGAGAACTATTTCTAGTGTTTCAAATGAAAGCAGGCACTGATTAGTTATGCTTGATGTTTGATAGATGAGCATTTCCTCGTTTCTCTACAACCAGTAACATTTGGTTATCTTATTTTTGCATTCAAAGAACTCTAAGAATGTTCACCATATCATTTTTGTTTTTACATTGATAGGTCAGATGTTTGTATTCCTTGCATTTCATTCCCCTCTGATCTTACTGCTACCATCTGGCCCCCTGGCCCCCCCATGTTTATATATCTGCCAACTTAGGATGGCAATGTATGCATCTGATGAAGTAGATTATGACCCATGAAAGCTTCTGCCATAATTAATTTGTTAGTCGTTAAGATGTCACAAGACTCCCCACTGTTTACGCTAGCTACAACTAGTCTTCCAGGGGTAATGAAAGACACTGGATTTTGGATGTGACTCATAAAGATTCAAGCAGCCCAGACTCGATGCACCTCAGCAATAGTATCCTTTTCTATGTTTCATCATGTTACATAAGATCATTGGTGGGTGCCCTCCCAATAGTTGTGGCTGTGAGCTAGAGAGAGAAGTATATTTGGAAACTTCCCAACAGCTTGAAACTCTATCCTCTTGGGAACATAACTGAGTAGAGCCTGAGAGTCTGGGAAACTGGTAGAAGGTGAGGACATTCTGTTTCAATAGCCTATGAGATACCCCAAGACACTTGGGCTCTCCAAATTACTGCAGAAGCAACATTATAATTCTGTGTAACTGACTAGAACAAGCTTCTAATACATGTTCTGTAGGCTTTTGCACATACAAAAGCTAACAGCTCAGACTTCTGAATCTTTGTTCTGCAGCAGAGCTGGAGAGGATTCCCCATCCTGGTGTTGTTGTACTCCAACTCCCATCAGTTCCAACCAGCATGGCTAATTGCCAGGGGTGATGGGAGTTGCAGTCCAATGACTCCATATGCCTGCTCTGCAGGTTCCCATCTCCTCTAAATCCCCAGACCCAGTTTGCTACTTGGTTCTTTGTGCATATCTCTCCTGACTGCTGACAACTGGTGTCACACACTAGGAATACTTACTTCCTTTTGACCCTTGACTTACACCCTGAATCCTGCCTCCAATTAGCTCTAGTTGTTAAGTTTCATCCTACTTCTGCTTCCTCAGAGCCTACCTTGTCCTTTAAGCAAGATTTGGGTGGAAGACACATAATTCAATCTGGCTTAGCTTTCTAATAGGGTTCGAGGCTGAATATTTGTTACATTCTGAAGCTGTTGAATTGTTGAATTTACATGGCAAAGAGTATTTGCCTGTTTGAGTTTTCGGAGCTGTGAACAGTTGGAAATTCTAATATATAACTAAAACGCCTTTATTTAAATTACAGTAAGGCTAAGATACGTGAGCTAAAGGAAATAAGAAGTCCAACAGTACGACAAGGGTGTGAAGCTTCTTTAATGCAAAATATCCTGAACTTGAAGTACAATTGCTCTCTGAAAGGTCTTACAATATTACTTTATCCAGCTGGGTCCCTGTTTGCAAGCACATAGCATTAAAGGTGAGGCTGGGAACTGGCGGTGTCAGGTTTCATAGAGAAAACTGGTTTATCTTTTACTAACAATCTTTAGCAATGTGCTGTGACCTGCCCTTGGAGTAGTGGTTTAACAACCTTTGCCCGAGCACACTGTGCCTCTTCTTATATCTTTAATAGTTTACTTGATGGACTATGAAGAACTGCTAGATGACAGTTCTATTTCATTTTTGTCACCACATGGCTCTCCGTTTTTCTCTGAGTCTTTTTCTCAAGGGCACAGTTCTATAAGTCAATGTGGCAATATTCAAGATGGGTATTGCTCTCTCTACTACTGTATTTTTGAGGCAGTATGTGGAAGTCAGGGACTTGCCAAGATTACAGGCCTGCTGGAGAAAAAATAATGAAACAGTTTTTGAATTCCAACACATTTCCACTGAAGAAAAATATTTTTAAAAGATTCTACATTTTTGGTTGGGAAAATTCTTAAAAGCATTTTTAAGAAGTCACTGATGGTGGCGGATAGCACAATCTAACTGTTATTATATGGCACTAAGGTGCAACTGACATATATCATAAAGCTGTTTATACATTATTAATCTCTAACGGTAATATTTATTTGCAATAAAAAAATACTCTTCCAACAAACCATAGCTTTGATCCTGTTGCAGACCCCGCTTCTGACACTTCTATTTTGGGAAGACAGAGCAGCTCAATGGTAGAATACAAACTTTGCATGCAAAAGGTCTCAGAATCAGTCCCTGACATCTTAAAGTACAGCTGGGAAAGACTTCCATCTGAAAGAGCTGCTGCCAGTCAGTGTGTAGACATTACAGAGCTAGATGGATGAGTTGCCTGATCTGCACATGATACAAATAAGAGCATTTGCCAGAGAGAGTAGCCAAATTCTTCTCACTGGTCTTAAAAATAATACTTTGAGAACTAAGCACTTGATTTATTGCTGGCAGAAACAAAATTTGATTCTCCTATCATATGAGCTTCAAAGCTTTAAAGGCAAATAGCAAATGCTCAGATGTTTCATGAAGAGAGAGAGGGGAAAAACAAAGGAAGGAAATAATTTGCAACAGCACTTGGGCCATATTACAAAAAAGTCACCTAAAAATATCTATGTGGATATGGAAGATGCTTTGCAGTTTAAGAAGTAGCTAAATTTTAAAAAAACAAACCCGTACATCCAACAATTACTCAAATTGGTCAGGTTTCATATGACAGTGCCCTTGAAATTTTAAGGATAACAAAAACCACCAGATTAAGGGCCCCTTCTCACATTACTGGGGTGAAGTGGATTCCCCATCACTTTATTCTTCACTCCTCCAAAAACAGTTTAGGAGCGGGGAAAAGATTTACACTCACCACTGTTGATACTATCATGGGAAGAAAGCATGTCTTCCCCCTTTTTTATTTACAGATGGACCACATACAGGTGGCCTGTTTGGGGGAGGGGGAGAACCACAGCTCAGTGGCAGAGCATCTACTTTGCATGCAGAAGGTCTCAGGTCTGGTCCTCAGCATCTCCACTTAGGGCTGCATTTTGAAGGAACATGAGCTCTGGCTCGCAGTTAAGGCCGCCAGTTCTGAGGGCCTTCTAGTGGTTCCCTCACTGAAAGAAGTGAAGTTACAGGAAACCAGGCAGAAGGCCTTCTCGGTAGTGGTGCCCGCCCTGTAGAACACCTTCCTTTCAGATAAACAACTGCACAACTTTCTGAAAACATCTGAAGGCAGCCCTGTATGGGGAAATTTTTAATGGTTGATGTCTCACGGTGTTTTTATATTATGTTGTAAGCTGCTCAGAGTGGCTGGGGCAACTCAGTTGGGTGGTTGGGGTTCTTCTATCTATCTATCTATCTATCTATCATCTATCTATATCTATCTATCATCTATCTATATGTTGTGGGAGAGTACAGGAGCCCAACGCTTGCTTCTGTACACCATGTGTGTGGAAGGATTCCCTATGCTTCTATACTGCCTTTCATCTAACAAGATATCAAGGCTGTTTATGTTATGGGCAGAGGAGCTCCTTCAGATAACTGGGTCCTATGCTGTTTAGCTCTCTATATGCCAAAACCTGGCAGCCCAGTGACAAAAAAACAGCCAGCACAGGACTTTGAGAACTGGTGTTTTATGGTGTCCTGCAGAAATGCCCATCAACATTCAGGCTGTTGCATTCTGTACCATCCTCTGGGCCGTCTTCAAGGGCAGCCCCATGGAGAACAAGTAGCAGTAATCCAGCACAGCACTTTCTAATCTATATTATTAAACATCACAACAATTGTTGCCACTTGGGTCTCTAAGACTGCGACCCTTTGCACACTTATCCACCCTGAGGTGCACAGTGGGACTAAGTTTTCAGTAAACATGTGCAGGATTGTGCTTGCGCATTCCTTTGCAGATGCAATTCTTGTCAGAGCCCCTGTTTTAAAGGCATTTCTTCTTTAGCCTGCCTTAGACACTAAGCTTTTTAATGTTCATTCCCTGATGAGAACTATCAGTTTGAATCTAGCTTTTTATCTGCTCTGCATCTGAAATACAAGGAGGCAGGAAACTGCTCTTATTTGTATGCTCCCATTATAATACAGTAGCTTCTGCTTTTGTAAAATGGGAATTATCGGCAGGTTAAGACTACTCTGTCTCAGTTATGCCTAATGTCAAGATAAAATGCAGAAATTGTTAGGAGTTTATATGTCAGGAGTGTTTTCTTGTTGTTGTTTTTTAGCAGTGAAAAATAAAAATGGCTCAAAACCATATGAATCCTCAAATACCAGCTCAGTTTTGGCTTCTAATCCTGAGGCTTCAGAACTGATCTGGGATTTCAGGTTGTATGTTTGTGAGGGGGGAAATGAATAAGAAGCACTTGAACATGTAGTTCAAAAGGAGCACTGCAGGCAATGAAAGGAAGCACAGACACGCTTCTGGCTTATTCCCAATTACCCCAATTGATGCATGGAGCAGAGAGTCATGGCTTGACGAGAAGCCCTGGCACGACGCTTGTAGAGAAATTTGGAGGGAGGGAGAGCACAAAAGAGCATCACATTTGTGGAGGACAATTTGTCAATATTAACTTATCTCCATATACATTTGATTATTTCCCCCTGAACAGTTTTTCTCTGTTATTTATTTATTCGCAAGCAGTTAAAGGGCAGGGTGGAGTCAATGGGATGGTAGATAGGGCACCAACCAGAGCTTCCCTTTGCGGCTTTATTCTACTTCCACAGAATACCAGCTGCTGGTGAGGGGAACACTCTTGAGCTCAGGTCCTGCTCCTGGGCTTCACTTGGGCATCTAGTTGGCCGCTGTGAGAAAAGGACCCTGGACTAGATGGGCCTTTGGTCTGATATAACAGTGCTGTTTTTTTTACATTCTTATGCACATAGCATGCCATCCCTCACCCTTCTTCTTCCAACCCATTCAGTATTACCTTTTGCCAACTTCTGCCCCCAAAATTTGGGAAACATCATAGCCCTCATGGGCAAAAATGGGCAGAGCAATGAACGTGACTCTTCTTTTTATACACACATATATTCTGCACCCAGGTGTCATGGGCTAGAAGTCAGCTTCACCTTCTGAATAGCCACCCTGAAGGGAGAGGAGAAGGCAGAGTGACTTCACCTGCAGCTGTTCAGCCTTCAAGGACACAGAGGAGAAGGCGCTGGTGAGAACTAGATGGCTGGAGCCTTCTTCAGCAGAGCTTTCAGCAGCAGTCAGATGCTGGTTACAGTGATTGGATTTCCTGGCCCTACCTTGCTGCTTCCTGCTTGTCTTGACCCCTGACCCCATGATCATTAGATTCCCTGACCCCTAGACTGTTTGACCACATGGATTGCTATTTGCCTGGCCCTAGGACTTTGGATGCTGCCTCTGCCTCTTGGAAGGTACACCTCAGAGACTCTTCTGGTTGGCTGGCTTCCCACTCTATTGAGCTCTGCACATCGTTGCTCAGCAATGAGACTACTACAATAGATGCACACAAACACACCTCAGCATCCTCCATCTGGGCAAGCAAGAGACATCAGGGCACATTCCAGCCCTGGACCAAAGATCCACGGACACATTCCAGCCATGCAAAATCCAGCAACAAGGAGTGGACACAGAGCAGGTCTGGGAGGCGATATGGCCTGAAGACAGTCCTGAAGTGGCTAGAGAGGCCTGGAGGACCACATTTGGCTCCAGGTCCTGTGATTACCCAACCCTTCATCTTGATTTTCCAGTTGTTACTGCACTAGAACTCCAATCATCCTTGCCCATTGACCATGCTGTATTTCAGCAACATCTGGAGTTGTATTTCAGCAACATCTGGAGTGCCCTAGGTTTCCCCCTCCCCCAGTCAAGACCATAAAGGAATTCCAGTCCTGTGAGCAACTGCACTGAAGCATCAGCTAATAGGATACGGTATAATGGACCTGACTCCTAAGCTCTGCTCTTGCCACATTGGCAGAACCATGTTATTATCTGGTATGTAGCTGTGCCACACATGCTGCCAGTGGCTTTGGAAGAGGTAAGAGTTTAGAGGAACTACCCTACTCATTGCTTTTTATGTACTTAAAAAAAAAACTAGTTTGCAATTCAACACTATCCAAAAGGTCCATCTAAAGACACCTTTTGCAGCAGAATGGATCAGAACAATACTCACAGAATCATATATTTGGAAGGGACCCTGGAAGTCATACAGTACAACCCTTTTAGACTTTATATTTTAGACTTTACTGATTGTGACCTTGACCTAGAATTTTATTTACAGTCATTATTTGATTCTTTAGGTTCACCATCACAACTGTGTTTTTAATTTAGAAACCATTTCTTAAGGATTCTCACTGATTGCCATGTAAGTTTGCCAAACTGTCTAGTAATCCACTTTGTACTGTGGCTGTATAGATGAAAAAGATTCCTCATGCCGCTATGATAAACTAATTGTGGATTGAGAGCCGTAGTATGGTTTGGATGTAGTTGAACATTCTCAGACTTCTGAAAACTTTTGCTTACAGATTATTTGCTTTTCCAGCTTTAAATATCAGGTTATATGATATAACTTTATATCTCAGGTCAATCTGTACCACCAGGTGAGCTATGCACCTCCGTATTTTATTCCTCAGAACTTAACGTAACAATATTAAAATGGAGCCCTGGGGTGTATGATTGAAGATAAATAGCTTAAAGTGTTGTATGGAAGGTAGTGAGCCAAACTGAATTATGTGGGATGGGAGGGGTCTCCTACATAGAAGGTGAAGCAAAGAGAGAGATAAATGCCCATGACAGTAGTTTTAAAGTGTGGAACAATATATACGAATGAAACTATGTATTCTCTTCTCTAAAGTCTACAATTTCTTCTGTGGTTTTCTATTATTTAGTACCCAAAATATGTTAGAATCTGAATCCAAATAAGAACATGAAGAGAGCCAGTTGGATCAGGCCAAAGACCTATCTTGGTCAGCATCCTGTTCTCACAGTGGCCACCCAGATGCCTATGGAAAGCTTGAACAGCACTTGTCATTTCCTGGAGCTAATATTCAGAGGCTTAATATTTCCGACAGTTGAGGTAGACGTTTCAAGAGCTACTGATATATATATATTGGCATCTTCATATTTTCTGAAGCCAGGCAGATCTGAGCCAAAATAGGCACTTTCCAAATTGGTCCAAGTCGAATTGAGTCTTTTTCTGAGATACTGAATCAGGCCCTGGACTACATATTGTGGTTGAAACACCCCACTACAGGGCCACAGGTTCCCTGTGACTGCCATGAGAGATGCAAAAATAGAATCTGAGGACTATGTTTCTGAAACCATTAGGAGCAGCAACAACAATGAAATCTTTCTTTAAATATGTCAGGAGCAGGAAACTAGCAAGGGAGATTGTTGGACTATTGGATGAATAGGGAGTAAAAGATGTGCTAAATAAAGGTAAGGAGACTGGAAGAAAGCTGAATGAATTATTTGTCCCTGTCTTCACTGCAGAAGATGTGGGGCAAATAGTCATAACTTTCTCAGGAAGCGAGCATGAAAGCTTTAGTGCTGTAATGAGTATACAGTAGTACCTTGGTTCTTGAACTTAATCCGTTCAACACCCGAAACCATTCGAAAGCCAAGGCATGGTTTCTGATTGGCTGCAGGAGCATCCGTTCGGCTTCCAAAAAACATTCACAAAGCAGAACACTTACTTCCGGGTTTGCGGCGTTCGGGAGCTGATTTGTTCAGCAGCTAAGCTGTTTGAGAACAAAGGTACCACTGTATTCTTGTGTACTATTTTACATGCATACATGGGAAGAGACTGTAATCTCTTTGCAGGCAGAAAGTCCTGGGTTCAACCCTTGGCATCTCAGAGCCAGTGGATCAGAGCCAAATCTGATGAGTTGTAAGCTGTCTTGAGGCCCTGTTGAAATCAAAGGCAGGCTGTACATAGAAACCATAATAATGATCAGAAGACTTTGCAAAATATATATAAAAAAGTAAAATAAAATTGATACAAAAATTCACATTAACCAATATAGCAAGAATTCATTTATACTAATCTGAAGAGCAAGTTTAGAGCTATTTTCAGCAGAGGTACATTGCCATGAAAAGCTATAGAAGTTTATTAGTTTGTGGTTGCAAAACGCCCAATCCCTTGGCCTTAAAACATTGCATCACAGTTCATTTGATGCATTATTTTAATGACTTCATAACTAATGGGTTGATAGAACAGAATATTCAAATTTGCATGTTGGCTTGTTTTATGTATAACAAAACTGTATCTGAGAAAACATGGCATGTCATAGGTACAGTGCATCTCTGCAGAGGGAGCTTCTTGAGGGAGGGCAAGAGAGTATTAGCATAATATGTATTTCCAGTGTACCTAGCTGACGGGGTAAATTTACAGCTAAAGTGTGTGGACTATAGCTCACAATCACTTGGTTCCACAGTGTTTTACATAACCCCTCAGGTGTCTGAGAACTACACTCCCTCAGTCAATCACTCTTCATAATATATCGGGCACTACCCGACCTGATGGGGAGGAAGCAAAATTGAGCATGTAAAGTACAAAAATACATATTCATAATAGAAAATCCAACATGTTATTTCAGTTTGTTGATGTCTGTAAGGACGTGGTGGGTGAAAGATGGATAGGCCAAGTTAAGTGATGTTCTTGTAGATTCACCATGATGTGTATGATAAAAGAGACCCATTAAATAGTATATCTTATTTATGGAGCAGCAGAAGCAGCCCCTATGGATTGTCAAATACCCTATGAAATATCACCAGGCATGATAATGCGTTCTTGCTAATAGTCCCATTGTTTATCAGACCTCAGCAGCAAGACAGTTACTGAGAAGGTATTTTGAGGGTTTTTTCCCCCCTTCTTCATTATTTCTATATATAACCCACCAAAACAGTTGCAGAGAGTGTTGGAAGGGGCTGATTGGAAGAAGAGGGAACAGAAACCCACAGACTGAGTTAAAGTCCCCATAGCATACCAAGGTGATCCATATATGTATCCGGTAAGTGAATGTGAGACATGTTCCCAAAGGAACTTCCCTTCCATCTTTTTTCAGAGCTCTCTAAGCAGGCTGGATGGACTTACAGTTCTTTAAGTGAGTTAGTGTGTAGTAGTGTTTAGAGCATTGGAGGGGGACCAGGAGACTCAGGTTTAAGATCCCCACTGAGCCATGGCACTCATCACTAGGTGACACTTGGGCAGCCTATCAGCCTAACCTGCCACACAGGGCTGCTGAGAGCATACAATTGGTATGCTGCTTTGAGCTCCACATTTCAACTAGAACATGTCCCGGGTCAGCCTTCAGCATCACTTGGAATCCTTTGGACTGTGTTACTCCCTGAAGACAGACCATCCTAAAGGTCCACTGAGACTCCCCTCAGTCTGGCTGCTGCAATCTGGTCCATGCTGTATCAATGACAAAACTAAGGTGCCATCTCATGCAACTCTGTGACTCTGCATAATGAGATATGATGGATTTTCGAATCAGAAGATAATTTCAGTGTTCTTTGTTCCAGCATAGGGACTATATATCCATCTGTGATAATGGAGTGTTTTCAGTATCGATATGGAGCCCTGCAGTATACACACTGGCAGAGAAGCAATCACACATTATGTTTCTCTGGAAGTTTAGGCACAGATATCACTCTCAATAGTGGTGTGTTGACTGACAAAAAGCAACATATGAATTGCCCCTCACAGAGCACTTAAAGTAAAAACTATAGTTTTTTTGCTATTGACTAAAATGGAGGGCTTCTGGGATTGAGCTCATGCCCTAAAGTAGAAGAAATTTCACTGTTCAAAGATATGACCATTGCATTCATTGAGTTCTTTGTATATTGAAGCATCAGCATTGCTATTATTTATAACACTGAGCTTTTATGGGCATGGGCCATTGCCTTTACCCCTTGCTTCTGATTAATAGACTAGGCCCAAATCTCTGTGCAAAGTCATGCTAGAAGTTACACTCTCTGACCTCTTCCTTTTGTTGAAAACATATTGCACTGGAATTTTGCATATTGCGTTCTGTGAGCATAATGGTTCACTTTCCAAATCTGGCTGCTCTTTGGCAAATTCCTTTGTTCACTGGGACTACTGTTTAATTTAATGTCCCCAAATGTGACATTTATCCACCTAGATTTTGTTTTCCAGGATTTTGTTAGAGATGGGCTGAAACCATGTGACATAGTTCATTAACCTATTGAACCCTCTCCCCAGGTTTTCATCGACACCAATTTTACGTGCCATGTGTGTCATAGAGACAGATTGGGAGCTACACTGTCCCCAGTTGAGATGCCAGCCCATATCTGGAATCATGGCGTGCAAGCACAGCAGACATGTGGCCAGATTTAAAATAGTAGTGTTATTCCACCTTATTAGAAGTGGGCAAGCATTAGAAGACCCCTGCTTTCCCATCTAGTCCATCATCCTCTTTTACAGATGCCTCTAGGAAGCCTACAAATAGACTATGAAAGCAATAGCCCCATGACCCCTAGGCCCAGTGGTGATGGCATGTAGCTAACATCCATTGATAGCCCCACACTCTGTGAATTTGTTTAATCCACTTGTAGAGCTGTCCGGCCACCATCACATCTTATGAGAATGAATTCTGGGGATTCATTTTGTTTTGTGTGGAAGAAGGCCTTGCCTTTCTTTGCCTAGAATCTACCTCAGGTCACAGACGCTTCAGGTTACAGACGCTTCAGGTTACAGACTTCACTAACTCAGAAATAGTACCTTGGGTTAAGAACTTTGCTTCAGGATGAGAACAGAAATTGTGCAGTGGCAGCATGGCGGCAGTGGGAGGCCCCATTAGCTAAAGTGGTACCTCAGGTTAAGAACAGTTTCAGGTCAAGAACGGACCTCCAGAACGAATTAAGTTCTTAACCTGAGGTACCACTATACTGCCAATCAATTGCACTGTTGGCCAAACCATACGCTACATTAAATATGTAGCATGCAGCTATATCAGTTTGTTTGCCTAAAAGAAAGATACCAAAAATGTGGGATTATATTCAAGAATGCAACGTGAAGGGAGTGGAAGCTGCACCTTTCCCTACTGTTCTGTGACCCTGACAAAAACTGTTCCCATGTGGTTTAGCCTTTTCTTGTCAACAAGTTGCTTCAGCCCCTTAATCATCTTTGCCTTGCCAAGTCCTTTACAATTCTTTAATGTGCCTTCAGAGCTTGAGATTCCAGTGGCATAGATACAAACTGAATCCGAGAGACAGTGATTTGTTCACCTTCACTAAATTGGACCCATTTTATTATTTATTTTTATCAATTAGATTTTTTTTGCCTGCCTCTCAGCCGAAGTTCTCAGGGTGATATACAGCACAAAGAAAACAATAAAATCATAAAATTTCAGTTGCCAAGTAGCATCTATGCAGGCATTGCAGTTATTCAGCTGTGCTGCACTGACTCAAAAGTAGGGGTATGGAGTCAACCTTGCGACCTTTTATTTATGTATGCCAAAATGCAAAACTTCAAATCTATGAGTTGCCATCTTTTAGAATTAGACAGAGAATTCCCTGTGTAACTTTATGGCATCCTAATAGCAGTCATCTCATATTTTTCTCCATTCAGAATCTTCTAACGTATCTGCGCTTCCACTATTTCAGATTTTATTGAATGCTGCTCTGAATGAAGCTTTTGAGAACTTGAAGGGGAGCAGGCTGTCTTTTGTGTTTGAAATGGAGCTGAAAAAATCCACGAGAAAACATCCTATTGTACACACAAAGTCTCTCAGGAGAAACACAACACTAAAAAAGAGACATTCATGCTGCAAATTTTTCTGTTGAAATTTACGTGCCTGTCAGTCTCTCCGTTGAAAGGGTTTCCGTTTTTGGCCTAATGCCGGGAGTTTGATATCCAAGGCTTTGGTGGCAAAGTGATTTGTTTCCTTTTGCTCAGGCCTTTTTGGTGGGTGAATTATATTTCAGTTAGCCGCTGTATCCATAGTTACAGTATTTCCCCCCTTTGACGCAGCAACCCTGCCAGGTGAAGTTTCTTCACTTCTCAGCCAACAAGCTTGCCTTAACTCTTTGGTTAAAGCTAATTGCTTTTAATACAGCAGCTCTTTTCCTCTCCCCATAGCATCCCTGGCCTTCCCAAAATCTGCATGATGCCAAGAAAGCTGTTCTGTAACCCCAGGGGAGAAATAAATATATGCATCTATAAACTGGGACCAATCAACAAAGCAAACTTTAATTTGAATGGAAGAACCAGACCCAGGAAAGGTGTTGCAGAAGTTTTGCACCGTGCTCCTTATTAAGAAAAACCATAGAGTGGCTGTGCTGGTAACTGTATTGAGCGATGCAGTTCACAAACTCCAGCATCCTGGGAAGACACTGTATTTAAACAAGGGATCTCTTTCTGCTCGGATTTGCTTATTAAGGGCATGGCCTTTAATTCTTCTTCTCCTTCCCCCACCCCCAGTGCTAATTGATTCTCATAGCATTTGAAAGAATCCATGATTAGCAGTCCTCAGGCTAACCAGTAGCATATTGAGTAGCATGCTAGCAAGCCTAGGTTGGGAATTGAGTCAGAATGGTCGGAGCAATGCCAGCTCCAAAGGCTAAATTGGTTACAGAGCTTGGGGAACGAGGAAATGGGAGGGAGAGGGATTTGCCAACTCACTGCCTGGGCTCTTAGCACCATCTGTTGTTGGCAACAAATCTGAGAGAACTCCTCATTTATCCCCCTCCATCAGCCTATAGGCCACAAGAGTGAGTGAATGGAGGTGCATTAGAAAAGTGGGAGTTAATTGGCATACATTGCCATCATATGTACATTGAAGCCTATCAAATTTTGTTAAGTACTAATGGATCCTCAATTAGGAATCTTTCTTATTAACCCAAGAGGAAATGGTGGTGCCTGCTTTTCTGTTCTTCCTGCTCCCCTGCCCATTTGAAAGTTAAGGGGATGTCTTAGGTATCCAGGGCCCTTTGATTTTACTATTATTATCATGATTCAGTACAGATGTGAAAAAGCATTTGTCATCCCATTTCAAAGCATACACTGGGTTTTGTACAGAAACATGGGAGGTTGGGGATGTGGAAAGACTCAGTAATAGTTCTTCAACAGTTTGTTTATTTTATTTTTTCATTTTTATATCCTGCTTTTTCACGAAAGTTATTGAATGCACTTAGGTCTAAAATTCCCAAAGAGAAATACTAAAAAATATCATCTTAAGACACTCTGCTTCATTTTAAGAGCAGGCTTCATGGATAGATCATAGAGTTCCAGTAAAAAAATAAGGGTAGTTCTGACAAATCTGCAGCCTGAATAAGGATGGATGACGGCAGCGCTTTCTTTCTGCCCTGTATTCATTGCATGTAGCACTGTTTCTGTCCCACTGCAGTTCACCTTCCACCAAAAACCACGTTATTTTGCTGTACCCTGTGGCAAAATTACACGAGTAATTAATTCCATAAATCCTGTAAACTGTGTTTTTCATCATGTCCTTCCACCCCCATTCATTTCACTGCAAGGGAAACGCAATGCCGATGGAGGCGGGTGGGGGCAAAGTAACAGACTACGTATCATTGGCAGAATGAAAGCAACAGCAACTGCAAACACAAATTGTGTTTGCTGGATTGCTTTCCATTCTGGGTGTGGGACAAATGAGCGAACACCAGCAATTTCTGATCCCGTTTCAGTTTTTGTCGCAATTCTCCAACATCCCTAGGCATGTCCACCCATTTCTTACAGCATATATTATATATCTAAGGTGTATTCTGTGGCTGTGCTATAGGTATTCTGGTATAAGCTGGCATCTTGCTGTGTGTTCTCAATTGATGAACAATTTCCTCCTCAGCGTTTTGTTCAGTATGTTTCTTCTGTGTATGCGGCTGAAGCAGGTCACTGATCCAATTGGCATCTTCAGCCTCCTTGGAGAATTAACAATGTTTTTCCCCCCTCATACAATGGGCCTTGTAATATATATATATATATATATATATATATATATATATATATATATATATATATATGAGACACTCAGAAATGGGTTGTATGGATCAGAGGAGAAGTGTGGGGGGAAGGAGGGGGAGCAGTAGGAATGCAACCTCTTTAATATTAAATGATGCGAATTAATATTTAATGGAGTAAAAGACACATCTTGGTTTGTGTTACTGCTTACAGGAAAATGGGCTGTGTTAATCTGCGACGAATTGTCCAGAGGATAGTCGAAGTGGTGGAAAGAACAAAGCTGAGAAATGTTGCAGCTCAAGCCTGACATACACTGTAGAGCCCCTTGCCACATCCGGTAGGACAAAATATAGAGTTTCTTCCAAGCTAGAAACAGTCTGAGGTTCCGGGCGGGCAGGTGGTGGAATCAGAATCAGGACTTCTGGCTTTTGCAGAAGGGCATGATAATATACGCTCGCCTTTATGGGAAAAAAAGGCAACTTGACAGAAAATGCCTACAATCAAATGTTTATGTAAGCTCAGGATGTTTTGCGGTGCGTGATTTATTTCAGCGAAAGGCCCTGTGCCGTTGCACTTGGTGTAGCCGTACCGAATCCAACAGTACAGGGTTAAGGGGAGACCAGAGTTAAGAAGCAGGAAATATTACGGTAGCATGAAGGTGTTAATGTAATCCAATCAGACATGAAGACATTCTGAACAGAGACAATCTCAAATACCCCCTACACTTAGCTCTCCTCTGCCTCCCCGTTACAAGACATATGGTCCTCTGACAGAGTCTCAGAGCAGCAGGTTAGTTTACATACCATATGTATGCAATTGGTTGGCTCGGCAGGGTTGCGTTAAGGTTACTGCATCTGCCCTAACTCAGAATTTCCTTGTACTTGTAGGTTTTGCATCAGGCAGTTATGTTATTTTAGCAGCGATTCTGTTGGGTTTCAGTTTTGAAAATCAACACTGGGGTTTCATTTATTTTCTTTTGATTAATTTTGACTTTGTAATGGTGCCTCCAGAGAGGTAAGAGTCCAGACACATGGTACAGAAACTATTGTCAGAAACTCTATATTCATAGTAATATTTATCTGAGGGGCACAAGGGGAACCAGTCCTGACTGAACTCAATGTACAAGATTGCCTTTAATGCATCAGTGTTGCAGAGAGCTGATTAGTGTTTTCTCAAATGCAGATTGCTGATACAAGTTACTAAAAAAACCCCAAAAAAACACCAGCATTTATGATTTAGGATTTATAATTACATTTTCTGAAGTAGTAAATGTTCTTCCAGCTCTTATGACTAAAGTAGTCTTCCCCAACCAGGTGCCCTTGAGATGTTTTGGACTACAACTCCCATAAGTCTACAACTCCCAAGGATGACCATTGGAGAAGGCT